GGAAAACTCCTTCACTTGTCATAAGAATCTGAGCCACCAAGAGTTATTTTATATAATTTACATGACTTTTCAGTTGCAATGAACTATGTACAATTAACACTTGTAGAAAATTGCCACCAGCTTTTCACTGCAACAAAAAGTTGTACGATTGCATATCATATGAAATTGCAATGGTTTAAATTCAAACTGACAATCACAAATATACCAGATTCAGAAAACAGTGAAGTTACCTTAGACTAAAATGTCTCAATATCAAAAGAAAGTACCCAAGTTTTCTCTCCTTCATCTTCTGGAGGCAACTTTACTATTGATCAGAATTTTTTTCTTCAGGTCCATATCTCTACAAAGGTAATGTAGTACAACCAGTTAGTTTTTCAAGTAATTTAATTATGTACTGACTGTTTATTCAAACTGTTGAGTACAATCTGTAGAACCTTCCGAAAAATTAATGACGCTAAATGCACTCAGGAACCATAGTAGCATACTGTGCAAAAAAGAATTTGTCCAACTGTGCATCTAATTAAACAAGCTGCTCAACCTGCAAACAAAATTAACAAGTAGTGATATATTTTTGTTATTTCAAGTGAAGTGCTCTATAAAGAGACAATACTATAGCTAGTGACTGTGTGTCACTATCACAACTATTAATGATACTTTCAAATTCAAGTGATTGTTCAATTGCAGATCTTAATCATCACAGAATTAAAAAATTACTGATAAAGGAGCTAAAAGTAATAATTTCAACAGGATTAACCAGAAATTTACTGCTCATTCTCAAAATAATCCAATAACCAGTTTGAATATTACACATTTGGCATTAAAAGTTCTCCACTTTTATGTCTATGGGATACATTATTCACTTTCAGACAATTTCTCTCAGAGAGCAAAATGGTAAAACCATGATAAACCCTACAATATGATTAAAGCAAATTACAACAAAGGAGGTTAGAGTTGAACATTTCCAAAAACCATTGCAAGGAAAATTGTCTTAAGTCTTCTTGCAACAATCTTATAACAATCTTCTTACTGTCATTGGACAAAATTCAAAGCCAGAGATACAGGGGGAAATAATGTTATTTTACACTCAAACTATTTGACTGTATAACACAATTGATATCTCACTTTGTACTTCAGAATTTCCTTTAATCAGCTTTATCCAAATATCCTTAACAGCACAAAAAATGTTGTATTTAAACTTCCTGCATGACTTAGTATCAGAATTTGAGCTATGAGATTGCCAACTACGTTCACCATGCCTGAAAATAGCATTAGGTAAAACTAAACACATGATATATACCGATAGATACATGTACCTAATGTCAGAAAAGAAGAAATAGAGTATTTCATGTATACCTTCCTCTGAATACTTGGTACATGAACAGGTAAAACAGCCTGATTAACTTACTTCACCAATAGAGAGCTCTCAGCAGCATACAATATAATACTGATCTAGCATGAAACATCTTATCAATATCATGCATTAAAAATATAACTGACATGTGATGTTATCATGCTAAAGAAATAAATGAGTAAGTGTGGTACAAAATAGTGAAAAGGTTGCAAAAGATCCATGTGCAAGTATCTTTAACGGGAAACCTACCTACTTTCTGTACTTGTAAAAAGGAAATCACACATCAGCAATTGTACCTACTGATGTAATCCTAACATTTTGTGTACCACTATACTATAGACTGCATTTCTAAAATGTTCCTATGGATATCACTAATCCCTGAAACCCTTTTTGAAACTGATATTGTCAAAGCCATTGCAAATTCACTATCAAAATGTAAACAAAATAATTGTGAGTACCCGATGTGATATTCACACTTCAATTATTTCATACCTAAGATAATATTACAACGATGACCACTTTGTAAAAAAAAGTAATACTAAACTCTCAGTACTCCAAGTACTTACTAGCATTTCAATTTCCATAACCAATCAACAGCAGTTTCAGCAATAAACTAGATTGATTTCCTAAACCCAACAACTTCTGCCTACATAGAGCACTGAATGGTCAAGTACATTTAACTTTCAGAAAAACAAAACACTCATAGTTGAGCATCAATATACCATAAGCAATATTATGTTTCAGAAATTTCAGGGCCAATTCAGAATGCTAAAAAAACCACATCATGATGACAGAATTACAGGACCTCTTGAGGACTCAATTGAGTTGATAATGTAGATTGGCCACTGTAAAGAATTTTAAAGCTGATGTATTAGCCCTTCATCAGAGAGAGTGAATGTACATCCCTTGAAAAAACAGGCTTAATTGAAGCTGTGTGGCTGAAAGTACAATGACTACAGACTAAAGTTGAAGAAAGAAATTCAGTTTTGGTCAGGTGGTTGGATTCTGGCAATATTCATTGACTGTAATAACAATGATCTGTTATTCTCAAATTAGTAGCTGGCTAAATGGGTGCATTGTAACAAACTACTGCCTTACATTACCCTTAAGCAAAAAGACTCGATATGCAAACTATACAGAAGAGGAAAGAAGATGGCACAAATTTGTAGTGCATCCTGAACACTGACCCTTGGATACAAATACTTACACGACTCTTTACATAATGTCGCCTCTAAATGGAAACGAATTAATTTTGAGCTTAGCGACTAACTATAAATACACATCTGCACGACAAACATAAATGGCAAAGCAATTAACATCCTTTAACGATATGCACGGGCTATAATCTAAAACGAAAACTGTTTACCCTGTTCTCCTGATTTTTGAATAGTGTGTACACAATGAGTGAATATTTTCGTATTTAGATCATGTTGCGATTTCAACTTCTCTTTCCTTACCAGTTTAAAAATGCATCAGAGCTAGATACTGGGTTTGCTAATATTACCACCAACAGATTACTTGAAAGTGCAAAGAAATATCCTGCTTTCTGATTCCAAAATAACCGCGTATAATAGCTTACTTTTCACCAAGTTTGTTACCATGGGAAAATTAGGGTTTTACTCTGACAACATTATTCTTTGCCACAACCTTCAAACGAGCAGAACAAAACGATACTGTTCTTTTTGACATCTTCCTCTCTAATAGTTCAAAGCAAAAGTAACGATAAAATACACCACCTGCAAATGCATATAACTAAAAATGCGGGAATCATTCTTGTAAATAAGTGGATTTCCATTGCATTATTGAAGGCCCAAAATTTTATGGCACAACGATTAACCTGCCACACTAATTTTTTCAAACTGTGGTCGATTCAGTATAAAAAAAATAATTCGGCAATCAATCAGAAGGTTCAGTGCGTTACGTGTACATCATGGTCAAAATCCTTCATATCTGAGCGATCGAAAACGAAACCACAAGAACCTCATAGTAAAATTTATAACGTACACTCACCGCAACCTGCCAGACAAATGCCGAATCAACCCAAAACGAAAATCTTCCAGTGCACTGTATCACACACTGCAAAACAGGGCTAAAAATCCTTCTGTACTGATGCACCTGGTGCTAAAAATAACTGTCAATCCAATTGAGTTGTTGTAAATTTTCGGTAAAAAACAAGCGGCCATGCAACAGCTCAAAGACAACGATAAATGCTCAACTGTGATTGGACTAAAAAACCCATGTGATCAATTGATTCCACGCCAATGAGTCATCGCGGCTGTTTTGGCTCGTTTTTCAAATGTATTCCGCCAACGCAAGCAGCATAATACCCCGCGGGAAAGATAAAATTTCTTCTTCCAGAACTGTTAAGAAAGCGAAGGACGAAAAGGCAAAGAAAATTTCGACAAGATCGCGCATATCAGAGCTGAATAATAGCACATCACACTCATCGATCACAAGTAAGCGGCCGAAACCGTGGGCTCAGTCACGCGAGGGAGTTTGTCCTCGCTTGGTAGGAGACAAGTTATCAAATTTGGTACACAAAGGTTAACCCTTCCCTTCCCAAATTGCATCAAGAGTGAAATGTTGGCTAAATGTAAAATTGTTTGCCTAATCGTTGAATCAAAAATTTCACTCCGTATCGAGGTCCAGCCGTCCAAACGCATTATTCTTTAACCCTATTCACTTACCTTCCACGTAATAATTTTTTGAATAAATTCTTTTTCTGTCATTTACCTATGTAAAGAAAACACTACAAATGCATACACAACCTCTAATACGAGCCTCTTATGGGCATTTAGCAAGTCTACAGGACTTGATAGAGGCATGGAGCGAAGAACGAAGAGGAGTACTTCGCCCCTTAATTAAATCGCCTTGAGCTGAGACACTTCAGTTCAACTGCAAAGTAAGGCTAGAATTAAATAAAGAACTGGTTATCTTAAAAGATAGTAACCACCATCCAGCAAAACCACGCTCTAGATCTTCAATTAAGAGAACACTCCACTCAAATGTTGGCATTTGTGAAGGGTGAAGAAGGCTTAAAGCTAAGAGGTGAAAAATGCTTATTTACATCAAACAATCCATCTATAAAGAAATCCCGAGATCAGCTAATAATCTAAAACCACGGCTCAAATAATTAGAAATCAGCTTATATTAACCAGCCCCAAGTTTTTTGACAAAATGGAGCGAACCACTCTCATTTCACTTTTTCTCGGGTAATGTGCATGAATCACCCATTTGGCCCGTGAAATACATCTTTTTTCGAATCCATCATATAAATCTCTTCCGGAAAGAGCATTCTTCCCCCGTAAGGTAAGTATGTTACTAACCCCTTCCCCTCCCCCCCCTCAATCCTCGCCCATGCTAAAATGATCACGACATAGCAGCGCAAAAGAACTGATATTTTATCCAGAGAGCGGGAAACGTGCTCAACCACCCTGGTGACATTAGGGAAACGCAAGAGATTATTGCAAAAAACATTAAGATGTTTAGATATTGGATTATGGGAGATTAAGGTAATGTTTTCCATATTTCTAGCTCCTTGATGTCACCTAGCAACATGATGGCCAAATGTTGCGGTGATGTCATCACAGCTGTGGGCGGGCTCTATGCATTTACCGAGAAGAAACTGGTTACCACTTGTTTCCAAAGTTTCGACCGGGTGTACGCACTAAACGTTTCATCAGACTTCCCTATTTCCTGTATACTGTAAATTTGTGACTTTCACACCATTAACGATGCCTAGGGAAACTACAGAAGTTAGCTGTTGTGTGAAGTATCTTCTCTTCTTTTTCAATGTGTTTTTCTGGGTAAGTTTTTGAAAGAAATGTACACATACTATGAGATTTGTTGACAACTAAAGCGACATGGCTCTTTTGTGAAATTGAATACAAATAAGCCATGCATATTGTTGATTGCTTCGTTTATCGTGTTTTCCATCGTTTTCTATCGTAGAGTTTGGTTTTGCATCAATTGTTTCAAGGAAAGGACAGAACGAGTTATTGAAGCGGCATTTAGGTTATTTTATCAATTTAACACGGAGCTGTATTAGTATGAATCACATAGGACACTACCTAAACCATACTACTAATGCCGTAATTAAGAAAGTATCAAGTTATGTCCCGTTTTGCGTGGTCAGAAACGATTTCTCACCTCATTCAAATAACGTAGAATTAGCCGAGATGGTAGAATGATATGGAAAGTTTACCATTGTTGAGTTAATTTGTGAAAATGTTATTTAATGTTGTTCCAACGAATATTTGCGTTGTCACTTGTGTGTCGGTCAAACTTTAACACGAACAATATTTCTTTCCGGAAAATTTGATAAAAATATAAAATATTTCTCACAATTTTCGCCTTATATCAGCAGTCCTTTTTTTGTTTGTTTTCTCCTTTCCTTAAGAATGATCAGTAAATCTGAGAGTGATCAAATTCCATGCTATGTTGGGACATGTGCATGTGTACAAGTTCTCACTTGTCTCTTGTGATATTTAGAGGTGGATTGAAATTTTCACCTCTTAATATTTATCGTGGCTGTAGCACATGAAATTGTTCATTTGTTTTTTTTTTCTAGGGTGGTTATAAATTTATCTCTTCTTGAGTCTTTGGTTAGCTTCAACTATCCATTGTGCAGGTCTTTGCATGTCTTTAGTTATCATCCTTGTACTTATAAAAGAGTCCCATGGTTTATTGCCAGCGAAAAAAGAAGCCTGTCCGAGAATTTTGTTCAGATATCTTGTTTTCTTATTGTACAGAAGTTGAGTTTGTCCAAATTTGAATAACTGTCAAACTCTGAACATTCCATGATAAACTTTTGAAGCGTGTTAGATATTGGCCACATTAGATTTCACTTAGGATTATTGTATTGCCAATATTACCATCAGTTAGAATAAAGTTCTGTACTTCAGGGCCCAGTTGTATATAGGGCAGATAATGCTATTCCGTGGATAAATTGTTATCCAGCAGATAAGTGATAGCAAAAGGTGAAGCATTATTCACAGGATAGAGATTTATCCAGTGGATAGTGATATCTGAACCTTGAACAACAGGGGTCGGAACAATATGTTTTGCATCTTACAGGAAGTGTTGGATGTAGGAGAAATTTGAGTCCCTATGAGGAATCAAACCTTAGACTTTTGGGTTCTATACTCTAAGGTTCCAGTATACAGCCAAAGAAAACTAAAATTTCTACTAACCAAACTACATAAGTTACATTACTTATCTAATAAATTGTTTTTTATCATATATGTAGCTGATTGGAGGCCTTACAACTGGTGTTGGCCTCTATGCACGATTTGAAAAGACCAGATATCAAGGCTTCTTTAATGACATTGTTATGGACCCAGCCTTTGCACTGATCATAACTGGAGGGATCATGTTTATCCTTGGATTCACTGGTTGCATCGGTGCTTTGAGAGAAAATGTTTGCCTTCTGAAGTTTGTAAGCTTATGTTGTCTCCAGTCTGTATCTGCTACAGTGTAGTCTAGACATAACTTTTGACACAGGGGAAATTGTGTGTTTATTAAATCAACTAAGCTAGGTTGAGCCTGGCTAACTGAACCATCCTATTCCTATTCTGTTAGTTTTCAAAGCTTCTCAAGTAAGGTACTAAATATGGATTTCTGCCATTTATAAGGCATTTTAACTTCTCTTGTTGTCATTCAAGATTTTATTTCTAATATTTGTCCAGCCACATTGATGGCCATAGATCCATTATTTACAATTGGCACTTTACATGTATTTAAACAGGTGTCTGTAGTTTGAGTCATTTACTTCAATCTCAGAACATTATGTGTACCTTTCTATGGTAGTACAGAATTAATTCCATCTATTGATCTGTTGTTTTCTTTTTAGTTTTCAATTGTCCTGGCAATCATATTCTTCCTTGAATTATCTCTGGGAATTTTTGTCTTTGTGTTTCAAGATAAGGTAAGTTTTGTTTTTTATTTAAAGGGAAGAGAAGGGGATTTAAAAATCACTTTATTCATTCATTTTGTCAGTTTATTTTATTCTAGAGAACAACTACTGTCAACTTCTCGGCATGCATGCAATATTGTGGGTGCCACCAAATTCTTTAAGATGATAACTGTAGAAATTGGTTCCTTGACTGAAGATCAGTTTGTTTGTTGAATTTCAGGTTGAAGGTATTGTAAAGAAGAAAATAGATGAAACCATTGAGAGTTACAGGGACAATGTGGATCTACAGAGTTTTATTGATGGAATTCAACAAGAGGTTTTTGTGATTTTGATCCAATACTCATATTAACAAGTAACATGTAGATATTTATGTTGCTTTTTTTCTTTTTTTTTAACTATAATCAGCCAACTTAATGAAGAAAAGCTGTGAGTCATGATTTATTGAAATTGAAATGAGAAGCTTTGATCTATACTCTATAACTAATTAAAAGGCCTCATACAGATTTTGCATGTTTTGAATTTGTTTATTTCGTGTTGCAGTTCAAGTGTTGTGGTGGAGAAACTTACAATGACTGGCAAAGAAACATATACTTTAACTGTTCCTCTCCAGGTGCAGAGGCTTGTGGTGTACCATTTTCATGTTGTCATGAGGTCAGTCATACACAGGTGTACATGCATTTATTCAGAGCTTACCTGGTGTTGTCAAGAGTTCAGTCATACACAGGTGTACCTGCATTTATACAGAGCTTACCTCATGTTGTCATGAGGTCATTCATACACAGGTGTACATGCATTTACACAGAGCTTACCTCATGTTGTCAAGAGGTCAGTCATACACAGGTGTACATACATTTATACAGAACTTACCTCATGTTGTCAAGAGGTCAGTCATACGCAGGTGTACATGCATTTATACAGAGCTTACCTCATGTTGTAGAGGTCAGTCATACACAGGTGTGCATGCATTTATACAGAGCTTACCTCAAGTTGTAATGAGGTCAAGTCATACACAGGTTTACATGCATTTATACAGAGCTTACCCGGTGTTGTCATGAGGTCAGTCATGCACAGGTGTACATGCATTTATACAGAGCTTACCTGGTGTTGTCATGAGGTCAGTCATACACAGGTGTACATGCATTTATACAGAGCTTACCTCATGTTGTCATGAGGTCAGTCATACACAGGTGTACATGCATTTATACAGAGCTTACCTGGTGTTGTCATGACATCAGTCATACACAGGTGTACATGCATTTATACAGAGCTTACCTCATGTTGTCATGAGGTCAGTCATACACAGGTGTACATGCATTTATACAGAGCTTACCTGGTGTTGTCATGACATCAGTCATACACAGGTGTACATGCATTTATACAGAGCTTACCTCATGTTGTCATGACATCAGTCATACACAGGTGTACATGCATTTATACAGAGCGTACCATAGTCACATGGAGTACCTATCAAGTTTGTCTCTCTTGTTAGTGAATAAAGTGTCACTGACAACAAGGAGCTCAGTTATAGAACAAAATTTCAGATAGATTTCATGTAGATAATCCACGAGCATATGGAAATGAAAGCATGAATTGTAACTATAGAGAAACATTTTTTTCTCTGTACGTTGACTCCAGGGAAACATTCACCCATGAAAGGTACTAAAAAGAGTTTGGAGGACTTGAATTTTATTGCTATAAGGTGTCTATCCAGCCACATTGAAAAGTAGCTCTTCTTTGGGCATTAAATTTCTATCAAATATACTGCCCATCAACAAGGTCAGAGGCTTTTGTTGTATCCACTAAAGTGTACATGTACTTATGTCGAAGAGTTTATTTTTTACAGGATACCCTAAACACACAGTGTGGATATAAGATCAGAAAACCTACATATACCGTAAGTATTCCTTTAACCCCTAATAGTGACTGGCATCTAATTTCTCCTCACCATATCACCCCTGAATCAAACACTAAGGTTAGGAGAATAAAGGAACTGATCACTAACTAAAGAAGCTCTTGATTGTTATACAAATTCTCCTTGTCAGCACCTTAGGAAATGTTTAGGGAACTATATGGAGAATATGCATACTGATGTTGGAGTGTAAAGGGTCAATTGTCTTTTTGCTGTCTATCTTGCTTAACGGATGATAGTCTACTAGCTAATAAAAGTAACAAAACTTTAGGATATAGGAAGGTGAACTTGTTACAATTTTGAGACAAAAAAGAAAATATAATCTTTTGAATTCCACCCTTGTAGTGGTATTCCAATTCTCTACTACCAATTTGCTTGAAGGAGAATTTTCAGAATTTTCACTACGCATGTAATTGAAGTATGCAATGTATGTGCCATGAAATGAAACAAATGGTATTGTTAAAGTAATTATGCACTCTGGTTAACAATGGAATTTTCTGATTAAATTTTTGAAACAGTTATGCACATTCTGTGATACTTAATTTATGCCACTGACAACCATGTCAACTCTATATAATAATCTCAAACTTTTTTGATTAGGATGCTTTAGTTCCCAGTTATTTTAAAAAGACATTACAAATGCTAAAAAATAAAACATTTAGCCTCATTTTCAGCTCTCATGTCAACATTCAACATCAGTTGAACTGAATGGTGTTATGTTTGGTATGCATCACTAACGAGAAAGATTCCACTAACAGGTCTATTTTTTGATTCAGGATACAGAAAGGAGTAAGGTCATTTACATCAAAGGCTGTATTGCAGCAGTCAGAGACTGGTTTAAGGAGAACTTAATAATAATCGGTGGGATTGCAGTTGGTTTGGCCCTAGTGCAGGTGAGTTCTTTAAAATTGTCTGTTAATTGAATTGTGGTATGCATTATGGAGCTACAGTACAGACCTGGGAGAAGGAGAACGACTTTGTGCAATCATGTTCACAGCTTTTGCCAAGAATCTTGTATGGAATGATAGAGCATTGACAAAAGTGTCTAATTTATTTGCACGTTTTTGTCGCAGATTATGGGAATTTGTTTTGCAAACAGCCTTATAACAGATATAAAGATGCAGAAGTCCAGATGGGACAGGGACTACTACAACTGAGATACCTCTTTACTTAAAGGGTATAATGCATCATGCAAAAAGCTTTTTCTACATTTTTTACATACGTATGATCTAACTACATGCAGCTTAAATACAATCTGTGAGCTATGCTATTATGAAATGTGTAACTTAGATAATTTCATAGTAGTGAGATAGGTGATGTTGAGGTCTCGGTTTTCAGACTAAAAACCCAGAGCTCTTCTGGGAGCTACATATATTGTTTTGGTATTTTGTTAGTCCAGACTCATTTATAGAAAGATGATATTACAGAACTTATGCAGCAAAAAAGGAAAATTTAATATAAATAACCAAAAAATAGCATATTTTGTTTAATCTGTTGGGTTGTTTGGAACATTCTTATCGCTTTTTTTACTGCAAGTTGTGCTTAAAGTAAATGGGTGCCCTGTTTTGTTTTGTTTTTTTTTCTTTTTCGAAACAGACATCTTCATCAGGTCAGCCTAACTCAGAGCACATCTTTACTGCATAATCTATTATTTGTTTTGTAGAGCATGTGAAAATTTAGGTATAATATTATGGATGAGAAAGTTCGTTAATTGTGGTGGTTTTTTTTTTGACATTGCCACTCCATAGCAAAGCATTCTCTTTATCATCGGCATGTTTAGTACAGAAAGTCTGCTTATAAAACGTATAGTCACTCTCTCGATAAGGGGTAACACCCCGGGTCAGCTATCTAAGTCAGTTCCTATAAGTGAGACTCGCATTACTTACAGGTAAATATACTGGTGTCCCTTTGCAAATTTTTTTTTTTTTGCGCGATTGGTTGTAAGCGAAACGTTCGTGTTTTCTCACGAACGGACTGGAGCTTACCAATGTGGACATCGATTCAGTAGGCAAATCAGAACGCGTGACTTGCTAAAGAATACAAGTTGAGTTATTTTTACTGTCTGTCAAAAATAGACCTTCACCTTGTTGTTAGGTTACTTACTTGCACTTTATTTTGAATTTCCTTGGTTCATTAAAATCGTTCTGTACTAATTAAGATGAAAGAAGGACTGGCTTGAAGCCAGGCATATTAATAATTTGATGTAGAATAACGAATAATCTGAGAAAAGGCAAGGTTAAGGAAGATTGTCGGCTGAGACCGATGGACGAGGAGGCTACTGGCTAGCACACAAGGGAATGGATGATGAAAGGGTAAGAAGTTTGTTATCCAGGTCAGAATTTTGTTGAATACTGCCTGTTGCACTCAGATAGTATTTTTTGTGCGCCGGCGGACAAAAAATTTCTTTCAGTAAGGAGTGCCTCAATTTCCCTTTAATTTTGTGAGAAAATACGGGCTTCAGTAGAGAGATGTCAACCGGAACTTGAAAGTTCTCTTTCCAAGCGCTTTCTTCAGATCTCTTGTCGGTACCGTTTGGTTTTTAAGGCAACAACAAAGACATTTCGGTTGTTTGGTTAATGTCAAAGCGTTCCAGAAATAGTTTCAATCTTGCTTCAGCGTCTTAAAAATGAATTTTTTGGTTAATTCCTAGAAACATATGTTGTCTTGTGAAATTTCGATTCTACTGATTTTATGCGAATTTTAATGTCTACCAACTACTACATTTACTTTTTTTGGCTTAAGAATGTTGGCTTTATTTCTTGGAAAGCATACAGTATTTAAATCATTATAGTAAGCCTTGTTGAAGAATCAAGGGAAGCATAGTATTCATTAAGTGGGCTTTATTTAGAGTTAAGATTTTCTCAAATATTTTAAACGTGAAAACAAAACGCAACCGAAAAAAGGTCTGTTGGCAGGCCCTCATTGTTTGTGCATTTCCTCGTCCGCGGGAAGGTATGAGGACTTAGCAACAGAAGCCGGCGGGAAGTCTGCAAGGGGTTTAGCTCTGTTAATCATTATTAGAGCCAGACCCCCGTCAAACCTCTCCTCGACTCGTACAGCGCTACTGATGCGGGCCTGCCCGCAAGCTAAATCTGTATGTTCTGCTTCTATTTGAAAAGAAAGTTACAGAAACATTTGTATCCATGCATTGAAGGATAGTTGTATTAGTGCATTTATATAATTTGGCAAGAAATACCAATTTGAAGGCCATTGTACAAAGTACTAATAAAACAAATTTTTTTATATCATTAAGTTCTTTGGAATTATTTCCTTTACTCTAGCGTCAAGGTATCATGTCAGTTCTCTTTTACCCTTTTTCCAGGCCCCAAGGAGCGGACAAGGGTACAGGCATAGGCGTAGAGTCCTTGTGATTCACCATCCCCTCCCACCCCTCGTTTTCAAGAAAAATTGTTCGCAGTATTAGATAACTGGAAGCGAGCTGGCGGTCTCGAATACGTGATCTCTGTTAGTGTCAGATTTTTATATGGACCTGGTATGTTCGTGGTCTACCTCACGGGGTGTTCCATATGTCACCATCTTTAGATTTATCTCTTACAGTCGAACCTGTGGGTGACCGCTTAAACCATCGAATAAGGTGTATATATTTGACTCATTGGTTCAAAAAGAATCGCGTAAGTCACCTTTTAACGCTGGACCAAGGCTCGATGGTATCACTTAACTGACTTTAACATCCAATACGCGCGGATAATTTGTTTCTTGCGTGGTATTTTCCCGAGTCTCGTAAGGGCGAGACAAAATACAAGCAACGAGCAAAATGTCCGCTTGTATTATACGTTAAAACATCATGATAAGGGATTTATTATTGAATTTTTTTATTATTTTTTTAGAATGTTGGCCTTATCTGAACATGCGTGAAAGAGCAAAATAACACAAACAGAACCATTGAAGTGTTCCTATGACGAACGAAATAATCTGACGCGCTTAAAAGTGCTTTGCTTAAAGGGCGGAAAAAGGATCAAAATTTGGATCTTTAAGTGTAGCAATTTTGGTCTTGCACTTCCCGTCCGTATTTTTGGCCTTTACTAAAGTGGAATACGGTCGTATAATTTGCGCATTCCGTTGCCCCTGACATGATGAAATGACGTCATTGGGGAAAACTAAAGTGCGATTTAATCGCGACCTTGGTTGGGAAGTTTGTCAAGCTACTTGTTATCACTGGAAAACCTAGTCTGAATGTTGTGGTTGATAGCACAACTGTTTGTAAGTAGCCAAGCTTTAGTCCTCTGTCTTTTTTAACACGTTAACAACTGAAAATTACTTAACTAACATCACTCTACATTACATAACATTTCATGATGCAAAGTATATTCAGAAAGGTCACAACATTTAAGAGTATCATTGTAAACAGTCAATAGTTTACACTGCACTCAAATTTCTTTTACAATTAACACTGCATCGAAGGGTCGTGAAAATTTCTTGGCCAGTCAGGGTGGACTGCCTGATTATACCCTTACGTTAAAATCTGGCCAGTAAAATAACTTAAGTGCCGGAACTGTGACTTCGTATCAGAATTTTTTGACGTATCTGTAATATTTACTCTGTGATTTACTTGAGAGACCTATTGATATAAGACGTAATGGACATTTTTTTTGGTGCTTTTTTTATTATTTAATCAACTTGAAGCAAGATCGAGTCCTTCCGCAAGGGACAATCGTTTTCCTTTTAAAGGGGCGTCACCATTAACCAATGCTTATCTATGGATAAGTAAGCTTTGGTTTAAAATTATTTCAGAAAAACACGATTTTAACATTGCTTGATCTATATTTTCTTTTGTGCATGAATGGTAGTGGTATTTCGGGGAAAAGAAAACACACAAACAAAAACTGTATTGGCAATAATATTGCGGAAATTCGTTTTAAACTACAGCATGTACAGAAAAATGAGATAAGGGTTAAGCTGCCCTGCTAAGACTGATATCAGATCGAGCTGTGATATGTTAAACCTTTAGGAGTCTATTAGTTTAGAAGAAAGAAACGGTTCTATTTTGGCCCATTTGCAAGTTCATCGTATTGTTCCTCAAAATGGTTCTTAAAGAACGGGGGCTTTTTCTAAAGTACGAAAACCCGGCCAACCCATATAACAGGAAACCACATCGGAAGGCTTTAGATAAGTGTTCCAATAACCGGCCAACTTAAATGATATGGGAATCTCAATGTCTATTTTTGAAGAGGACAAGAAAAGATAGAAGGCATTTTATAGAACAACAAAACACAAATATATTACAAATTAAGTTGATCTTAGTTTTTAAGAAATTAATATTAAAACTTTAGTCAGCTTAAGTTTATGGGAGGTCGACGACAAGAAATCAACCCTTGATAAATAGAAAGAGATAATATAAATAGCTAAGTAGTTGGTTATGGTCGATGTCGTGATTTATTGTCTAACTTTATCGGCTTAAAGCATTTGGTAAATCATACTCAGGTCGAATTAAGTATTTCGAGTCGGTGTGAACAAGAAGTCTTTTAGAACGTACAACATACCATAGAAAAGCAGTCAGCGAAATCGCTTTTAGAACAGCGACCGCTCAGGAACCATCAAAGGTCAAGATGTTGTGAAAGATTTGAAATTTACTCAACAAAGTGAAGAAAATTTCAAGAACACCACTCGTTCAAATTGATATAGGACTTAGAGAGACCCACAGTAGCGATTCGTTGCCTATTTAAGTTCCTCAGGCCTGAAAGTTATCCGATTAAGACCCATTTTCCCTGAATTTCGATTGTGAGGCGCAGTTCTCAGTTCGTGCTTGAATGAAACTGTCAAAATTATTCAAAGAATGTTTTTTTTTTCGACAATGATAGGATAATTGTTGGTATTATTTGTGACAGTGGCCTCTGGCATATTTTCGATGCATGTTTGCCCTGGTTTTCTCTCGTATGCAGAGGTTGACGCATTCTAATGTTTCTATATGAAAATTGTACTGCCGCTGACGGAAAGCGCACGCTGTGTCAATTTGTCCTACGCAAGAATTCACTCGTCCAATACAGCAAAAATCTGAAATACCATATCATTCTTATCTGAACAAAGATAACAATAGTCATGTGAACTACGTCAGCATTTCAAACTAATCAAACTTCAATAGTTTGCCAAAGTTATAAATAACCACCTTTTCCGTTGGTCTGTAGTCAGACTTGAGACATACTTACCGACAGAATTTCTGAATATTTTGGGTTATCTTATAGCCCAATGGTGCGGAGAGTAACTTTTAACAAACGCAAACCGCACACAAAAGCGTAAATTTTAAGGAATACATGAAGTCGTGGTTTAACAGAATTGAAAGAATATATCAAAACTAGTATCGTGAGTGATGGCTTGAATGCATATCCGACCTAAGGGTACATCCTGCTCTCATTGTGATTAATGACTCTAAATTCAAATTTCGAAAAAATTCAAGACACGCATAAATACTTAGTCATAAATACTCAGAACAGTGACGGACGCATTTCAATCGGTCGATATACTTCCTAAGAAACCGTCCAACAATGTGGTGGTTTTGGCTCTTGGGGTGGCTTCTTACCATAGTCACTGTAATTGGAAACGGAACCGTGATTTGCTTGATCATTGGCATTCGTCGTTTACACAACACAGCTAACTGGTTAGTGCTTGCCCTTGCCTTCGCAGACTTGTTCGTTGGACTTACGTTTTTTCCTTTACTCTTCGCCATGAAGATAGACAGCCTGAACGATCCCGACCACGAAAATGTGGATCCGTTCTTCTTGGTATCTCGGACATTCCTTTATTTCTCGGCTACAAATCTGTTCGTGATGATCGTGGACCGATACTTCGCAATTGTTCATCCATTGAGGTATTTGTCGATAATGTCGCCAAAGGTGATCAAAATTGCTATCACAATGGCGTGGATTTTACCAGTGGCATTATTTACCTTGCCCCATGGCCTACACGTGCGAAATAGATATCTACTTGTTTTTAGAGTTTTTGTCTTCCAAGTTGTTACAGCAATTGTATTTGTATTCGTCGCCTGTCGAATATTCTACATCCTACGCAAGATTTCGGAAAGGAGATCAAAGATTTTTGCCCAACTCCGTTTTAACCACGCGCCAAAATATTCACCTACTGTGCTTAGATCGAGCAAAGAGAGCAAAGCTGCTGCCAAAATGACAATGGCAATCATGTTTCTCTTTATTATCTGCTACGTCTTCGAGAACTACAAGTGTGTATGCTTTGTGTTCGAGTTATGTGAAACCACAGCATCTCTTGATATAGCCATTGATTTGCTATTTTTGATCAACTCTGCCTCAAACCCAATAGTGTACGCTTTTCTGAAGAGAGATGTAAGAGCTGCCTTTCAGAGTCTGTTGGCGCGTAGGAAAGTTCACGTTCAAAACATTTCAACTGGAAGAGAAATGACTTCAAGCACGCCCAGCTAGATGGAGAAAGAAGAGATGAGTAGAAGCCCTGTAAAAAGATCTTCTCCTATCAACTGAAAAAATACGCTGTCTGACTACAGTCTGTGAGAGATTTCTCAAAAAGACGAACGCTGTTACACCCAAGATCCGATTTGTAAGATTCCAATCAGCTCATTTTCATTGCTTTGTAAATTGTTAAACTAAACAGAGTTCTGGACACGGAGTGTTTCATGGATGATGTATCCATTAATACGTGGAGTCAAATACTAGCAACCTCTGAGAGTTGAAAGGTTAAAAATCCTAAAAACTTGGCCATCACGGTTCATTGAAAGATTAACAGTTTAATATGTACATGTAAAAAATGAATTGATCAATGAACCGATGAACAAATAAATAAACTATTGAAAATGTTACGAAAGTGAAAAACAATCATTCCAAAATCCATCGTTTGCGGAGCAAAATTTCTTTGACCCGAAATTCACCTTTTACGGGCAGAATTGAAAAGGGGCTGAATTAAGTAAGGATACCCGCAAGTTAAACGCGAGCGTCTATACAGTTTTCGATTAAGAGTCGTGAATTCAAAGCCAAAGTAAACGCAACAAACAATCGGAACAGCAGTAAATGTTACAGGGATCCAATGAGAACTCAAAGAAAGTCACATCAAAGTCATGCCTAAAGCAAGAAAAAAGGCTAGTGACCGAGCTGTGCTGGTTTTCAAAACCGATCCTGCGGATTAAAAGTTAATTTGTTTAATCAGCTAAATTGATAATGTAAATTGGCTACCGTTAAGACTTTTTAAAGACGAAATTTCGAGCGTTGGCCCTTGTTTCGCTCTGAAGAAGGGCTTTAGAAAAACTCTTTATGAAACCAAATTGTAATGTATTATCCCCGGTGCAGTACCTTTGGATATTTTGAAACTTACCTCCTTTATTCAATCCTGGATTATGGTAGACATTCTGTTGAAAAATTGCTACATGGGCGTGTGATGCATTTAAATTATGTCCAGCTGGGATCGCTTGGTGTGAAGCAACAAGGCAAAGAGAGAAAGCTATTTCAAATGTTGATTGCCTACGTGTTAAATAATCATGATCATGAAAGTTTATACAACGGATATTTGAAAACATTTACAATACTCCACGTACCCTCAGAGGTCGATAAGTGTTTTAACCCTTTCACTCCCAAAATTTCATTTGTAACTCTCATTTCCTTCTGCCTTATAATTTATGATGTTAGTTTGGAGAATTTGGAATGGATCAACCAATAACCCCTATTTCATATTTTTCTCTATTCTCTTTACTCGTCTGCTTGATATCGAACTGATAGTGTAAGGAGAAATTCTGTCTGGGTCATTAGTGGGATTTAAAGGGTTAAAAACCTTGGGTGTGAGGTTTCGGATTCTTGTGCATTTTTAAGGAATATTATAAAACTGCAACAAAGGATTTTCTGCGCGTTCTCATAGCCTCATCATCACACTCGGTAGAGTGAGGAGTTCTTGAGAGATTTGAAAACCCGAGACGTGGCTGAGGTGCATAACTATCTTAATTTCCCTACTCCTCTTGTGTTTAAATGAGGTTGGTAAACACGGAAACATTTCTTCGTCATTAAAGACCAGTCTAATCTCGTACCCAGATCCTACTGTGTGAGAGGTCTGGGTACGAAACTAGGACCAGTCTTTATTTATCGCTAGGGGAGGTAAAGGATCTATGGGGTATTACATGGTTTTTAGGGGGAAGGGAAGGGGCTTCAGTTGCCGCCATCAGAGTATAAAAGTTGTGCTTGATCCTTACGATCTTGGCGAGAAAATAATCGAACTGTTTTAAGCACCTCAGTACATTTTTTCACAAAATTATGGAAGAGCGTTACCGTCCAGCTCTGAAAACGTTACATGATGACATGCGCTTAGAAAATGTGCTGTCTGAGGCATCTTTTCTGAGTGCATCATTTATTTTCTTAATTACTTGGAATTCGAACTCAATCACAATCTCTAGGTAGAAATAACACTTACAATTATTACCGTCACTTCTCTCGGACTTGCCCATCAGTGAACACTCAATAATCTAAATATAACATACCACGCTGTCGTAACACGGCGGAAATTTTGTTTCTATTTTCTTGCATTAATCAAAGATCTGACAGCTGCTCTGGTCATCAATTTAAGACTAGAACAGTCCATCGCATTTGTCAAATGAAATTTAAGTGTTTCAACTTTGCTAAGGGTTCACTGAAACAACAAATGAGAGATGTTTGACCAATCAGACAACAGGCAGTATCTCAGATAAGTTATACACTACAATAACAACTTTTGAGCACCTCTGCTTTGTTGTAAACGCAGAAATATCAGCTGTCAGTTTGAAAGAATAAGACCCTAATGAGAAACTTTAAATCCTGCCGTGTTTTACAAGAGTGAGTTACATGCACCAGACCTAAACTAATTACATACATAATTCCTTATTAAATGATAACCATCTCACTCAGTCTTCCCTCCCGGGCCACTAAGCTGTTTATATTCAGACTGTTGTTAGTCACATCTTTCCCAATAAAACTCCACTTGACTATTTCTTATTAGCTCTTTATCAGCCACTGTTCAAATTTCGCAGAGGGAATTTGGACACAAAGTGATTAAAAAGGCGAACTTCCTTCAATAAACAGAAGTATCACAATATTCTCGCAAATGTTAAATTATAAAACAGTAACTTAAAGATATAAGGAAAATGTCAATAAAAGTTTATACCACGTTTGTCCAAACCTTCCCAGTAGGTAATAGTGGAGAAAAACCTAAATGGAGGAACATTATCATTGCTAACAGCTAAATAAAGATATTAGGATGATGTTTTTTATGAAATTCTAATCCCACCTAAGAAAAGAAAATGCATCTCCCATAGCACAAAAGCTTAAATTTTTAAAATATTACAAAGTGCAAAGCTATTGTAAGATCTACGTGATCAACAATAAGTCTAATAAGACCAATATCACTTTATGGGATAAGTGGATCCTGTTAGAAGTTTGTATCATAGATAACAAAAGCAATTGTGGCTGTCTTATTGTAAAAGAAGAGAAAAAAAACGGACGGCCTTACTTGCATTCACTAACTTACAGACTTATTCAAATTATGCAAAAGCCGCCTCCGATCCGATTTAAGATAGATACACCCGTTCAGGCAATTCTGGAGATTTGGGGAAAAAAGGAAGGTTTCCAGTAAAACTAAACGAAATGCAAGACAAGGTCACATATTTGAAACCAAGCTGATTAAATCGGTGCTACTAACAACTATCAATTCTTTATCTATAAGCAATACAACTAGTAATGTCTCATATTATATATCAATTTTGCAATTATATATGTAATTCTATTTATATTCTTTTCAGTCATTCAAGTGCTTGGCTACGGTAAAATTCAGTTCAATAACTTTGCTCCCATAGGAAAGCTGGATTGGTGTTTTGATTAGAGTAACAACACCTGTACAATTCAATTTCAACAATTCCTTAGCTCAGTGCCAAAGATACGTTGTAGAAAAAAAGGAGTCTCTTATGACTCTCTGAGCTCAGACAGTTAAATAACTCAGTCTTGACAATTCAAAATTCAACAGTATGAATTCCCAGGCCCATGTCTTTACCGGCTTGATACTCAAAACATATTTGTTAGTTACAAACTGTCCACTTACTTCACGTAACAGTTCTCTAACAAGATTCAATCACCATTTCTCTAGCGTCCTTTAGTTGACGCAGACCTGTGTAGATGAACACATACCCACTGCCCGTTCTTTAACTGCCACACTCGAGTCTCTTCTGATTGGTCCGTCACTGGCTCGCCGTTGCCTCCGATTCGCTGGGTCAGGCGCACGTACGAGATACACGCGGCTTCTGCGCTCAGAATGTGCACGTGAGGCGAGAGAATCGTTGTATTTGTGGGTGCGTTGCGTTGACGCAGCACGTTATCGAAGTAAAACTTGTGAAACTCTAGACCTTCCACAAGATTTCCAATTGCTTCTGGTTCGAAGGCAGTTACGTGAGAGTCAACGAGTTTGCTGTACGTGTCGTAATCTTGAGTGGTTATACTGGTTATCAGTTGCTGCGTTAAGCGGATTATTTCCTGTTCTTTCTGCGATTTCCACTGCGGCTGCGCGCTGGCTTGGGTGGTACCATCTGTTTCTTCGGGATGAGTCGCCATTACATCCTCATCAGATTCCTTCTTCTTTCTCGAGCCGCTAAAATTATGCGTCGCTAAAAGTGTCGTGAGAATGGCCCCTTTAAGTTTTCGTCGCGCGTTGAATCTTCTCAAACCATCGAGCGTAGTTTGGCGATGAACTTTCGAGGCAATTCGTTCACTGTTCTGAAAAAATTGTAAGCACAAAAATAATGCATTTTATAGTTCATAATCAAAAATTTAGTTAAGCGACTGCGAGTTACCCTGGTCAATCGTGAAACCTTCTGAAGGCTGTTGGAGTAAAGAACCTGTTTGAAAGTTCAGATTCCCGTCTGTAAGGCGAGTGAAACAAGAGATTGAAAAGAATATCCCTGTTTGCAGCCCCAGCAAGAAGAAGCGAAGAAATACATCAGATCTTTATAGAGCGCATTTGACATAAAGGACAGGTGCTCAAACAATGCAAGTCAGTGATTTAGTCAATCCCTTCACCACAACACACTTGGCTCAATTAACAAGAAACTTGACAACGAACCACAAACTAAGTAATTTTCCGGTAGATTCACAAATTGTTTTGGAATAACATGGACAGGATGGCTCCGGAAAATAGAAAGAGGAGGCGTAAATATGTGTTGGTCTTTCTCTGATATCGTTTAATTTCATAGGAGAGGCAACTTCATACATTGGACAGTATGCAAATAAGAGCAACTAAATTCTGCATAATTTGAGGCTGGAAAGGTTTTAGCGGTCACAATGCAATATAAGCGCATCACTTGTCTTTTTCCGGGTTCAAATTTTCCCAATTTACGAACTACTAGTGCAAACTATTGAACTTAAAAAACAGTTTGAAATTCTGTAGAATAACAATACAAAAGGCCTTCCACAAGAACAGAAAACAATTTACATCTGAAAAATGATCATTTGCTTTTTCATGCTGGCGTAAAAGTTTTAATTGACGCTTAAATTTTCTTTTTTCAAAGTTTCTCGTCTGGATTAAAAATTTAAATAATCATTAAATAGGAAAAACATTAGAGGCCAAAAGTAATTATTGTAGATAAGGAAAAAGTTTACCAATCGTCTGTGTTGCCATCTTTTAAGCATTCAATTTAAAAGGAAAAAGGCACTTGCAGTCTAAGTATCATTTGCAGAACCGTCGGTATATTAATAGCCTACTGATTCAATAAGCCTAACATCCTTGGTAGCAGTGAAAACCATAGGTTTAGAATTGTAGTTTTGCCACGAAGAACCCTTCCATAGGCCGAGGGGAACATCTTTTAAGAATACGCCTTTTCAAAAGTGAATCGTGTAATTTTGGTATTTCAAGTGTCCAACAGTGAACGTATTGATACAACATCAGCAGACGTTCTCCTAGTCATGTCAGAACCAAAGCCTTTTTTAAGTCGATGATGTTAGGAAACACGGCTTAGTTCGCATTATTTCTTGTCGTTGTAAATATGACGGTTTTGATTGACAACTCAGTGGACTGGGAAAACTTTTAATTCAGAAAATAAACAAAAGGAGCGACCTAAAATAACACTGACGTACAAAAACTAATAGGATTCATTCGGAGGCATTGTTGGAAAATCAAGAAGATTTTCTCAAACTTTCACAACAGACTGTCAAACACGCATTCTCAGTGGACGATTAAAATGGAGGAAGCATTTTGACATCAGCCAATCACTTTCTCGCATTCGCGACGAGCAGAAATGACAAGTATGGTATCCTCGCAAAGGCTGCCTATTAGCTGCATCAAAACTCCCGTAAAATATTTCAGATGTACGAATAATTCTAAAAACTGCGAACCGATCTCAACGCCAGAATGATGTGATGCTCCGATTAAGGAATTATTATTCTCAATCTTGCAGTTACGTAGCAATACACGATATCAAATTCTGACATCAAGGGTAAGCTTGCTTTCAATTTTTCTGAGTGAATTAGTTGGTGTATTCTGTGGCTCATCTTAATTCACCCGTCATATTTTCTTTCGCCGTGTTTTTGAATGGTAAAAATGTATTCAAAAAGAGGAAAACAGAACTTTATGAAAAGAAAACTATGAAACAAAACACTTGCAAAGAAAATATGCGTGGAGTGTTTTTTTTCATTTTCTCTCCTTCAAAGGATAAGATATGGTCTGAGTTTCAATATCATCAGATTCTTCTTCAATAAACAAAACACATAGCAGCTGGCATAAATACATCGCAGTTGCACAAAATTAAAAGCTTTAATCTCGTTTTTCACTTATTTGTCAGCTACTATACTTCTTAACCATTCAACTACAAAAAGGCAGCCAAGAGCTTGAAACAAACAAGTTGACTTCAAAATGGCTCTGAAATATTGTATCGACCTTGTTTCCAATTTTTTTTTACAACATGTCACAAAGTTTAAAAGGGCCGTTCCTTCCTTCTTCACACAAAATGCACCAAAATTGTCTAAGATTTGTATTTAACTTATCTGAGTAAACAGGAGGTGTACTACAGTGTCACTAAATCAAAGCCATTCCCTGGGCAAATTCCCCTCAACAAGTGATGTATAAAACACACAATGGGAGAGGATTAAAGGGCAAAAGTCGCAAAAAAAAAAAAATAATTAAAAAAATAACATAATTTTTCCTATAGTCTATAAACTAAACTTCCATGGAGAGGAGCTGAAAAAAAGTTGAGTACCATAAACAAACAAATTGGTCATTTCTTTGAGCACATATTGATATTATTTGCATTTTATTTCATGGAAGTGACACTGTCACATAACTGAATTGACAGAATAAAATGAATATATAAAACAACATACCACAATCCAAGGATGTTTCAAGGCATCTGCAGCTGTGATCCTTTTACTTTGATCTACAGTGAGCATTTTGTTAATAAGATCTTTGGCTTCCTCTGTTACACTGTCCCATTCTGGAGAGGGAAACTGCGAAAAAAAAAAAAAGAGAAAAAAAAACTTAGCATGTTGAAAAAGCAAACTAAAGACGAGCTTAAGTTGTTCTTGTAATTGAAGGTGGCCTTATTTGAGAAACCATTGCCAAGGTAGCAAATAAGAAAGTGAGGTTGTATTGATCTTTCTATGAACTGGCATCAAAGAATATTCACCATTCTGGTGCACCAAAATTTAAAATGAGGCAATGTTTGAAATGAGGAAATGTGTTTGATTCATCAGTCACAAGAATGAGATTAAGTAAAATTCAGTCCCCTCTCAGGATTTCAAAATAAATGAACTACTTTTAAAAGTGCACATTTATTCATCTCCCTTTCACCGCCTTGATGTCGAGAGTTCAGAAAGTAGATTTTATCCAAGAGGTTTAAAGATGATGGACAAAAATCCCCAGGTGTGCCCAGTACAGCCATTGCAGCCATTGCAATTTTTGGCAATTGCTGCAGTCAGCAAATAAAACTGCCAAGTGTGTTACCAATTTATGGAAAAGCAAGATGTAATTTAGGATGTCATTTTAATTTTTCCAACCTTATATCTCAGTAGGTCTGTAATATTTGTAGTGGCCTCTTGTAGTTAAGGCTGGCTATGTTGTACATTCTTACATTGTTTGTGGGAGCCCACATGTCTCCTGATGCCCAAGGCAGAAGGGCAGGTATAATGGCATTTCAGACAAGGAGTATCATTTGTCCATGTACCACTGAATGCTATTGTGATCAACCTAGAGTGCCACGCCTTCAAAGTATTAAAACCTTATCATTTTGCTGTATGAATAGTTGTACTGCAGCTTTACTGCTTTAAAACACCTCTCACATCACAAAATGTATAAATCAAGCATTAAGTAGAGATCAATGAGTAATTTCTACAAAACAACATCAATATTTCATCTACCTCTTAAGAGCTAACATCATAACATCATACAGATCAGACAGTAAAGACAGCAAATGATATTAAAATCTTGGATGTTAAAAGGTCAAAGTTGAAGTCTAGGTTTGACTTCATATAGTTTTTTGAGCACATGTAGGTCTCTATTTTTATATCAATGGTGTTTTTTGTATATCAATTCAGGAACAAACTCTGTGATGTTGCAAAGGAAAGGGGGCACATTTTCCATTTCCAATGTGTAGTGGAGATCTAGTTTGCAAAGCTTCATCTGATGACCATTTCTTGCCACCAAATTTATGGCCAAATTAGTTTGCAGTGTTGCTTACACCATTGTCTTTATATCAATAACAAGCTTTTTTCAGATTGCAACAACATTTGTCATGTTGTGTACATTTGTACACAATTTTTTGTAAATAAATATGGTTTAAGTGACTTTCTTTCCTTTCAAGAATGTTTCACTGCCTAAGAGTAAAATGGGAGACCTGAAAAAATGCTTAAGGGTAACCTTTGATCCATATAGGGGAAGCAGAAATACTCAGAGTAACTTCATGCTTCAAAGATCAGGGTAAGCTCTAGTGCCTTGTGGGCCACTTGGCTCAGATGCAGACTTAAATATTATGTTACTGTGGCCAGGGTTTCATTGGCAAACCCAGTCTCACAGGTACCGTGAGTTTGTTGTTATTCCTTGTCCTTGCTCAAGAGTTTTTTTACAGGATCTTCCTTTTCAAAAACCACCACACCAGAGACAAGAAAAGCCTTAAAAAGTCTAATTTACCTGTTTTGTTATTGATGTTTGCTACAATTACCTTGATTATTATCAGAAAAGATTTTACTATGCAATTTGCAATAGTGGCAGAAACCAATTAATTTTTTCATTCATTATTAAGTGAACAGCTTTAATAAAATAAAAGCTTTAATAAAACATTATTACATCACCGGAAACAAGTTTTTGGCATTTTCTTTCCAATTTATGCATCCCCTAACCCTAACATCTCCTTGTGTACTTCATATGGTCAAGTAAGTCTTACTCTTTTTACCAATTTTTTAGTCGTTCCTTCAATCATTAAATAATTGCTTTAACAAAGCCACAGCTTAAAAAAAATGTTGGAGCAAGAGCAGCTGATGAAAGCACAACAGCACCAACAGGCAAAACTTGCTTTTTAACTCTCAGCAAACTGGCACTGACTACAAGAAAGTACACTCCATACTGGTAGGGTGGTAAGAGATATGATGAGCAAAATTCTCATACTTTCAAGTTGAATAAGCACAATGATCTCACACCAGCTCACCCTCTTCAAGACTTTTTCTCAACTCCAGCTGGGAAATTTGAGCTATTGAAGTCCTAAGTTACACATCTTGGACAAAATTGCATGTTAGCAAACACAGAGCAGTCGAGGGGTAAAAGGAAGATAAAAGTAAAAGGAAGGGAGTGCACTGGGAACAAGTTTGTAGCAGACTCTTTGGGGAGTCTTCTGGAAGCCATAGGAACATCTGCAGAAAATGTTCAACTTTTTGTGAATGATAACCTTCTCTGTGAATATACTTGTATTTTAAGGGTAAAAATCTCAAACCATTGACTAAAAATATTGCCAAATATTAAATGTAGGCTCCTTTTTAAGCCATTACTCAAGTGTCTTAAGGAGGACTACTGCACCCCTCACCAAGGTCTCTTGCCTTACAAATCAAATCAAGATGCAGGAGCCAAATTCTAGGAGGTTGCACTAAGTAAATTTTAAGGCAAGGTCAAAATCTGGATGACTTAGAACAATATTGCATTATTCATAATGTCTCAACGATCCATCTGTGTTTAATGAGGCGGCTCTGAATTCATTTTCAAAATCCATATTCTTTGTAACAGAAAGAAAACAAAAGCTTAAATGATGAAAGAAACAATGGACTTACATGCGTAATTGCCATAAGATCTTCGCAACAGCGTCCATATCAGAGATCTTGTAAATTTGACGAGAGACGCTAATTTATTTTCCACGAGCTACCATTTTACACGGGAGAAATTCAGAATCTAAATAATCAGCGTTGTAAAACTGAAAAATATCTTTTTAGAAAAAAAATAATATAACGGCTACAGTTGTTAAGTAAATTATTTCTCCACGTCGATGATTTTTTACTTCGCTCTTATCGACGCCAGGTGTTACCTGGAATAATAGCTCCTCAATTAACGCCAGAAACCACCAAAAGAAGAAACCCACAAAAAAACAATTTATCGCTTCGATATTCACGTAACCGAGTAATGTTGGTTTAGACTCCATGGCTAGTGAAAGATCATTAGTGGGAATGATTTATGTTCGCACGAATTGTGAAACTACGGCCTACCATTGTCAATCACGATTCGAAAGCGAAGTGGAAAGAATGGTAACAGTAAAAGAAAACGGACAGCAATTTATATGCTAAATAAACGAAAACACAGTTCTACATACAGGCGCTAAACCGATGGTTAAATAAAGAATATGAATAGATGTTTTGGCTTAGCTTAAATATATTTACGATTCGTGGGAAGAAACAAAAGAACGATGAAAACCGCCCGGCTCGCTCAGTATCAGTTTCTCAAAGTGAAAATACAAATCATGAAATTATGCTTATTTACTTACGTCGTAGGCCCCTGCCTTGATCTGACTGTACAATTTCTGCTGATCTTCGTCCCAAAAGGGAGGATAGCCTACCAGAAGGATGTACAGAATCACTCCACAAGCCCATAAATCTACCGCCTTGTTATATGCTTCCTTCTTCAAAATCTCCGGAGATAAATATCCCGGCGTCCCGGCGAAACCGAACCAACCTAATTTGCCGTTTTCAACTTCGATTGCCAATCCAAAGTCGGCTAGTTTGCATATCGCTGATTTTTCCTTGCTAGAGAGGAGAAGGTTTTCGGGTTTAAGATCTCTGTGCACTATATTGCTGTCGTGACAATGCTGAACACTCTGTAACACTTGCTGTATGCAGTGGGAGGCATCTGCCTCGCTGTAGTACTCTCGGGCTACAATCTCCTCGAAGAGTTCTCCACCAGTGACCATATCAAACACTAAGTAATAGAAACCTTCTTCTAAGATGCTAGAGTGAAGACGGACGATATTCGGGTGTTTCAGGCCCCGACAAATCCGAGCCTCTCGCTCAACTTTCTGGATGTCGCGCGAGGTCATCTTTCGCGTGTCGAGAATTTTAACAGCAAATTCGACTTTCCCTTCCTTCAGAACACATTTACGAACTATACTAAAGGCTCCCCTTCCAAGTTCTTCCTTAATTTCATACATATCGTGAAAAGGCCTTGCCTGAGACGCCATTTTCCACTTCAGCTATTGATCTGGTTGTGATTTTGCGATCGATCCTATCAACACCTGTGAGAAGGGCCTGGGATGAAGCGTCCGGCTTTACGGAAATGAAATGTTCAAATTACACGACAGTTTACTTCCGTTATGTGTGAAAACAGGGTATCGAAGACGCAATTAATTTTCTTCTCCGTTATCATTGATCGCTACTTTTTTCGAATTTGTAAACATGCTGTATGACCATACATTTTTAGGCGTATTTTTCAGGAACGCAACGAAACGAACATTCCCTACTCCCTTTAGGCCTCAACCTTTTTGCTGTAAACCAATTGTATTGAATTCCAGCTCCAGGTTAAAATTGAATTATGCCATTAATAGTTGAGAAAAAAAGCTAGTGTTTTGATAAACAATAAAAACAAGCAAACTCCAAATGATTGCTTAGAATAGAAAATAAGTTTGAGGGACGATATGCTCAGTGTGTATATTGTTATAAGCAGATGTCATGTACTACTTGAATTAGCTAGTCATCTATTCTCGTCTTTTGTAACACCCTGCAACCGCTTGGCTGAAAAGTTTTGGATCGAGAATCTAAGTGTCCACTCTGTAAGGAGATTTCAGGTTGAATTGGCAAGATCTTTTCACCGCCTTAAGCAAAATATTTCAAGGTTAATTTTCTCGCTTTACTCATTAGTATACGCATTCAAATGCAAAATAATTAACGAAACTGCAGAAAAAGTCAATTTTATTTATTTTAATCAATGATAAAAAAATCTATAGAAAATTAAAAACGTGAGCTTAAATTCAAGAAACTAACAACATTTTTTTTGCGATGAAGAATTCCTTGACAATCGTTGCAGTAGAAATTATTTAGATTAGATTGGAAAACACTTTTAAATTCCTCAAATAATTTTAAGTTTCGTAGGTTTCATCGATGTCTCCTAAACTTATATGGTGTCCCACCTGCGACTGAATTGAAAAACAAATAGTTGACACGTTGATCGTGTCAATACCATATTGCAGCTGCTTCATTCTGGAAGAGTTTCAGTTCTGTCAGCTCCGGTCTTCTTGAATGAAAACAATAGATCCCTTAAAGTGGGCATTCGAGAATTTTCACTTTGAGTCAAGAGCCTGTCTAATGGACCCGTGATCATTAGCCGTGCAGATCAAAGGAACGCCGCCTACGTTTGTTTTTCTGAACGAATTGGCCAATATAAGCTTTATAAAGGACGATGGAAAATAGCGATTTCTATTTTCGGACGCGCTGTGAAAGTTTGTCTAATTACTCCTGAAAAATTTAGAGAACGTGCTCTTCCAATCGATCCAAGAACGATATTAAACTGTTTTGGTCGTGTTGTGCACATTTGGACAATACAGACTATGTAAGGATTGATGTAAAGGAGCAATTTCCATATTCAGACGCACTGTTAAAAGTTACGTTATCTTTCCAGAAAAATGTGGACAGTGCGCTGTTCCAAGAACGATATCAAACTGTTTCAGTCGTCGTGGGTAAATCTGGACAATACAGGCTATGTGAAGATTGATAGAAAGGAGCGATTTTTATGCTCAAAATGTAGACAGCGCGCTGTTCCAAGAGCGATATTTAGCTGTTTCGGTTATGTTAGGCTTTGTAAAGGTTGATAGAAAGGAGCGATTTCTATTTTCAGACTCGCTGTTAAGAGTTACTTTATTTTTTTCAGAAAAATGTGGACCATGCGTTGCTCCAAGAGCGATATCAAACTGTTTCGGTCGTGTTTTCTATTTTTTTTGTCTCTTGTAAACAAATATTGTCTCACACACTCTTTTTGGTGGTTTCTCGGCTCGAAAAAAAAAAAAAAGCATACGTGAGTGTGCTGACTACATACTCTGGGAGATGTCTCCTTTTCTTCCACAACAAGTACATCTCCCACCGACGTGCAACTGTTTAGGGGACTACAAACTGATCAACTGAATCTTATTAACATCCAAGTAAAGATAACCTTTCTCGGCTTGTGTTTACAACATTCACCATTGATACTGATTCTCAAAATGTTTTCTCGACGCCAACTAGAAATCCTGAATCCTCAGGAGCATTGCTGGAAAACTTTCAACCTGACCTCTTTCACTTGCACACCGATCCTCTTTACTGATTGTATGAAAATGTCTTATTATTCAGTTCTGAAAATTGACGTTGAATCAAGCAATATTCCTTGAGTAAAGAACATTTTTTTTATCGCCCTTTTCTCCTCATTACCTTTCAGTTTTAAAATGTGCTTGGTGTAAATCAAAATTGCTTTTTGGCCACAGTTAAGTGTGAAACTTAGCAAACTTCAGAATGTTGGGAAGAATCGTGGGAAGGTCTCGCCTGGGACGGCATTTTCACCTTCGCTCATGTTCTCTTGGCTTTCATAAATACAATGAAAATGGATAATTTTAATGTGCCGGTTTATCATATTTTATTATAAGAAAGCTCTTTTAAGAACAGGGCCTCACACCAGGTTTGATTTTTTTTGGCGTTTTTCTCATCTGTATTACTAATCATTGTGAAAAAGTAGACGGTTATGCAATAACGCATTCAAACGGAAAATAAACAGCGAAACTGCAACAAAAGAGACACATTTCTTAATCAATTAGGAAGCTTAAATTAAACATTGCAACTCAAACCAAAGAACTTAACAATATTTCTTTTAATACGGTTCTGAATTCATCGTTCAAAACTTAACAATCGTTGTCACTTAAGATTGGAAAGCACTCTTCAGATACTAAACTTTCGTTGCCATTGATCTAAAACCCAAATGAGCAAGGTGCAGTACTTTCTTGTGATTGTGATAGTTTGTAAAAATCACCAAGTTGCCATCAAATTTAGGTTGGGTTATCTGTTGTTTCTTGTTCTTTTATTTTCCTTTTTTTCATCCATTCAGTTACCAAAACGTGTTTGTTGAAACGACACAAAAACTTTGCAAAAACTTACATTGCAAATACTAACACTCTATAGCATACAGAGAGGAGAAAAAAAAATTGAAAAAACACTCTGAGGCAATAGACAAAAAAGATTTTCACTCAAAGCTATTTTCCCGGTGCGCTTTAGCTCGTACTTCTCCAGTAATCTAACAGGGTCAGTTGCAATACGTACTGACGCAGTTGTAAGGACCAAACCCAAACGGTGAAAATGCATAGGGGTGATACTTTGCTCTTTCCGCTTATGTGAATCTAACAAGAATAAAGCATTATTATGAGGTCATGAGTGCAAGATGCGATGGCCTCATATGGTATGAGAGCGGGTTCAAGATCGTAATCCTTCATGTGTTATCTGCCTCAGCCTTCAGCTTTAGCAAACAACTCAGACCGCGGTTTTATTAATCTATATATACCATATTACGAGCATTCCCTCTCTACAAGGCTTATATTCTCGGATTCGGTCAGGTTCGTAAAGGTTCTTCTAGGGCAGACCACAACACCGGGTACTACGTTCCCTACTCTTTGCAATAAGTGTGTGGGTTCTTTAACGTCCCCTACTAACTAGTGCCGAGAAGATGCAGGAGACGGGGCCATCGGCTTTACGCCCTTATCCGAGAAGACTAGAATGTCTAACCGCTTGCAGATATCATATTTAAGACCCTGAGTGTGGGTCCGGTCTGGGTCTTGAACCTCGACCTCCTGCACAATAGTCCAGCGCTCATCCACATGAGCTAACCAGGCGGCGGTTAATTCATGATATCATGCTCAACCTCATTCAATAATTGCTTATGGCTTCACCGTACAGAAACCGCAGTAACCTACGGTTTGGTTGATCTACTCCCGCCAACAAGTAATCTCGCCCACAGGTCAGTTTCACTCACAAGTCATCTCGCCCACAGGTCAGTCATCACTTGAAAGGCTCACCTTTCAGGGTTAAACGTTTCATGTTCCTGCCATAGTATCAGATCATGGTGGATTGCATATCATTGAATCATAAAAGGCAATCCTTTAGGAATAAACAATCCTTTTGTAGTGCAAGCCTGGTTGCGATCTCCTTGAAGTCTGGGACAATGTGAAGTAAAATGACAAATTAGCTTTGCTCAGAGTCTTCAAAGCCTTCTAACGAATATATAGTGACAGGATTAAGCTAAATGGCAATTCTTTGGGAAATCTATCTGAAATGAAAAAAAAAGGAAAAAAGGAGAAGAATTTTAATTTACACAGACATATATAGGCCCCACATACAATATACCCCAAGATACATCCATCTATCCATGGTTGTACAGCAAATGCAAACTTGTCGTCGTAGGAGGTTGCGGTATTTTGCATTCCATAACCACTTTTTGATTTCGCGTTTGTTAGACATTAGTTTTTGTATTTGGAATTTTTCTTAGCGAAATTTGTGGGATAGCTGGCGCCAAATATCAAGTGGCCTTTTCTTAGTAAAATGATAAATAAAACCTTTTTTTGGATATGTTTTATTGTCACCCATTCGAAGAGGTAGGGATGATGCTGGTAGGGTTTAATTAATTATATAATTTAGTATACACTTTATTTACCGAAGTATTGAAATATATTTATTCATGATTTTTTTTTTCACGACGCATTGTCATCCAAGTCATTCCTTCGCATGACCTGACCCCAAATTCTGATACGAATGACTGATTACGCACAAAACATTTTCAAATCAAAGAATTTCACAACACGAAGGCTCAAGCACCCAAAACGCATATTCCTGAAGAATCAACTCATCGTTTCCCGCTATGGCCGATGCAGCAGCCGCTATTGCAATTTGCAGTGTGATTTTTGCACTATTTTTTGTCTTCTGGATTGGAAGTATGTGCTACTTCAGGACCCCGTGCAAAGATCTAAAGAAGGAAACCAATTATATTGAAGAAGGAAACCTCAGTTAGGCGGGCAAGAACGATTCTGATATTCACTAGCTTAGCAAGGTACGTCTTCAAAATTTTTCACTGCGTGCTACGGCACCGCATGTGTGATACTTCCGTTAGTATTGCGGATGATTACTTTGGGTGTCTAGATGTCCGTACTGTCAGTTATTATCACGCGACTTAACTGGAGAATTCGTACGATAATTCATGACAACATTTCGGTTTGATATCTTCACAGTCGACTGATCCAGAAAACAAGCTCCGATCCTTTACATTCTAACTACAGGATTTATTGACGCGTACTCGAAATATACGATTAGTCTTTAGAATTTTCGGGAAAATGGCTATCAGCTTTAATAAATTTTGTCTATTTTTGACCGCAAACGAGCCATGTGCGTAAATGAATATGCTTAACTTGTCCAATGGCTCACGCGGTGTACACGTTTTAATGATAAAGAGGCAACACGAGAAACTGAAAGAAAAAAAGGACCAAGTAATTAATTTTTCCCAGTATCCAAGAGTAGCTGGTCAGAAGTCTCACATGAGTAATGATACAATCTGACTTGAAATTGCAAGTAATTTGGTTCAGAGGGCGGTGGCGATTCGATATAGTTACGGAATATTTGATTGTCTGCCCGTTTGCAGGATTGTATTCCTAAGGCAAACCGTTTCAAATGCCGAAGTCGTGACAATCCGATATCCGATCTCCAAGCGACTCGTAATCAGCTCAGTGTAACATTACATTTTTGGGGAGCATGACATAACGTGTGATTATTTGAATGTATGAGCTAAATTGGAAGCGCTTCAAATACAAAGATGAATCTTTAGACTTGGACTACACAATAAGAAAGCAATCTCTGTTTGTTTGCGCTCGACTTAAGGAACGTGTTTACATATCAATACAATTACAATGCAAATTAGGGGTTATGTACTTCAAGAATAACAAATGTGGACAAAAGAAAAGTGAAAATCTTGCATTTCAATGAGGCGGTAAGTCATATCACATGCACAAATTAGCGAGCGTTCATGGTGTTCTAAATCCAGTCGCCATCTGTCAACAAAACAACCAGCCTTCACATGGCATTGGATAAAAAAACAGCTCTAGTGGTTTCAGCAGTTCTATTTGGTGTTTTCTTCTCATTCTGGATTTTATCGCTGATATTTTGTAAATGCCGTGAACCTAACGATGAATCTACGTCGAGGCACTCTAATCGCCGTTTCACACCGGAGGAGGAACGAATGATACGGCAAAACTCCGAAAGAAGAGCACAGAATTACAGGGATGCCTCTTTCACTGTGTGATCTTCTCGACAGTCGTTAAAAAAGAGAAATGAGATAGTAAGTAAAAATCAGATAACTTTCGTAGTCAGACGAACACACCAGCGCTTCAGAAAATAATCATGATCGAATCAGTGATTAGCGGACAGTTAACGAAACGCCTGGAGCCTAAGCAAATCTTTTCCACAAAAATCAACTGTTTAACAGATGGCTAAGAATAGATTAGTAAGTCTGTGCACCTCATGATCACTGCGTTATCCACCCTGTTTGATATCTCTCATAACTAACAAGCTGGCTGCGAACTCAGTGACCATCGCCGATTTTATTGTCATCCCTACTTGTTTTTTTTCTCGGCGTGAGGTCGAAAAATGGTCGACCCTTCGCACACGGTTTTTTTTTTGTTTGTTGAAGGTTTAAGCGACCTTTTATCTTTTGCAAAGCTCATGATTATTGACGAACTTGAGCTGCAGGGAAGCATGGGACTCAAAACAACGCCATCTCGTTTTGAAACAAAAGTACCTTGAGTTCCAAGTTTGGTGTTATATTCGACGTTGACACAATTTTTTTTTCTCGGTTATTCGACTTTGTCAACGAGAACTTACTTATTGGTGACACAAGAATGAAAGAAACAATTGGTATTCGCCATGTATGGATTTGTTTATGTCGCCTTTATATTCCAAGGATCTTATTCGCTAATCAATATCGCCATATAACACGACGAACCTAATATCACGAAAGAGAACGACATGTATAAGGGCTGACCAAGCTAATGCAGTGAGTCGCACGAGCTTGAGCTCTTCCCAAGGGCGTTAACTGTTTTTGAGGTTTTAAAACCTCAAAAACAGATTTAAGATGTTCCGCTGAGCTCTTTTTTTCTTTGACTCTTTTTTTTTTAATTAGTAGGGCAGCGAATAGGCTCGGCTTGCGCAGGTTTTTGTCGTCCGGTCTACGATCTTCTTGAGATAGAGAAGGAGGAGGGCGGGCTCATTTCCAGAGCAGCGGTTGATTATGGAACCAAAGCAAAAGAATAAAAAAGAGAAAGAAAAAAAGAAGAGAGAGTTATTTACTTCACATTTGTGTAATTACATTTGAGTAAAAAGCCGAATTACCCATAAAATGTCTTGAACAATTATTGAATAACAGCATAGTGTAATAATTACGAAAGTTTCCTGCATTTTTTGATATCAATTAAAATATGTTTTCTTTATTCTCAGTTTTATAGATGTTAAAAACTACCCGTGGAAGCGATGGAACGGTGATATTATACAGACACGGGGACAATTTTTGTGACATTTCTACGGACGTTGTGTACGTTACCTGCATCCCAATACATTCTTCTTCATTTTTACTTTAGTACTTGAACTTTTGTAATCATTTCAAGAGAATATGAACAGCAGTCTATAATCTTTTGATTCCTTTTCACTCCTGTTTTTACCCTTTATAATTTGTATCCTGTAAGTTTCTTCCATAAATAAATAAATAAACTGTACAGTGGTTGTCAATGTTGTGCCGCTGAGCTGAAAGCGTTTGGAAGTACTGTTTGCACATCACTCTATTAAACTGGCTTAAGACTATTATTCAGGTTTTCTTCTAAACTGAACTGCCGTTACTGTTCAAAATCTGCACCACTTTCATCACTTGATCTCGGTGTACTGCAGCCTGGAACGTCGTTCAAAATGGGCGAATTAAACAGCTAATGTTATTGAGACAATCTGTGCGTACTTTGAAGCGTTGATTAGTCAGCTAATAGACATTTTAGACGGCTCCGCTTCCTTAACTTTCAACGAGCGATGATCCTGAAACCCGCCAGCTACGCAAGTTACCAGACAGCATGTCGACAGCCTGAAAAGACCTTTTTGGACCCCCTCGTCGTGAACGAGGCTTAGCGGCATTGTGTAACTGGCACCTCATGTTTGTACGCAAGTATTTATCTTCAAACTTGGAAAACCGTAAGACATAAGTGTGTCGTGATTTGATTACCACAACGATAATAATTTCTTCCTCCTTGTTACCGTGTTTTCGTCTTCCTTCCGCACAGAGCTAACGTTTTCCCAAAGAGGACTTGGGTCATACAATTTTCGACAAAAAACTTGGTTGGCAAAGCTCCTCATTTCATTATACGAGAGAATTTAACTGGCGCTGTTTCCTGGCGATAACTCTTTTTTCTCCGATATACTTCCAGTGAAAAATGTGGTTCCAATCTGTTTCCAGATGTAAAACCAGGGTTCTCCGTACAAACGAAAAGCGCTGTTTGTCTTGCACGCAGCTGTTTCTTGGGATGTTACTTGACGTTTCTACTGAGTGACATCCGTAAAATAGGTGTCTGCATGTATACTGCCTACAAAAATTGCAGAATGCTCAGAAGGAATGATTAGATGTTAGACGTATGGAGAACGTGTTTGACGTAAATTACACACTTGAAAGGTTGAAAAGGCGAAAACATTCTTCTTCCTCTGGCTCGTGATTTACAAACGTTTGAAGTGTTCTCCCAACATCCCGCTTGGGTTATTACGCCGTTAAACCCATAGAAAGTGCAGTCTATTGGTTAAGCAACAACCAGAAATTATTGGCAAAATTGCTCATGACGGACTTAGATCTAATGTTTATTGCAAACTCGACAGAACTTGACTTCCGTCCCTAAATAGATTTTGGTTGACAATTCCCTCTCTCTTAACAGTCTTTCTGTGTATGCGCCGAAAATGAGTGAAAAAGCGACCCGTAGACGGTATGGCTTGTAGCGAAACTGACATTGTAGGCAAATTGATTTCTGCGCGAGCTGACCCGTCGGAAAGATAATTTGTAGGCGAAACTGACCCGTAAGTGGAATGACTTGTGGGCGAACCAACCCGCCGGCGAGATGACTTGTAGGTGAAACTGATCAGTAGATGAGATGAGCTGTGGGCGAAGAAACCGGGGGGGGGAAGGACTAGTGGGCTAATTGACCCGTAAGCGAAACGACTTGTAGGCGAAACTGACGTGAAGGAGAGTTGACTTTTGGGTGAGCCAACCCGTATGAGAGATGACGTGTGACTTGTGGATGAGATGACTTGTAGGCGAACCAACCTGTAGGCGAGAAGACTTTTGAACGAGACAAACCTGTAGACGAAATGATTTGTGGGAGAACCGACTCGTGGGCGAGATGATTTGTAGCAGGAACCTATTATCTGGAGCTTCCATCTTCCATACTTACCCTCTGAGTCAACCCTGTCCCGTATCTTTCTATTTTTAGAAGCACCTCCCACGGGGTTTTTCGGGGGTGTTTACATAGTAGCCAATCATAAGAGAGCTGTGGTCCTCTATTGTTTACATCGCATGCAGGCCGTACGAAAGTATTTCAATAATGGCGAAAAGCGCGGAAAGTTTACCATTTTTTTTAGGGTGTTATGCGAACGTCAGCGTGTTTTCGCGGGAAATTAAAAAACCTACCCACGTATTTCAGTTATAAAAATAAAAAGATACAGGACAGGGTTGACTCAAGGGTACAATTGGTATGGAGGCTCCGGGTAATGAGCTCCTGTTTGTAGGCAAAACTGGCCGGTAGGCGAGATGACTTGTGGGCGAACTGATCCGCAGGCGAGATGACTTGTAGGCGAACCAACCTGTGAACGACTTGTGGGTGAAATAAACCTGAAGGCGACTTGACTCTTGGGCTCACTTACCCGTAAGCGAGACGACTTGTTGCAGAAAATGACCTGTTGGCGAAATAACAAGTGGGCGAGGGTGCCCAACCAAACTGGAACTTACTTCGGTTTCTGTGCCATGGGAGGGGGTTGTACTCTAATTCTCTGCACCTGCTCTGCTGGAAAATGTAACTCGTGCTTCAGCCTTTTGCTATTAGGCTCGAGAATCACATTTGTCACCTTGAACTGGTATGGTTTTGCTAAACTCGAAATCTTTTTTGTAATGTGGAGTTTGATAGTACCGAATTAAGTACTTTTATCAAAATTCGCGTTGTTAAGGAATTAGTCGACTGAAGGAATTCCAGATTGTTAAAATAGTACGTAGACAATATTCATATTCTTCGTGCCGTATGCACACGATGAAATTATTATTTTCGTGGTCACTTTAACCTCCGAAATGACGTAATTTTTTGTGTTTTTAGGAAAGCGCAAAAAAAAAAAATTACACCGCTTTTTCATTGTCGCGGTTAATTATACATCTGATCGACATACTAATGGCCTATAACTGTTTTTAATTAGTGATGCTCATTGTTCTTAAGAGAGAACTGAAGTTATTTCCTTAGATTATTACCAAACGGATTAAGGTCTTACCGACTTTGATTCCTAAAAGAACAATTTTTAGTATTCTATTTATAAGTGCTGTAATTTGAAAACCCAAATACTCTTTTTCAAACATGTTATATGAGAAGAGAATATAACCGAAATTCTCTTATAGATGATAATGCCAAACAAGGCGAATGACTTTTTTTTTTCTCTACCCTATTATTTCCACGTGTTTTATAGCTTTCTTTGTCTCGCCGCAATTGGTTTCTTACTCTGATAATCTTGTTGTTGCTTCGGATCAAGGTTAGATCGCCATGATAATTACTCTGATCCTTTTCTGGTCATTTCTACATCCCACCAGTTCTTTCCGTGTATTTGTTTTTTCCTGGTCGTGTTTTCAAAATTCGGAGTTTCAAAGTAAAAACATGAGTAAAATAACATGAATAAGTAAACAAGCATTTTAACTTGTGTCCTGATTTGGTCACGTCCGATATGAACCGCCACACATCACCAGTCTTCAGGTGATGAGGGCCACCTCATAGAGAATTCTGCCACGGTCTGATTGTTTGTTTCTTATTGCTGTGATGGATACCTTACGAAGACGCAATCCCTCGGCGGTAAATGGCCTTAAAGTCCCGTTTTGTTTTGTTTTTGGTCGTGGGAATCGATGCTTCTTGAGTCTCTACTCCAGTGTTGTTGAAGTGAGGTCTCATATATGTTAGTGGCCTACTTTACTTGATTTGCAATTTGAAAACCCAAGCCGTACTAATCGTTTCACACATCTTTCACTTTTCTTTCTACTTCGCATAGTTTAATTAACGTAAATTTGATATCCTTTTCTTTAGTTTTTTTCTCTTTTCAGGTTGGTATTTCTAAAAGGAGAGCTGCAAGATTTAGTTGATATAGGAGACCGGGCCCCAGATATCGATTTCAAAGAGATATCACTAGCTGGACGTGCAGACCATCGTGATGAACAATGGCGCCTGTTCGTCCCAAGAGTTTGAAATGGGTGTCTAAGAAGTTTGCACCCTCTAATTGAATGTAACAACAAGATTCAATTGTTGAATTAACGACTTTACACTTACATGCGCTAAAGGATGGTCTGAGTACCTTCTACCCGAATTCAATATTTGTGTTTATTGTAATGCGACAGAAACAATTCATCATTTTTTTTTTAATCTCAACACTTGTCACCTATTGTGATTGCTTTTGTCTCTTTCTTGAAGAAAAATTGCACCCAGGAAAGATCAATACTGGGCTTTCTTTTTTCATAAGGATGTGATTAACGCAGAATCTAGTAAATTCTAGTTTGATTGAGAAACGGAAGGAAAAAAATCATAACAAGATTACAAATATCAGTGGCAGGTGCGACAAGAATGTATTCCGGTAGAGCTGCATTCCGTTGAAAAAAAAAATTAAATGAAGAAAATTGGCAAAAATCTAGGCGCGCAATTTTCGCATATTTACCCACAATCGCTTTTTCATAGGTTGACTGGTTTGTTATGCATATTCATTTCCTCTTCAATTCAAGCGTCAAAATGTTGCGGTGGCAATATCGTTCTCTGTGACTTGATATTGAAGATTTTCTTTTCAATAACACACGTCACACGAGAGCAGAATTGACCTCTTATCTGTTTCTACCAAATATTATATTACAGGCGACTGAACATATCAATCGCTGGTTTAACAGTAGGCAACGCTGAAGGGAGACGCTTGTTTGCACGAATTAAAAACAGCGAGGAACTAAACCTGGTTTGTAAACACGCAACAGAGACACAGCTTGTAAAAACAAGGTTTATTCAGAGGAATCTCTTTATTATCTTTTGTAAGGAATGGATTGAGGTAAGTAAGTTAAGAAAACATTGGCACCAAACAATTATCAATCAACGGACACTCGACCGACCTAGCTACAGGAAATAATTTCAAAGACAGTTTTCTCGTAAATATCATCCACAAAAAATACTTATGGTGAATCTTTTCGGAGGAGAAACCCTCTATAGTGGTTGTGTACTCGGATCGACTCAACCAAAACACCCTGGCATTCTTTTCAGGCGTTAAGTGGGGTTTTCGAGTCAATGCTATCGATGTCTGAAAGCAACATCTAAGATATATTTTCACTCTTTTTGACTTTGTGGTTTTAACCATTCGGGAATGCCTTTCCAACGTGGAAGATTTCACTGATTTAATCGCTTTAGCAGTCATCAGAACCTATTTCTGGATACGTCACGACGAACTGTTTTTGAAAGATAATGATACAATATACTGAACGTTTGATTAAAACCATTCAAGGTTTGGTCAGAACCGCGGAGTCTTGTAATGATATAAATGTATACAAAAGTTTTCCCGCAATTAATATTCCTGTTTAGGTATAGTTTACATTGTGAAAGGGGTTATCTTTGACAAAGAAGCTGAAATGAAATGCGTGATTTAGATGTCGTTTAGCAAACTTTGTCTCATAGTACGTGATAACGAATATCCCTTACTCAAAGCGTCAGGCGTGAGGAAGCTAGCGAGACATGTCCATATTGTTATTTTTTGTTTTCATTTAATATTCTTGTTTTAAAAAATGAAAGATATTCGTATTCAGCCGTAAATGAAAGCTTCTTGCCACACGGAGAGCTGAATATCAACCGTTTTGGCCTTTGAAAGAGAAAGAACTATTTTTATCTGAAACGAGTGGACGGCGGAACAAAGAATATTCGATAGGAGATTAACGGGAAGAGGGGGAGGGTTAAGAAACGATCTCCTCACGGTTTCTCGGAATTTATATATATCTGTATACATCTTTAAGTATCTCCAGTAAATGTTCCATGGTAGCAACTGGAAAATGCTATGTTTTGCTTTAAATTTGTGGAACTAAAGCCCCTCCCCCATCCCCGTCCGGCTGCGCCATAGCTGCCAAATCAAACGCTATTGTTTTCAGAGATAACCCCATCTAGCGAAATAATCTCAGAGGATTTGGGGTACATGATATAAACATCAACGCTGTCAAAACAGTCAACGAAGCAAAAAAAAAAAAGATTACCGTAACTGAGACGTATCTTTAATCAATTCTCAATCAGTACCCAAGAAAACTTATTTAAAATTGGTGAACTTTATTCCTCTCTTTGTTGTTGGAGATACCCAATATGCATGTTTTTGTGTCATATATGTAGCCATCGCGTGATAGTCATTAGTTAATGAGATTCTAATTTACTTTTGTCTCAGATCAGTAAATCTGTGATTGTCTCACCGATAGGAATAAAAGCTACAGTGAAAGACGCCTCACGGAAAATAGAAAGGAAATTCGAACGGAAACTTGAACTGTAAAATGTCGGAATTTTTCAGCTGTAATGACAGCACAGGACGTTACGTCTTCAATATCGTGTTTTTCTCGCTCATTGGCGCAGCGATCATCGTACTTCTCGTACTGGGTGCTTACTTGCTCTTTAAACGACACAAGAAAGCTCAAAAGAGAAGATTGCTTTCAAGAAGTCGTGTAAACACCATGAACACAAATAGCACAATTTTATCAGGGGCCAGTGGAGGCGGCGGAAGCAGTCAACTTACGAGTAATTTTATCCTGGGCCGGCCACCTGCCACTGATGTAATTCTGGGTGTTTACGGTGACGAAATCTCCAAAAATGCCAGGGCTGCATTTTATGAAGAGAAAGGCTGGCGAGGATTTGCTTACTGAAGATTCATCGAGTGTGTCTAAAGCGCACGTTCATGACAAGAGTCTAGGTTAATTTTAATCGAGAGATTTTCCCGTTTTGGTTGGCACCTGAGTTGCGTTTTAAATAGCTAGTGAATTAGCATTTATGGGCCGATTAACACACTTTGAAAGTGAAACAATACGGCTTAAAATCGCTCTAATGACTTAATGGTCGTTAACATTCTTTCTTCGCCAGAACGGCTCAAAGAAGTTTTGAGAGATTCTTGAAAGTTGTAAAGCGGTCTCAGCGACACCTTACCCGTAATTGTCCATGGATATGAACATATTTTAGAAAAGAAAAGCGCCTTTTGTACTAAGGCGCTTATATCTCATTTTCACGTGACATAATAAAAGCCGGTTTTTGTCTCCGATCGACGCCCCGGTCAAAATGTCACGAGAAGAACATATGCCTTTTCGCTGAAGGAAGTAAAATAGTTCTTGTGAGGAAATGAAATCTCGTTGTATGAGATACTTCCTATTGTAGAGAAATTTTAACCTTCTCTGAATTGTATCAAACCAATTAAGAAGGATTTCACTTGAGTTTAGCTATTAAGAGTTAGCTGAGAGTGGAATTAGTACACTTTAAAACTGGTCTAATTATTTTGAAAAGTCAGGCTGTTTGATAGCCTCAGCATGTTAAATATATTAATTGTTCCGGTCTGATCACTACTTCACGGCATTCCATGCCTTTTTTAGAATTCCCTTCAAATAAAAAAAACCCTTAAAATAATAATTAATGAGGGTGAACAAACTCTAAAGTACAAGGGTGGTTGGGGCGGACGAAGGAAATGACAAAATTTAATAAAATTAAGCAAAATATTCCATGTATCTTTTTTATACATTGTGAATCGATGTTCATAAAACAAGTTAACTGCGACACTTGAAATACCGCTAAGAGTTACCATTCACCCTTTGGTGCCACAACGTCCGTATGTATATTTTCCATACTGTTCTCTTCCTTGGTTGGCGATCCCTTCCTCTATTCTCGTGACCTCAATGTCTGATTCAGCAGTGATCGCGTACGAAGAAATAAAATGCTTGTTACTCTTAAGATTTAACGGGGTAACATATAATACGACGCAGATGGCAATTCGGCAAACCTACTGTTATTGAAAAAACGTGTTTATCAAACTATCAGGATTAAGTTACGTGTAAATCAGTGGGAAAAGATGACAAACTTTATCAAATGACCTGCACGGTCCTGCGCGTGATCTTATTGAAAAACAAGAGACAAAATCTCTGTAAAAGGGCCATATACGGTGGTGTGAACAGGACTGGAAAGAACCGTACAGCTCCGCAAGATTTCGGCAAAATGAGGAAAGGATAGGAAGCATATAAGAAAGGGAAGGTCATATGTGAAAATGGTTATTGAATGAGTTAGGTCGTGGAGGGGACAGGGGGGCGGGAGCCCGGGAGAACAGGGGGCGGGAGAGGGTGGGAAGCGGGAGAACAGGGGGCGGGAAGCGGGATCTATATGAGGGCGGGAAGCGGGAGCAGAAGTAAAGAAGGTTATACAAAGTTTGTTGTTTATTACTGGGTATTATTCAGTCAAAAACACTTACCTTTTGAAATTTCCATTTAACATCCACCAATGTTTAAAAGAAAATTTTGGAAGCAAGAAAACGTAAATTTTTACTTGGGCTGGAAAAACAGCATTACTTCCGGTGAATTTGGAAATCCCTTCAATTCGATTACGTCATACAACAAATATACAGAAAACTTGACATACTACGAAGTCAAATAGGCTTGTCAGCCCCAATTTACACTCGATTATTAAACGGGCGCTTTAGACTCTCCGAAGAGACATTCTGCAAGATGCTTTCAGACTACCGAGGCGAATGTGATTTGAAAACAAATGAAATCAGTGAAGAAAATCAATTTAAGAAGTTGTCTTGACTCGGCGGAAGAAGAAACTCTAACCAAAATTTGGGGTTTGAAGAGTTCAGTGTGGTCTTCCCGGCGCAGGAGGTTAGAAAACTTCTTTTAGCCTTGAAACTTTCCGTAGAGGTTTCAAGAAGATTTCAACCTATCGAACAAATCTGATAATCAGCCGAACAAGAATGTTCAATCAAGCTTCACTTGCACTTAAGCTGAACGCTAAAATGGGAAGGATTCGACAATTGATATGCAGCGATTTAAATCATCCTTTGGAGTCAGCTTTTTTATTCGCTCACGACTAGCTACGACTAGTTACTTACGTCAAAAAGGGAAAGCAAGCACGGATACAAGAGAAGCAAACTCTAAACGTTACATACTTTATTTATTTAATTATTTATTGTTATTATTTATTTATTTATTTAATTCTCCCCAAGGGGCTTTCAACGTTACGTCTGGCTCTTGATTATTTTATTTGATTTTGAAATGGCATTCCTAAATGCATGGAAAAACCTACATTACATTGCAATAGCTATTACATCACACAGTGGACCGAGACTTTCGTCTCTATAACGAGATGTCTGAAGCGATGGTCAAACTGTGATAACCAGGTCAGTGAAACTTAGCGTAATTAAGAAAACTGACCTGTAATAACTTTCATCGGAACCAATGATCCCCCCGCCAAAACAAAGGCCAGAAAATGAACAACAATGTTAAGTTTTGGCACAGTTTGAAAGTTAAACCCGGGCTTCTGATCTTCTTGATTAGCCTGAAGATGGGAGCAACACCGTGAAGAGTGGGAGTCGGGAGGCAAAGGGGCACAAAGGTACGGGAGGCAGGAGAACGTGGTACAGGAAGCGGGAGACTCTGACCTCCCTGTTCCCCCCCGACTAGGTCGGGCTGAACAGGAAAACGGTTGGGCTCCGAGTTCGCACATCATGATTTCGAGCCAAGTAATTTCCCGTTCGGCCGACCCACTCAGTCTAGGAGATTTGTCTCGTGGCTAGCCGTAGCGAAGGATGACGATATATATTTTTTCATTCTCCGACGGTGTAAGGTTTACCTATTACGTGGTCACAGTTGACTGTTATCATTCAACTTCCAAGACACCTTCAGTTTTTCATTTGACTGAACAGCGGTCTACCTTTAGGCTGAGAAGGAATGGAAACGAAGTGTGAACGCCTAGCTAATATCTGCTTTAGTAAGAAGAAACGATGAACATTATGCTTATTGAGCTCGTCGTTTAAGCTAAGTCTATCAGTTTTTCATATAGTATAATGAAAGACTGTCACCAAAAATCAATTTTAGTTAGTTTGATGTTTGCCCATGGGTACCGGCGCATCTAGCCACACAGTCAGTAAAGGCGAGCCTCAAATGTCGCAAACTCCTAACAAAACTTCCAACATAAGTGAAGCAAAGAACATCTTGGCTTCAGGCACACAGTCTGAGGAAAAGGCAAATTACGTGGAAATGAATGCACCATCAAATTTAACTGAGGCAGACAGGAATACAGATGAATTAAAAAGACATCTTTCAGAAGGAAGTCTTGCGCGCAAAGAAGTTGTGACTTGTTGTGTGGAACTTCTGAAGTTTTCCTTCACTATAGACGAGACTGAAGAAATTCAAGCAACGTCTGAAGAGTTTGTGCTGAAGAAAGACATCCCTCACGTCGTATTCGAAATTTACACCAGTCTGTTAACGAATTATCCAACTTTGGTGAGCTTTGACCGAGAGAAAGATGAAGTAAGTGAATTTATGAAAATGTATAAAAGAAACTTTTGACTTATAGTTTCTTGTTTTTTGATAAGTTCTTTTCATACATGATTTTTTTTACCTTTAGATATTAATTTTTTTTTGTGTTGTTTTCTTAGGAAACTGAATATGATACAAAAGTTCCAGAGGAACTAAGACGTGCTCAAGATGTTCTTAATTTATTGGCTGGTTTCACTGTGAATTTAACTTCTTGCCCTAAGCTGGCAATAGAATTTGGTAAAACAGGGCTTATTCCAGTCTTTCTGGGGATGACAGAAGCTCTAAAGGATTGTATACCAGACATTATTCCATTTGAGGTAGAAAAACAAAATCAGAGCTGGTACTTAAAAATAAGTTCGAACAGTTTGCATAATTGAAAGAAGAGCTGGCTTTGCTGATGTTGATTGAAGGATATCTTAAAATGACAATAGTTAGTTAACCCTTTAACTCCCTGAAGTGATTAACATGAAACCTCTCCCCATAATATCCATATATTATCCAGCAAACGGGTACTGAGAGTACTCAAACTTATTAGGTAGAAGTTGTTGTCCTGATCTATCACTATATTCTCATAACTAATTTACAAGGAAGTGTGTAGCAGCTAGAGGGGAGAATCAACAGTCAGATCTTTGGAGTTAAAAGGTTAAATATCCCTTATAACCAGCCTATAAGAAGGGATTACAATTCTGTAGTAGAATATTTTTGACGATCAACTAAGGAAAAATGTTTATATGGATAGAAGTCAAGACTGAAAATTTTATGAAAAAAGCAACTATTAATAGCTGTATATCTGTAATAGTATAATTGTTATACACTTCTGTTGTATGGTTAACAAACATTAACCTGTCAACTCTAGGGATCTAGAGAAAAATATTTTTTGTCTTGTCACAAGCATTGGACAAATAACAAATTCTGAGTCCCCATGAGGAATCCAACCTCAGACCTTCGGATCCTGTGCTCTGATGCTCTACCACTGAGCCACAGAGACTCTATGGTGAGTGGGGTCAATTCTGAAGTTCATATGACACATGTCCTACATACTGTTGGGATCAGCAATTTTGATAGTGTCATGTTTGTGAATAGAATTAGAGAGATGGTAAGTTTTGAGCTCAGTAAAGAAATAGAAATAGAGAAAGATGTTTTTTCTGGGATCTGATCGTTAATTTTCCTTTCAAGCTGCTACACATTTCCTTGTAAAAATAGTTACAAGAATTTGGTATTAGATCAAGATAATAACTTATGCATGATACAACAGTGAGTTTGAGTATTCTTATCACTTTTCTGCTGGACAATGTAGGAAATCATAGGGAGAAGTCACATGTTACTCACTCTTGAGAGTCAAAGGGTTTTATAAGCTTAATTGTGGAACTTTAAATTTTCCATGGTGAAATTTGCACAGGAAATTGTAGTGAAGGTTCAATTCAGAAAATATTCATGTCCTACTTAAATTTGAATGTCAATTTGCCTCTATTTTTAGTACAATTATATCAGATTTTGATAACTGGCACTACCTTGACAAAGTTAACATTCTAAATCACAACATGGTTTTTACATTTTACAGGATCCAGAAACAAAAACAATATCAAAGTGGACAGCTAGAGGTAGAACACTATCAAGACTTCTTGGGTCTCTTGTCAATATGGCGATTCAGGTCTCAAACAGGATAGTCTTTTTGGATAGCAATGGGATACAACATTTACTACCTTTCCTTCAATCCCCTGTGACTGCATTTTATATCAAGAGTTTATTTTGCCTTGCGTACCTTGTTGAAGAAGAAGATAATGGAGTAGTAATGGCAGATGCTGGTAAGAATTACCAACATTTTTATGAGTAATTGCATCATGTTTGTAAATGTATGACTTTAAATTTGTGTGACATTTGTGTTACAGTTGGCCTTTGTGCCATTTGATTCCTTCGGATAGTCTTTCTCTCCCGCTGATTTTTAGTTGTTGCATCGTACACCCTTTCACTATTTACTGTTCATGCCACCAGTGTATAGGGACTGATTTGTAAGTTGTATTCGCTTGTTTTCACTTTGTAGCTTGCCCCATTTATGCAAGGTAGTGTTTCTCTTGCTATGATCTTATGCCTTTGTGTGTGTTATTTAGTCACCACCTTCGTATTGTCAGGCGGCTATTTCTAGTTATAATTTTCCTTTATCTCGTTTCAAGCAAGCTGACTTTTGTCTTTATTTTGTATATATATTTTGTGTTTGCTGTGGCATTTGATTCATTTATTAGTTCCTTTATTATGTTAGATTCATTTATGCTGTTAAGTTGCCACATGTTTAATTGAATACAATTGATTGTATAAGACCCTTTTTTAATTCGCTTACAGTTTACGAGATTGATTGAAGCTATGTCTCTGTAACGTATCCCCTGGTTTGGTTGGTATTTTCTCTGGTCGCAATTTTCTTGGCTCTTCATTTGGTCTTGATGTTCGTTTGCTGCATCAATGTTTGTAAATAGAAAAACATCTTTCCCAATTCCCCTCCTGTTCCATAAAAAAAGAAAAGAACCTCATTAACCTCCCCTATGTCCCTACTAGCCCCATTTCAAGTAGCTACAGTTTTCCACTCTTCAGGTGAGTCATCCTTAACTCATGTCATGTTAACGTAGATTTTCAAAACAATGATTTTGTCTTATAGAACCAATCAAATTTATAATTCACATGTTGGACAAGGCCATCAAGTCAAGTACACGGGGATATCTGGGTTTCTCTGCCAGTGCAATAGCTGATGGTATTAGTAAACTTGCTGTCAATGAAAATAACAGTAAACAGGTGAGATAAATTTGACTTGAGTGATTACATTTCCATAACAGTTGATAATGACACCTTGTTCTTGTTTATTATCTTCCACTTTGGTATGACTAACTGTTATGCATAGGTTGGGAAGAAGCGCTATAATTAGCACCATTCCTGTTGGTGGGAGGAGTGCTCTCAGTATTTGCCAGCTCTTCAACCTTCTCGAGTTTAGGCTGTTCATCATCACTGCAAGCTGGACCGGTACAGTACTTTCCAGGACAACCAAAGTCACGAACAGACTTTGACACTTTACAACCTGAAGACCGACTTTGACAATGTATTGGAAAGAAAAATGAAACAGTACAGTACAAAATCTCTAGTGTATGCTCGCAGTGAAAACTGATGCAAAATGAAACACAAAACTCCTAGTGCCTGATACTACATATGAACTTTACAACTCTTACCAGAATTTCCTAGGGACTGCTACACAGGCTTGATCAGCCAGAGTTTTTTATTTAGAAATTTTGTTACATGACAGAAATAATACTGGTACTTCCTTTTATTTCCAGTTTGGATTTAATGGGGCAATTCCAGCCATTTTTAACATGCTCACGACTTCCAAAGGAGATTCAGATGAGAGGCTTGGAGGGACTACTGCCTTGTGGATGTTGTCATTTGATGCCATCAACAGGGCACTCATTAAAGCTTTCACATCAGCCACTGACACACTACAAAGGTTTGCTCAGGATTCTGATGAAAAAGTTGCAAAAGCCTCCCAAGGTGTTCTTTGGGAAATTGAAACAGAAAACAGAGATCTTACAAGATCAGGTAATAAGAATATTCAATTTGATAATTCACAATTATACTTTGATTAACTTTTGGTAACATCAGTTTTAAAATGAAGTATTGCCCACTTGTTTTACAACTTCTTGGAGTCTGGTTAAAATTTGATCGAGTCATTTAGGATCAAAGATATCTTCAGTGGGGTTAAGTTAGTGTGATACACTGACAATATCTTTTAATGTTGAAAAAGTAAGAGTTCATGATGGTAGGATTCCATTGTAGCTCTCTGCCATTTTTGTAAAGTCTTGTTATTAATAATAACAAGAGGTAAATTTAGGCAGCCAGGGAGCCTGGCCTCTTCCTTATTTTAAGACCATAGCCAAGCACCAAAGGGATGAGTGACTTTAATTGAAATTAAAATTGGTATGGAGATGTCACTTTCTTGCTCCATATGCCCTTTTCAGAGTAGATTTCTTTAAGTTGCTGCCCTTCCATCCTTTGTTGTTCTTCTTGTTTCCCACGTTTTTAAACCTTAGGAACAATTTGAGAATTTTTGTAGGGTCTTCATCCCAAGTTTAAAATTTACCAGCGAGAGAAAACAAGCTGTATACTCTCTTGCCTATAGGCCTTTTGTTGATATTTGAGGTTGAACTAACCAGTACTATAACATGTAATCTAGTTACTACAGATTCTCAGCACATAATGATAAGTTATCAGTGGGATTGTCAAGAAATCATACTTCGTGTGAAGGATGAACTGAGATCTGCAGGATTTAATGTGTGGATCGATGTTGAGAAAATTGAAGGATCTACGTTGCAAAGCATGGCATCTGCCGTGGAGAACTGCGCAGTGTTCGTAATGGCTGTATCGCGGAAGTATTTTGAGAGCCCGAATTGTCGTTCTGGTAAGTCTCGATAAAAATTTACTTTTCTGTTGCCCTACAAGTCTAATGAATATGCCGAGATCTTTTTTAAAGTTTACAATATGGATCTAAAATGACAATGGAATTATGATAGACTACTCAGGACACTCTCTTGAAATTACACGCGGACAGTGCTAAAGAGAAGGTAAAAACAAAATGGACGTCATGAATGTTTACTCTACTGTTTCCGGTTTTCTCAGGCAGCAATATGCGTATACTAGGCTAACAATGGCTCAGGATTTCCTCTCATCTCCCACTTATAAGGAATAATGTTGGTTGATGATTATGTCAGTAAAACACCTTTATTATTAATTTTATTATTGCCAGTACTGACATCCTCTTCCTAAACTTAATTCCGACAACGACATGTGCTGTAAGAGTTCTGAAATTGCGACTTAAAGATGTTAGAAATTCTGACGTGGGACTCAAAGGACCCTTTCCGCTTAATTGGGCCTTTAAACTGTATAAAGTAGTCTACCGTTCATTGAATGTAAGATTTACCTCAGAGAAAAACAAGTTATTAGGTGAGTGATTAGGTACTGTTCATTTTATGATAGACCGTATTCGATAGTGTCTTAAAAACGAAACCAAGGTAATCAGAACATAGGGAAATATGTCAAAGATTCAGCCCAATGGAAACTCAAAGAAGAAACTAGAAAATGAGATCAGCGCGGGAAAACGCTTGTGAACATACCAGTTTTCTAGACCAATTATATAGCACTGCATGGGAAACAAAAACGTCCAAGAATACCCTCAGGCTCGGCGCGCAATTTAAAGTATTTCTTTTATAGCATGAAGTGTTTGTGGTTAATGTGATCAAGAAGAACTGTCGCGCATTTCAATTCAGTTCCCACGCCAGCAGCTGTTGATGAACTAAGTTTCTGAACATCTCTTCCTAAATTTGACTGTTTCCTTTGGTTTGTGAATGCACTAACATGATAAAAATTCATCTTAATCCCTCAGAAGCAGAATATGCGTATCAGTTACGAAAGCAAATCATCCCATTGATGATGGAACGTCGGTTTCAACCCAGAGGCTGGCTTGGCATAATAATGGGCACCAAGCTGTGGATGGACTTTAGGGAGGATGGAAATCTTGAAGCAGGAACTAGCCAACTGATAAAAGAACTTGGCCAGACAGTGAAATCCCAAGGTAGGTGTGGCGGGGTGCGTCCTCAAGTTTTTTTAGAAGGAGGCCATATTAAGTTTTTGTGTCTCAACGAAGGATATGAGTGAAAACTGTTTGCAGTTAAACGAGGACATTTGCTACTATTAACGACTCAAGTTCGCTTTTCCTCCCCTATAACTGCACTTTTCCTTCCCTATAACTGCACTTTTCCTTCCCTATAACTGCACTTTTCCTTCCCTATAACTGCACTTTTCCTTCCCTATAACTGCACTTTTCCTTCCCTATAACTGCACTTTTCCTTCCCTATAACTGCACTTTTCCTCCCCTATAACTGCACTTTTCCTTCCCTATAACTGCACTTTTCCTTCCCTATAACTGCACTTTTCCTTCCCTATAACTGCACTTTTCCTTCCCTATAACTGCACTTTTCCTTCCCTATAACTGCACTTTTCCTCCCCTAACTGCACTTTTCCTTCCCTATAACTGCACTTTTCCTTCCCTATATCTGCACTTTTCCTTCCCTATAACTGCACTTTTCCTTCCCTATAACTGCACTTTTCCTTCCCTATAACTGCACTTTTCCTTCCCTATAACTGCACTTTTCCTTCCCTATAACTGCACTTTTCCTTCCCTATAACTGCACTTTTCCTTCCCTATAACTGCACTTTTCCTTCCCTATAACTGCACTTTTCCTTCCCTATAACTGCACTTTTCCTTCCCTATAACTGCACTTTTCCTTCCCTATAACTGCACTTTTCCTCCCCTATAACTGCACTTTTCCTTCCCTATAACTGCACTTTTCCTTCCCTATAACTGCACTTTTCCTTCCCTATAACTGCACTTTTCCTTCCCTATAACTGCACTTTTCCTTCCCTATAACTGCACTTTTCCTCCCTTATAACTGCACTTTTCCTTCCCTATAACTTCACTTCTCCTCCCTTATAACTGCACTAAGAAGACTTTCGCGCAATCTCAGCTACTTAAGACGTCAATTGTTTTTTGTTTATCGTGGTCAGCCTTCCATTTAGCTTTATATTAATTGATTCTTAAGTTCGCAAAAAATCGCTATTAAGATTCGAACTAATCCTTAACACGGAAAAGGAGTAGATTTAAACTTTTCCGTTTATTAACAGGGAGTGGAAAAGAGAAATCAAAGGAGGGCGATCTCAAGAAGACACTTCTGTCTTACAAGAAGAACCACCGAAATGTTTATGTGTATCTCTCTGAAAGCGAGAAACTTATAAGAGGCCTGCGCTCTCATCTGGCATCTGGTCAGTTAGCTTCAAATGAAGCGTTTTGGAAAGCAGACGGCTTCGTTGGACTCTATGGGAAGATACCTGACCCAGCAAGTAGGCACTTGCTGGTGAACTTCTTGGTTGATGTAGATTTACCAGAGCTTTTGACTGAGGTAATAAGAATTCTTCGGAGGCGTGTATATCTTGAAGAGCGTTCGGCAGCTAGGGGAAAACGGGTTTTGTCTGCGGAGAAAGATGTGAAGGTAACGAGAAAGAAAAAGGCAAGCTCAATGAAGGCGGGATTTAGAGATGAGGTTCCATCTGAGGTATGATATGTAAACTGGCTCTGTGAATGAGTTTTCTACTGGTGAGGAATGCACGTGTTGTTGAGAAGGCGAGGGTGTAAGACAAATGTGAGATTGAATATTATGTTTAAGGTGAAATACAATCTGAAAATCGGGTAAAAACTCCTGCCCACCCTATCAAGAGACTATTTTTAGCGAAAAAGTAAATTGTTCAGTTTCAAACTAAGGAAATGTCCCCATGCAACCTCTTAATAAACTAGTGAGAATGGCAACCTCAAAGAAGTTAATTCCTTTTGGGTACCAGCAATAGAATTAAACTTATGTGAAAAGTGAGCAGAGTGGGTGGTATTTATTATTTTGGACAATTTCTTTCCCTACATCCATCAAGGCGATTGTTGGAAAATTTAAGAGATGGTGAGTTATAGCAAGGTGTATCTTTATGCGTACCTCGTATAGTTAACTTTTGAGTTTGTAAGTTCGTGAAACCCTGTCGTTTTTAAACAATATTAACAGACATGCATGACGGAATCTTCTCTGTGTTTTCCACAGGAACATTCAGATGCTAAATGGGCCATCGAAGTAATGCTATCGATGTCAGCTGCCATTCTGAACTTTACTGATTTCCACGATGCCTTTTGCGAGGCGTGTGGAAATGCAGGGCTGATCAGGGAATATTTGGAGTTGTTAGAACAACTGAAGAAGTGTACGCCAGAGTTTGAAGATCAAACGGTGGGAGTTTTACTTACTTCTCTCTACTTTAACTCTTTCACTCCGAGGATCTTGTTGTTAATTCTCCTTACTGATTGCCATACAATTTTTATGTTGTGAGATTGGAGAATTTGTTCTTGGATCAGCTAATAATCCCCTAATTGATATTTTTCGTCATTATCATGACTATTTTGCTTGCCTTGTATCGATGTTGTAAGGAGAAATTTTGTGTAAGTTACTTAGGGGAGTTAAAGGGTTAAGTTGTTGTCGTGTTTAGTTTTTTTTATGGCTTTCAGGTTATCTAATCAGACTAGTTTTGTTTCTCTTTGTCTCTGATCATGGTTATGTATATATGGGACAGAGGGAAATCAAAATTAAACTACAGTCGAACCTGTATTAAGTGGCACCGTATTAGGCGGTCACCCTGTATTAGGCTGTCACCCTGTATCAGGCGGTCGGTTGTTTGAGTCTCGAAAAGTTCCCCCTCTTTCCAGCGTTCGCTTCTATTCAGTGTTCGCCTCTTTTCAGCGGTCGCCTCTATTCAGCGGTCACCTCTATTCAGCGGTCGTTGTCATCCTTGACTGAGTCCCAACAGCCTGTTTGTATTGTCTCCTACCTGTATTGAATGGTCACTTAAAGCGGAACCACTCAAATAAAACTAAAAATTATTCTCTCAAGTCAAATTTATTCCATGTTTATCTCACAAAATCAGTGTTAGCACTTAGAGTTCAAATGTGTTCAACGCATTGCAGATTATCTTTGGTCGTTGCACTGTTAGGAAGAAATGGTATTTTTTATTGTGTTTGGTCCTTATTCATTGGAACTTGTATTTAGCGGTCACTCCGCCATTCCCCGTGGGTGACCGCTTAATACAGGCTCAACTGCACATTGTGGTTTAAAATATTTTTAGTAGAGAAAAATTTGAATCACAACATATATGATGCAGATCAATAAACCGGTTGGAGGTACCTATGTACAATACTTCGACTGTTTGTAAGCGTGGTTGTCTACAGCTGTCATGTAAACTGCTTGCCACAAATAGTTGAAATCAGCTTGAAAAAAGCCCTTCCAAATCCCTTCTCCTTCGTTCCGCGTTTTTATTTTAAATATTTTGTTTTCCTCTTCTTTCTTTTCGTTTGCCCTCCTTTCCTCACCTTTCTTAGCCTATCCTAACTATTTCCTTCCCACGTATTTCGTGAGAAGAATCCCGTTGTTGATCTAAACGTAATGAGATTTGATGATTCTTAGACTCCTCTAACCGATGCTGAAGACAAAGACACCAACTTCTCAAGAAAAGGAAGCTTGATATTTGAAGTTCTGGGAGTGCTTCACAATCTTTCCAAACGAATCAGCCTCAAGAAACATTTTGATAATGGTAATGCCGTGGAGACGCTGTTAAGCTTTTTCAGAACAAAGTTCCCTGTTTACAGAATGACTTCTCTTCTAACGCTGGCTTACCTGGTTGACGAGAAAAACAACCACTTGATAATGGCTAGTGAAGGTAAATTGTAGGGTAAAACATGTTGAAATTGATTAGAAAATACTATAGCATGGCCAAAGTTTATCGTTGGAAGCCTTATTGTGCGCATTACTATGCAGATTTCCACAAACTTCCTTCTTTTACCTTTGGTCACTTTCAGTATACTGTTTATCCTAAACCTCAAGGCAGCTTTATGTGCAGGATTAGGTTTAGCCTTAGGGTTACTGTAAATCTGAGATTATTTTAAGTTTTCTCATTACTCATGAGGACCATTCACTTACGCGTTGTTCAACTTAAAGCATCAAACAACAGCGTTTGTGGCTCTAATGGCTACAACTATATAGAGCCATTGCAGAACGGGAGGTGTGAGCGTAATTCTTCATTTCTTTTACGGTCATCAACTGACGTTAACAGATCATAAACCACTCATTTCAGAACCCATCAAAGATATACTGAAGTTGCTGGACAAAGCGAGTCACTCCGCTAACCGACGCAGTCTAGGATTCTCGGCGGCAGAAATAGCTTATGGACTGATGCACGTGGCTACCAATGATGGAAACAAGAGGATGGTAAGACATTACTTCTCAACATTGACCAACAACCGGAAGCAACTACAACAAGATAATTTATGCTGATTGTTAAACACAAATCGACGATCGGTAGCATCTGCCAATCGATAATCGAGGTAATGTTTGCAGGAATGTCCAATACTAATCGATTAAATGAGATCTGGATGAGCCCATTCACCTACTCATACGAACTTGAGAAACAACTTATTATGACGGATGCAATAGCCTTGTTAAAGAAAGATAGAAGAGTTATCAATTTCTAAATGTTAGCAAGAGCATTTTAAGCGATCTTATTTCATAGACTTTGGATCTTTTGGTTTTTTTTTCACTATTTCTGTTGAACTCATCCGAAGTCTTTATTAGTAAAAGTTTTACTTAAATTTCTCGTCTAACTTACTTTGGTATTATTATGTGTCTTGATTTTTCTAGATCGGCCTGCACGGAGGTATTCCCATGCTGGTCTTCATGTTGAAAGGTTCCAAGGAACACGAGGACGAGAAAGTGGCAGCAGCCAAAGCGCTGTACATGTTATCGTTCGACGAGACCAACAAAGAAGTAATTAGAAGTGACAGCGACACTATGTCATCGCTGCAAAGTCTGCAGAATTCAGATAACAAGGAAATACTGCAAGCGGTGTCTGGTATAATATGGGAAATACACGGCAAGATAGGACACTCCGAAAACTCAGGTACATGTTCAGTCCCTTCCAGGCCATGGCCATGGCCATGGAAATGTGACTAATATGGCTTGGGGATCAAGTTGAATTTGAAAAGTCCGAACAGACCAAGGTTCTTTACCATGACAACTCTCTTCGTAGTATAACTGCGTAACGATAAAATCGAAGACTGTTCTGTCTTGTTCATTTAGTCTCTAACCCTAACTTCTGTCCTATAGCCCACGAGGTAAACAACATACTATCGATTCGCGGTAAGAAAAGAGATGACTGGAAATTAACCACACTATTTTAGCACTTTGCCATGAACTTAATATTATGCTCCCTCACCGCCTTGTTCTAAACCTAGCGGACTTCGCTTCTTTTCGCCAAAAAACATGAGGATTCGGTTCAGCAAAATTGAAAACAAAAGGCATTTCTTAACTTCTTAAAAGTCATCGTCTCATCGACCTTGAAGGGGGAGGGGTGGTGGTGGTGAGAGGGTGGATTTTGACAACCTATGATAATATGAGGACTGACGTTGTGGTTTTTTTCGGCAGATTCTGAAGAGCATGTCATGATAAGCTACCAGTGGGATACACAGCAAACTATGCTTCGTGTGAAACACGAGCTCGAAACTCGAGGATTTCCTGTATGGATGGACGTGGAGCAGATGGAAGGGTCCATTTTGGAAACAATGGCTCGAGCTGTGGAGAAATCGTCTGTCTTAGTCTTGGCAATGTCACGAAAGTACCAAAACAGTCCCAACTGTAGATCAGGTAGCTACTTTACTTTAATAGCTCCCCACAATAGAGAGACAGTTTAAAGAGATGCTGATCTAAATGTAAAGGAGCTTTCTCTTTTGTTATGTGGGAGATTTGGCAGTGGATGGCATATCCCTTAGAGAGAAGTAGAAACTTGCGTCTTGAAAATCTGGAATTTCCTCAAGTCCCCCGATTGAGGAGTGTTTAACGTTACAGAATATTGTTACAACGACGTATGAATTTCACATACATGTACCCTCTCCACGTCTCCACGTAGTACTGATTGTCTCGATGTTGAGCTACTTTGTTAATGTCTAGAGGCCGAATACGCTTACCAAAGAAGAAAGCGCATAATTCCACTGATGATGGAATCTGGATATAACCCTGACGGCTGGCTGGGGATTATTCTGGGCGCTAAGCTATGGATGGACTTCAGGAAGGAGCCGAACGTTGGAATTCAGCAGCTTATGAAAGAAATTTCTAAAGGAAAAACTGGTATGAACCTAGCATCTCGATTTTTTTGTGATTGATTTCTATTTCCATGTTCTAATTCTTGAAATAGTGATTTCTTTTTAATATAAATATTCTTACAGCTGCCTCCCAAAGTGAATTATTAGGAAGCGCTCCTATAAAGGCAAGCGAAAACGAGAAGGTTTTACAATGGAAGAAAGAAGATGTCGCCAAATGGTTACAGGGTATTGGATTTCCAATGTAAGTTGTAGTTTCTCTAATGGTGAAATTTAAAAGCATCCTTGAATAGCCGTCTGCTCATAATCGACCACAGCAGTAACAAGGTAAACTGTCTTGTGTTATTATAAATGGTTATCGTCAGTCTAACGTAAGTTGCACTCCCAGTTATGAGAGTGCAATAGAAAAATACAAGGTAAAAATCTTGGAGGAGCTTATGCAGCTCTCGTTTATTTACAGAGATGACATCAGTGTCAGAGGAAAGCTAGACGGTCCCTTGTTGCACATGCTCAATGAATTGCGAAAAGAGGTTGGTATAAGTTCTTCAGTATTATGACGATCCATTACATATTTGCACTTCGCGCGCGATATGTTTAAGTTTGTCACGTGACCTAACATGGCTCAGCTTAAAGTGGGGAATACCTAGTGACATTCTTTAAGTGATATTTCCAATTTTTGTCCCTTGCATTCAGTGAGATATAATTCTTTCTTCAAAAAAATTTTTTAAGTTGGGAGAGCGTTTTGCTCTAATTACAAGGTATTGACCAACTTCTTTGCTACTTAAGCTTAAGTCGCACTAACCTCGATGAACATCCGTTTGCGACTGTTTGAAAGCGTTTTGTTTCGCACGCTGTAAAAGATATTTTAGGGGGAATAACACAGTGACCTCCACTTGTAACAAACTTTTGCTCGTTTGTTTGTCTTTGAACAGGTAATATCGGCGAACTAATGTCCGAGTATATATTTTGCATATCAAGTGGAGGGTCACTCTCTATATACTTTTCCTATCGTGACGACAAGAGTTGTAATATTTTCGAGGTTTGAATGTCTTTCTTGCTGCTGTGTAGGTCACTTGTGCTATTTTGGTTTTGCAGAGCCCTGAATTCTTTTACAGCTCCGTGAAAATAGACCTATGTCTCCCGACCATAATCGAAGTTCTTCAGTTCACCAAAGAGTTAAAAGAACTATTTGGGTAAATCAATGCAGTGAGCCTCAGCGTGACCTTCTGATGCAGGATAGTATGGTCTACATGTATGAACTAATTTGACGTGAGCGAGTCACTTCGTCTAACCGGGGCACAAGCTGCGTGCGTCAGACGCCACCCACCTTTCTACGCGCCGTGGATCAATACGGAGCTGTAAAGGTAGCGACACCGGGGGATGGCAACAATCTCCCCTGCAGCAGGGTGATCATCGTGGCTACCCAGCCCCAGCCTACCTTTGGGCGCCTGTCACACACTACTGACAAACTAGTGTGGAATGAGTACTTATCCAAACGTGGGGGGAAGAGAAGAGAACAATGCAAGCAGATAGCGTGTCGCAATGCCCTCGCAAACCTCCCTGAAGTCCTCATATTATAATGGCGAGAGCGCTCCATTGACTTGGTTTTAACCTTGCCCAAATTGATATAGCCTCATTAAAATTTCAAACGAAGCTGGCCACCCTCCCCTGTGTTTAAAGGCTTCGCATCTCATCTGGCATAGCAAACGATGTTACAGATATTTAACGGTTTCGGATCCCAACAAAGCTTTGTTATATCTACTTTGCTTGCTATTACGGTATGAGACGATCATTTCCTTCTCCAAACTGTAAGTGTTTTTCCTCTTGGAAGGGAAGTGCAGTCAAGTCGTTTTTTTCGAACATGTACCCAGGGTAACGAAACCGACGTGATCCAGAATAATGTTGCAAAGGAGAATCATTTACCCTTGGCACAACCGTTTGATTCTACCGTCTTTGCTTATTTCGTTATACATCTGTTTACACTTTGAGAGCTATCGTGATCGGCACCAAGTTAAATTATACTTTTTCTTACATTAACAAGGGGAAGTGAAGGCGGTACTGACAATACCATTTTAAATGTACAGTTGAGTGTGGCTTTATAAATTATTAAGGATGACTGCTAGATCATGTTTACAAGTATACAGTATGATTTATGGGATTATCCCTTGATGTTAAAGCTATTGGACTTCTGTTGTTCAAAAAATTTGAACGGATACATACGCAGGATGCACGCAAAGTGATCCAGAAAAAGAAATTACAGAAACGAAGAAAAAACCCAAGCTAAGAAAGGAAACAAGAAACAAACATAACAAAGCAAAAAGAACAGGGAAAGTAAGGTGATGGAAGTGTCTCTCCAGATTTGAAAAATAGAATGGCTGGTCATACCGGTGAAGGGTGGGGGAGGGGGTGGGGTGGGTTTAGCTGGGGACGTTTTCTGTTTTTTGAAGTATCCCTGGCTACGCCCTTGTTTACTAATTGCCAACAAACTCGATTAAAATCCAACTTTATTGGATAACGATACTTCAGCCACCTAGTACGTGCAACAAGAAAAAAAGTGATATTTGACTGCTTATCTAAGTCAAAGGTCCTATTAATCTTGAGTTTCCAAATGAAAATTTCAAAAAGTGGGTTTTGTAACCATGTAACGTTTTGATTACAAGCTAGAGACATGTTCTCTTGTTTTAAGTTTACGTATGTTAAATGTTATTCATTAGCTATTTATTAATTAGTTAATTAAAAAATTTCTCTACGCTCAAAACTTGCAATGCAATTACTGAGTGTCACTGACTACAAGCAAGAGACATGTGCTCTTGTCTCACTCTTACGTAGGTTTAAATGTTATTAGTTATCCATTAGAATGCTCACTAGAATCAAAACTTGTCATGGGAATACTGAATGTCACTGATCGAAATGGCCTTAGTTGTTGTGGTCATCTCCAACAATCTCAGAGTACGTGTGCAGTGAGTTACTGTGGAAACAAAGATAAGTAAAGAGTAAGAAACGGCGCACGTCTCAGATCTGCGTGTCGGCATGACAAAAAAACTTGGGAATGGCAATTTGATATCAAAACTTGGTAAAAAGAACTAGTTAATGCTGGCGTTCGTCCCTGAAAAGAATACCCTTACAGAGGATCTTAGGCTGATAAACGAAATTATTGCAAAAGCTTGGGAGGCTTATGAAACAGCAGCTACCAAAGCACCAGATGACCGTTTGTCAAATCGATTCAATGTCTCCAATGTATCGGATTTAATGAACCCATGCCCAAAATGTAAAAACAGGATGATTTACGCCATGATCTAAATATCAAAAGTTATGTTTATTTCATTTCACAAGTGACACTTACGTTTCTGTACTCGTTCAATTTCGCTCTCAGGCGGTTACCAAAGTCAGCATGAACTTGGGAAAAGTTTTTCACCTGAAATGTAAAAGTAGTTAAGTCAATTTTTCTCTTGGCTTGGGAGAGATGAAAAAATATTTTCTGACAACAGAGCACTTAAGTTTGCAGAAATGGTGGAATGGGCTCTGTAATGTGTTTGACCTCCAACTCAGTATTTTTGGGAATGGAACTCAACGAAAAGGCGAACCTGAAGCACTGAATGGTTGTACCCCTTGCTTTATTTAAAGCTTTGGTAGCATTAAAAAATTGGTTCTTGTTAGAAGTCACGAAAAGCTCTCTACATTTAAACTTGGTCCTTGTTAGGAGTCTCAAAAGGCCCTCTGCCCCACGGCAGCAGTGCAGTGCCACCGAATTGTAAAGAAGGTGAAAGAGCAGTGTAAAGGACAGAGTTTGCAGTCAAATACTTACAGCTCTTTCCTGGAGGAAATCCTTGGCGTCCTTCAGATGACCGGCAATGGCACACACCAAGCGTTCTTTGGCACCTTTGTCCAGGGTTTTCTCCCAGAAAGTTGTGACCTATAGATTCAGGTTACGATTGATACAAATTAACATTCGTTTTGCAAACATTAATGTCTTTAGAATAACAACTGATATGTATTTAAGATAATCAAGGTTTGAGAAGATAAGATCAAAATATAGTTACAAGTTTTGGAGAGCTGTTAATTGTTCTCTGGACATGATGTTGGTGTTGTTGTTGTGGAAGGGAAGGACAAGACGACTCCAAAGCATTTTATTTTGATCTCAAGGGATGTGAAAATGGAGGACATGTACTAAATCCATTACAGTGCTGATGTCACGTGTTGTATTACGGGAAGCACGAGGATATAACTTCTGATAACAATGCAAATTTATTGCACTGTCATGTTGAGTGGGTAACAAAGCTTTCAAATCCTACCTGAGAATAGTTGTCTTCATCCCCAGTCTCATAGCGTTTGGCATCACCACTCACCTGCAAAATAGCAAAAGGATGAATTTCGTGAAAATTGTCCCCAGACAAAAAGTTCAGAATGAGGTTAAACTCGTCCGCAGTAAGCGTAGGCTATTTTCCTCACCTGACATGTGTGTGGCTTATACTTCATGTCATCCTTGGGTCCACTGAAGCTGTTGGGATAGTAGTTAGGACCCGGCTCTGAAAAGCATAAATGATAGAAAAATCGGAAATTAGTTTTCAGAGACAAACGATTAAACGTTCATTTAGACAACTGGAAAACAAAATGACGCTAGTTGGGCAACTTGCCCAAAACTAAAAGACTCTTTTACAGCTATTTATTGACGGTTTATTTTGACTTGAAAATCGACGAGGAAGAACCATAGTTCAACGGGAAGGCCATCGGTTCTATTGTAAGATTTGAGTTACGATACGATGCCTCAGGCCTTACCTGCGACGTCATAGCACTGCGGTCCGTCCCTTTGGTAGTGGTGGGGACCTCCACCCCTTGTCTTGTAAGGACAGTTCACAGGCAGTTGTAAGTAGTTGGTTCCCAATCGGTGGAGATGAGTGTCGTGGTAGGAGAACAGGCGGCCCTGTAAGATCATTTGTTAAACTTGATAAATTCAGACTTTATCTTGAAAGACAAATACGATTTACTAGAGTGACCTTTGTTGTACCTGAAGCATTTTGTCTGGAGAGGCCTCAATTCCTGGAACCATGGAAGCGGGGTTGAAAGCACTCTGCTCTATCTGTGCAAAATAGTTCTTTGGGTTCTCATCAAGCACCATTTTTCCAACTTGTATCAGAGGGTAGTCGGTATGCGGCCAGATCTACATAACAAAGATAAAACAAAAAGGCATCAGTACTTTCAGGTGTTATCGAAGTCTAGAGAATAACAGCAAATAGGTTATGCAAGTTCTCTAGATTTCCAGAGATAACTTGGAATAATTTTTTCTCTAATGGAGTGTTAGCGTAATGGAAAAGTTGAATTTAATTTACCTTGGTCAGATCAAATGGATTAAAAGAGGATTTTTCTGCCTGGTCAAACGTCATCACTTGAATGTACATTGTCCAAGAGGGCTGAGGAAGGAGAAAAAATATTCATTTTTTCCTGTAAAATTTATGACAGTACATATACAGATGATCATTCTGACTATGACAAAAATAAACAAAGAGTGAACAAACATGAGGGGGAACATACATGTGACTGTATACTTACATATTTCCCATTGGAAATTGTGTTGTAAAGCTTCCTGTTGCTGTAGTCTGCGTCAGAGCCTGCCAGCCGCTCTGCTGAATCAGCAGGCAAATTTTTTATTCCCATATCAGTCTGTAACGGCAAGTAATAAACTCAATAAGTCATTCGAAAGATACCAGCATTAGCATTCGGCAGACCTTTAAGCCCAAAGGGAGTGTTATATGTTGATTTCTTGAAAGCTAGGACTGTGCAAACAACTTGACGCCGAGATGATGTTGCTGTTTCTTTTGATGTGGCAAAATCACTGTTCCGTCATAGATATTCATATGAAGCTACTTTGTATAAGTGTTGTTAGGCTGTGCTTTCCCTATAAATACAAATAGATATTGAAGTCATACCTTGAGATGGAACTTGCAGTAGACAGCCTCCCCTTTTGCATTCACCATTTTGAAAGTGTGACTTCCATATCCATTCATGTGCTCGTAGCCATCAGGAATGCCGCGATCGGCAAACAGGAAGCAGACTTGATGGGTGGTCTCAGGACGCAGGGTGATGAAATCCCAGAACATGTCGGGGTCCTAGACAGCAAAAAGGTCGCTCAATTTCTTGTTTCTTATTCTTCTGCTTTAGTAATTGATTGGTATTAAAATCTGGATCAGTAGTTTAGGACGGCATGTCGGGACATTTTCTATAACTGGGGACTTACTTTCAAATGAGTGACAGGATTCCTCTTCTGAGTGTGAATAAAACTGGGGAACTGAAAAAAACAATCAAGGCGATTAGAAAACCTAAAATGTTTTAAAAACGTTGCAAAACTTTCACACCAAAGGTTTAAAAACTTACAAAGATTGGGTCCCTGATGAAAAAGATTGGAGTGTTGTTTCCAACAAGATCCCAGTTTCCCTCTTCTGTGTAGAACTTCACAGCAAAACCGCGTGGGTCACGAGCTGTGTCAGCACTGCCAGACTCGCCACCTGAAACGTTAAAAAACAATGTTGTTTCTTCTGATGCATCTTTAATCTAACAATCAGTTATTTCATCAACGAAAATGTATTAGATTATGAAAAGGGACGGAAACAAAAAACGAAGGCACCAGCAGCTTAGATTAGACTGACAATCAAAGGAATGAAAGGAGAGTGTAAGGACCTAAGATGTGACAAGCTACTGCGGCTATTATGTTACGAACAGGTTAAATGTGCTGCCGGCGTGTCGTGGGAATATTTACTGAACTTGTAGTTTAGTAACTACGCTTACCAACTGTTGAGAAGCGTGCCAACAATGGAGTCCTCTTTCCAATCTTATCAAAAACTGCAGCCTTGCAGTATTTGGTGATGTCATGTGTGACCTCAAAGTATCCAAATGCACCACCTCCCTTGGCATGTACCACTCTCTCTGGGATCCTTTCTCTATCAAAGTGGCTCATCTCATCCAAAAACTGCGCGTCCTGCAACAGGATGGGCCCCCTGGGCCCTGCTGTCATGGTGGCTGTCTTTGTGTCGATTGGGCACCCAGTTCCAGTGGTGAGAACATCACGCTCCTAGACACAATAAAATATGAAAATGTGACTACATTGTTGACCTTTTGGCTTCAGTACTCAATTACATCTAAGAAATGGTCAGTTGCTTCCTTCCTCTTTCTAAATGTAACTTATAGGTTAGAATCTCAAGTCAATCTTACTGATTTTTTTCAAATTGGATCTTGCGGAAAGTTAAAAGGGAAACTTTGGCATCGAATCTTTTCCTGGGAACACCATGTGGGGTAAATCTTCGGTTGAAAAATAATCGCTCAAGTTTATTCATGTTTCTGCAACTTGCGCATTAATCACCCTATTCGCAATATTTTACGGAGATTCGATGTGACAGTTGTGCGCAAAATTGTACTACGCTGCTAATTACCCATTTGGGATTGAAAAGTGACCAGCTCCATTGAGTAACTGTGTAAGATAGTTTTTACCACAAATAATCCCGTGTCACGTGTATGTCGTGCCACGAGTTCGTAGGCGTGATCCGGAATCGACTCTTGAAACTTGTTATATAACAAAACGGGAATGTTGTTTATTTTTGGAAGGGGGTGTGCCTGGGGGCTGAAGGTCCTCCACCCGTGAAACGCACTCAATAACTCACACACGAATGTAGTGGTTTGTTTGGGCACTCTGATTTGCAATTTCCATTGCAGCTCTTTTACTTATTTTTCTCTGGGTTTAGCTCGAACAGTTCTTAAGTGTGATCAATAATCGTGGCCGAGACAACTCCAGCTCTTGCAACAATCATGATCTTCGATCTTCATTAATCGACGCATCGTTGATTTTTCACGAGTCGTCGGACTTGTTATAAATGGCAAATATAACAAAGACCTTTGAGTCCTGAAAATCGTTAAGGCATTTTCGTTGAAAATGCTCTGAGCAGTTTTTACTACCGTTCTTACGATGCTTAATCACTTTCATGCATAAATGTGGTCGTGCTTAGAGACGAGGTTCGTTCCTTTGGTCCATTATCTGGGCTACACGAATACATATGTCACGTTTCTTGCAACTAAATAATTAACGCTTCGCAAAAACACACCGAAAGTACATTTCTGATATACATTTGCAATAACACAAACGATTATCAAGATTCTGACGAGGGAATTACAATCTAATCGAAACAAACTAAATTCTGAGTTATCTCGTATGATTTCCCTTTTGTTTGCATGTCACGTAGTGGTTGGTAACTATTGTTTCCAATTTAGTAAGATACACATTTTAGGCTTACTTTGAGGTCTCTATTTCCTTGCAAGAGATATCTACACTCTCTTAATTTAGTGCAAATCAATCGAGGACTGGAAACAAATTATCCTATCGTGACAGATTCCAGCGTATTAAACTTTCCTTAAAAGACTGTAAGAGGGAAATTGCTTTCAAGCTATAGAACATATTTCTTTGTCGTTTGCTCCCAGCCAGTAAAATTGTTATTGATCCAAAATTTCCTATTATCAAAGGAACTGTTTCGAAGGTTTGCGGAGACAGTCAACTGAGGGAGCTAATCGCACAACGAGGTACGTATGCGGTCAATATTTTTGGCATCACTCCTACAGCTATGAGCATGTAGTTTTAGGTGCAAGGGATTTCACAAACCTTCTTTTTCGCAGAATAGGCGCTTAATTGTTCAGATGCTTTTGTTCTGTTGGCCATTTTATCACTTCCCTAGAAGATCGGCCGAAGCTTGTTTTGGCAAATCCACTTACGTGTAATGTCTTAAAGCTTTGAATAATTTTTGACGTTAGCTGATCGGTGAACAATACCATATACGTCACTGTTTACCATTCGACACTCGCTGGTCAATATTTGGGATGTCAAAACCACTGTGGGTCAAAAGGTAGTCGATGGATTTAATTTAAGACCATGGTATTTATTTGACCAAGAGATACCCTTGGCTTTGTTTTTCGGCAAATGAGCACAAACAACGTTCTTTCAGCATTAATCAATTAGCACGCTTTTGTATGGAGTCCGTGGGTGAGAGCTGAGAGTTGTAAAAACCTAAGACGATGTAGACCTGCTTCGCAATTTTTAGAACTTTTCTCCTCTCCTATTGTCTTAGTCACCTCCTAAATTTCCGTGTAATCTTTCCTGAATTTTTGTGCCTCTTTTGACGTCACAACCAAATTCAAGTCGTTGCTGATATTGCACAGGAAGTTCCAAACTTAACAAAGGATATACGTCATTAACGGCTCATAGTGAGATCCAGTCTGCAATTTTATGTAAATTTACGTTCACCTGTAATATTTTTTTAGCCTATTGTAAAAATTCACCAAACCGAACCGGATGGTGAATTATAATGACATTGTTTTAGTTCATCCAAACAACCTGGTTTGTTTTTCCTAAACTATAATCCTCAAACCAGATGAAAGATATCAACGTTAAAGTTTTAATTTTTTGTTTACTGATAATCTGCTCGAATTGTCTTGTTAAGCCTTTCCAAGTCTTCTTAGAACCTTAATTTATGTGAATAACTTCCTTGATATTGATCGCAGGATAACTTCTCTGAAATTTTGCGAAGTACGGAAATATTTCTTTGTAAATAATAAGTGTTGTTGACACATCATCAAACCAATATTTACACTAGTAAAGTTATTTTTCCTCCTCCTTAGTGAACCAAAATTCCGTTGTTGTTCAAGTTGCTCGAACGGGGTTTGCCGAACACAATGACGCAGCAACTAACGAACTCTTGTTAATACATAAATCATTCTTGAAACATGACAACCGCATTGATATCATGGCTTAAAATTCCTAGATTTCAAAATAAATATTTTCTTGGCAGGCCAGGAGGGTAGTATATCATATATCTAACCACAATTACAGTCTTGTCCACTTCAGCCGGATAATTTCGAGATATTTCGCAACAATATAATCAGCGCTTTTGTAACCGAGAGATTTTGTGCAATTTTAGACCGTTTTTCACCCATCTTTACATTTTTTTACCTTATGTTTGTACCCTAAGAAACCAAAAAGTTTTAAAATAAAACTCTCTCTCCGCCGACAACTAAATTTGTTTAGATCGCGTGACGACTTAGAACTGACGGACTACTTAATGCCTTCTATACGTCAGGAATAAAACTCATAGTTGTTCTCGCACGAAACATATCATGTCAAAAACACATTTGCATCCCTCCTGTTAGAAGATAATAATTAACAACCGCTCGAAAGCTTTTCGTCACCAAAAGAAAGGATTAATAGTCTTAGGAGAGATATCTCTAAGTTGGATGATTTAAATGCAAGTATTGATTTCGCCCTCGCTTCATCGTCATTTTCCGCAAATACTGACGGTGAAACTTTCAGAAACTATATTTTCCAGTCCATAGAAAATTCTCCATTTTAGTCACACTGGCTGTATGATTCTTACGGAATTTCTAGCCATTTCAGGAAGATTTTTCAGCCGTTACGCGTGCAAGCACCGCTTTCATGTTCGTTGCTATATATTAATTAATGTACACATTACTGGGGAGCTTTATAGTTGTGTGGACTCCAACAGTCTTCTCAGAAAAGTCATGTGCTTCTTTTCAAGATGAAACATTTAGAAAATGAATAATCCGCACGGTGAAAGGAAGCGTACAAACATGACCTTACAAACAACAGCTGGCACTCTAGTGAAAATTGCGACCCTTCAAAATTGTTTATAACGAGAAAATGTTACAAATTTTAAATAACTACTTGTTTCGATCAATGAAAGATAATTTTACCTTCTTAGTCTTTGCATAATCAGCAAGTTGTTCGGATGCTTTGTCACGAGTCGTCATTTTTCTTGAGGGGAGATCTTTCGGGCAAAAAGACTCTTACCGCTTTGAGACCTGAAATGAATTGTAACGCGTTATTTAATGCACCCAAATTGCTGAGTCACATCGAAGAACGCATGCGTAACGCAGAATTTTGATATTGGTTCAGTGTGGACGATATAATTGTCTTCATGAGTTATGACGTGAGGCTTGATCGTTTTTTCTTTGTCAGTCCCTTCATTTTCGAATCACCACGGTTGAAAGAGTTTCACGATAAAGAAGCCAGACAATTTTGATTATTTTTTTATTACGAATTCTGGATTGGACGAGCCGCCATCTAATTCGTGTTTAGAAGTCTTAAAGGTAATGAGGAATGAAAAACAAGGAGTCGATTCAATGCATTGCGCTTGCAAATTTAGATAAAGTTTGAAAGAGTCGGGCTAGCTAAAAAGGTCAGATGGGATACTTGCAGTTTTTTATATAATTTTGTGTATCCAAGTCCCATTTTAACCCTTTCGCTCGTCTTTTGAGTTGCGGCTTTCCTTTTACGTGATAACAGCTGAAAATAGCATCTGCCGATGATCTATCGCGTGCTGTACGTGACCGCTGGAAATTGAAATTATTTCAATGTAACAAAATCGAAAAACCTTCTAAACATGCATTACGGTTTACACCGATAAAAAAGTTTCAGCTTTTTTAAACTGACAATTAAAACTGACATGGATGTATATGCAACATTTTATATTAGTCTGTGCATCTCTTGCAAATTACTTAATAAAAAATCGGGTATCAACGATTACTTCAGAGCCTTTTTACTGGATGTAAGACTCATTTTTATACCGGAAACGTTGCGGGAGCTTCGAGCTAGCAAAATAGTCAATAAAGAGTCCTTTACATCATACTATTATTTACGGCTATTATTTAAGATTCAAGAAAGTTCTGACAACGATAAAGGGAAACAGAATATTGGTTCATGACAAATTTTATCCACTGCACAGACTCAACCGAGTGAAGTTTATAAGTTTTCCTTTACATCATACAGTGTGTACCAGGGTAAGATTATCAGACAAGTAAACTTACTAGGTTGTGTGATGGGTGTTTGATAAGGTGCATGGGATGGATAGGTTAAGTCCACAAGCGCGATTCACCCATCAAGATAAAAGTGAAGTGCAATAGGTAAATGATTTTTTTGCAAGTGCGAAGCGTATAGTACTGGAGTGCTAATTTGAGACCCCAAATGAAAAACTGACCAGTTGACTATTTTTAGTGCAGTGTGGAAAAATTGATGACAGGGAAGCCTTGGTGCTTTCCTATAATTTGCTCTTCCGTGCAAAGCAAAAGGAATTAAGGTGTCTCATGGCTGGGGCTCTGGAAACTGGCAAACCACCAGGTTTAACAGGTTGTCTCAATAGAATCTTTACACCACCCGTTAAATATGGAAAAGAGTGGTCAATACACCTGTCGAAGATGCGTGTTTACGAGTTGAATCAAGCTTTACAAACTTGTGCTAGAAGATGGTTTTTTTTTTGTTACGGTACCTATCAAAATAAAAGCTTTGATATTTACCTCGCTTCCTGAGAACCAACGTAATTCATGAATCAGTGATCAAGAACACTGAACACATTCAGAATTTTAATCCTGGCAACATACACTCTTTAGTGCGCCCGAATTTCTTGATAATAAACTGTTCAATAGTTTCGATGAAATAGCTTCTTAGAATTAGACCAAGAAAAAACACAAACCTCTTAGGGAGTTGATCGATTTCGTAAATAAGCCCGGATTCAGATTATGTAACTTCTTTTGATTATATAACCTCAACAGGCACTTCACTGAAGTCAACTACAAATAACCTGCAGTTTCATCATGATACAAGTTAGTTGACTTTTTTGACAAGTGAAATACATAATTCAAGAGCTAAACCAATCGTAGAATATTGTGCCTGTTTTTTCAAAACACGATTAACAAAGAATTCTTAAAATTTTAAATCTCGTATCGTTGTAGTGCAGGTAGTTTTATCGCCTATATTTTGGATTCCCTTTTCAAACTGCATAAAAAACAAGCTTTAATAGATGCTTTTAAAGAGATCTGACAGCCAAGTTCAGATCCTTTTCTGGCTGGCGCTAGATGCCTTTTGATCACTCTAAACAGTGTTTAATCTTAAAAAAATCTGTATCTTTTCAGATATGCTTGAAAAAGTATCTTAGGCTTTTCATAGTCAGAAGTCAAAATTTTAACGACTTTCACCTTGAAGAAAAAATAATTGTGGAGATACTTTTTAATGGAGAAAGCGATAGAAAACGTGTCGCTTATGCAACTTCCCTTTCTTATTTCAAAATTTCCCTCCTACACAAGGTACTGAGATCAGTTTTAAATAACTACAAAAGATATAATATAAGCTTGAGAGCTTCAATATTGACTTCGTCTCCGTGAACGAACCAGTGATCAGGAACGGCAGACACATTCCTGATCTTTAAAACATGTCCTTTACATGGTCTTTCGCAAGGTTTTCGTGTACTGCTCCAAGGTCTTATTTTCATACTCAGCCGTTTCATGGAGAGTCATGAGCTTCTAGTTAGAAAAGAAAATCACTGGAGGTACTGATTGTTATAAATGACAAAGCAAGAAAAGCTTGTAGATTATGTAACTTCTTGTTACATAATCTCCTACGCGCTTCTCTTCGTGCCAACAGGCACGCTTCATTTCGTGCCGCTTGAGGTATATTTCAGAACTCCTTTATCCCAATGGTAGTGTTGAACGTACATTTTTTTCAATCGAAGGAAGAAAATCTGAGTTTTTTTCTCAGCTCTGATGCTAATATATATGATGCAAAATGGAAAGAGTGAGCTTCTTCATTAAAGATTGGTGTAACTGCATCCGTGTAGACATCTTCCGGAAAACGATTGAAACATTTAGAATCCTACATAATGGTTATTTTTGTATGCCTTTCTGTCAGTATTTTTAGCAGTGTTGAAAATATCGTGAAGCTCTTCGTTGAAGGCACAGTATTTTGAGGTAACGTGACTTTGGTGCTTTATTTTTGTTTATTCCACTTTTGCTGACGTCTTAGTTTGCCCAAGTTTGCTTACGTCACAGTATTAAGCGTCACTGATATTTGTTCGAAACGTTTCGTAAGCCTCAGGTACTAAAAGTGCATAACAATTGTGTATACTAATCATTATTAAATGGATATATTTAGTTTGAGTCTTCTAACCTAATAATCCTGGCCGGTTCTCGTGTTCAGATAGACGTTTTCAAACAATAATCAATCTGAGAAAAGTGAAAAAACATTTGGCGAAACCGTAACCGAGGTTGACAAAGGAGTGCTATAAGATGTTTTAGCGAAGTACGTCGTCATCGGTTTACAAGCTAAACGAGATACAATATGATCGTATTTTAATCCCTCGGTGAAATCTTCAACATAACCGTCTCAGGAGCGCAGGTGAGAACAAACATAACTTCAAACTTCATTGGAACCTGCAAAAGACGAAAGCTAACTAAATTCCCAAGACTCAATTACAACGATACATGACCAGATTTAGAATGACTGACTCTGTTGTCTCACACATGACATCTTGTGTACTCTTCTAGGTGCCTGTTACATGTCGTTTTTATTTCTTGTAACTGCATCGTGCTATGAAAATTTTGTTTTAAACGGGTAAATCGACATATTGCGAAACTGAAGAACATTGTACTAGTGTCAAAATAAAGTAGTCAAGGCGATTCCTCGAATAACGGGAAATTTTTTTCTAACATTATGGATAGATCTACGATATTTAAGAAGCTTCGGTAGCCTCCCTCCTTACGCGTGTATATAAACTCTTAGCAGACGTTGAATTATCAGTCAGTGGCTATATACGTATGAACATACATAGAAACAAATTTAAACCGCGAAAACCAACAAAACAACATTACAAATGAGACCTTAGGTAGGGACAGCTAAACAGGACGAAAGAAAGAAGATGTATATTTACCGCTGTCCTCTCAGTCTTTTCCAGCTTATACTTCTTTAGTAATCTCACCAGGGTCAGCTTAATTTCAAGCAAAGCAAATCGCATTCCAACACAATTGTGTGGACCGAATCCAAACGCCATGAATGCATAGGGATGACGCTTTGCTTTCTCTGCCTCTGAGAACCTGTCGTAATGGAAGTATCATCATGCTTGAGACGAGGTTACCTATAATAACCAGCGTGCTTGACGCCGGCTCAAAAATTGTGAGCAGAGGCCTACACCTAGGTCACTGGTTTGAGTTCTAGGCGAGACACCTAAAATCTCTTATCAATCAGGAATATGGGTAGTATTGCATGGTGAACTAACAGGAAACTTGACAGAATACTGGGATCCATCTGTGAATGATCAACATTCCATCAAGGTAAAGATCCCAGTACTCTTAGTTGGTTTAAGCTATTGTAGCTTTGACAGAAGCTGGCCTTGGCAGAAGAATAATTTACAAAAAAAATATTTATCAATTATTTTCATTTAAACATGCCATAAACAAAAGCTCTCTTGCTAAAATGTTGAGCTTGAATATCATCTTAGATTACGCTCACCTTTCTGGGTCAAACTTTTCTGGCTCCGGCCATATCTCCGGATCATGGTGAATTGCATAACACGGAATCGTAACAGGCAATCCTTTAGGAATGTGCAGCCCTTTTATAGTGCAGGCCTCCATGCAATCTCTCTGAAGGCTGACGCAATGATGAAAAATAACCTAAAGTTACACCTGAGTTTTCTAAAGAGACTGTGGTGCTGCGTCGGTGGGAGAGTATAACAGGGTAATTTAGTGTTATCAACTGATTTGAAATTGGCCACCGTAAAGAGTTTAAAGGCTGACGTTTCGAGCGTTAGCCCTTCGTTAGAGCGATTGTATCGCTCTGACGAAGGGCTAACGCTCGAAACGTCAGCCTTTAAACTCTTTACGGTGGCCAATTTACGTTTTCATCTCAGCTGATAACACTAAATTACCCTGTTAGTCCCCAGAAAGCCTTTTTGATAGAGGACAAATCACGGGCGCAGAATACAAGAGAGTACAGCCATCGACCTTTCAAAGAACTAGTTGAGTGGTATACTCGCATCATGTAATAGTCTTTTTAAGCACCTTGTTTTTCCTTTTAAACTTGGATAGTTTGCTTTACACATCCATTTGGTCAAACTTTTACCATATGCAGGTTACATTCTAGAAGTAAACGTACCCTAAAAGGGGAAATGATTTGTATTGATTTAAACCAAAGTAATTCCAAAATTTCGTATCCACTATTTCATTTACTCACACGAATCCTGGCGGGTACATCCTAATTGCTTCATTAATAACCATGTCAAGGTATTGCATGTTATGGAGCGAGTCATAAGATGGAGATTCCTACGAAAACATAATTCATTTACGAGAACTCAAAAATCTAATCATTCGATTCCTACTATTACGTTAAACAAATGTTTGGTTTATTGACAGAAATTTTACACACTCTGAGTACTTACCTCATCTCCAGGCCACATACGGTCAATCTCGTCCCTCAGTTTATCTTGCACGTCCGTGTGAAGAACGAGTTCATAGCAAATGAAAGCGAGAGTTGTACTGGATGTGTCATATCCAGCGAGAAGGAAAGTTAGACATTGTGCCTTAATATCATCATAATCAATTTTTTCTCCTCCTGTTTCATCCTTTGCATCCAGCATCAGTTGCAGTAAGTCTTTCCGCTAAAAGCAAAGGAATGCATGGATATCAGTGTGGAAGGAAGAAATCGTTTTTATTTTTCAATTATCCTTTTAAGCATTTTTCCATGAAAATGGAAATGGTTTCTTGGTCATTAGTTTTCGCAAAAGTATACCAGCATCTAATTTATCACGACATGTTCGTATAAAAACGTGGCAAACGGGATAAGAGTGCTTCTGCAACTTGGTGGCTGACATAACTTCACCATTGATGGATACGAGCCACGATAATTGAAAACCAGAGAAATCGTTTTGTTTGCGTTTATGTTTAGCAATTACGCATAACGCATTCTGTTTTATGCATTCTCCCCGACAGTTTAAGGAAGGATAGGAGCTATAAATTCGCCACTTATCATTTTATACTGAGTGCTGCTCTTTGTCATAATGGTAGCTACTTACGGGTACGTCATTACTGTCCTTTGCGGCAGTCCTTTCAGCGATGATATCGGCTGATATGGCAAGAATTTTTTCGAAATCAAACGGATCCTGGAGGTTATTCAGTATGTGTTCTCCAAATGGTAACAGGACTGCAAATGTGTGATTAAAGTAAAGAAGTCGTAAGCACATGAAAAAGTGGCACATATAGGGGAAAATAAATCCTATGGCTTTCTGCTGTTTGGCCAATAGGTACCATAATACAACGGGTGTGTGATGGTGTGTTCCAAAAGACTATAATTTAACTTCTTTTCTGTGGCCGATATTGATAAGCAGAGAGCTTCTTGATAGTTTCTAAACGAACTAACAAAAAAGTAAGGAAAAAAGATCCTAACACAGTAATCCAACCAAAGGGTGTGGAGCCATGGCCTTCTTTGCTAACTCAGTGATTGGATCATTTTCAACAGTTTGTGTTTCTGCTTTGACTCCAAATGCTGTTGACAAAATCACTTCCATAGTAAGACTTTGGAGCCACCTGAATGTAGGGGAAAAAAAGTTTGAGATAAATAACGAATTCTACAGGTACTCATTTTGTAAATATAATTTGTCAATTAGGAGAATCTAAAGGGTCTTTCTCTTCAAGTATTACTCAAGTCTTCAGACTATTATTAGTTTTCATAGATATTTTATGTTCTCTGTTCAAACTGTGAATCCAGAAAAGTTACTTAAACAAATTAGAAGTAGTTGCCATATTCATGCACTAACCTTCGCGATTTATTTTTGAACTCATTTGAACCGAATCGTCACATCACATGATGATTAAGGTTTGTTCACTTCGGTTTTTCCTTCTACATTAATCATTTTAAATTGAGTATACTATAATGACCTATGAAAATCAATGGTCTCCCCTGTCTTGGAAATTCTGTCCACTTTCTGCATTAAAATGCTAATCGCTTCGTTCATAAAGGGCATCATCTGCAAGAAAGGTACGTATACCAAAATCAAATCAAATTTTCGTGACAACTACCATCGCTTTCAAAAACAACTTAATTTTTATTAGCAGAGGGAAGGAAAAAATAAATGATCTGCCCCGTATTGCCTATTAATACAAATTTAAAAATAAAAACGAAACTTGCCTGCTTCATCTTAGCTGCACTGAAAGTTGGAGACAAAGTAGACCGTATATCCTTCCACTTCTGACCACTTACAATTGTTAACATTCTGTCATATGGCTTCTTAAGGTCCTTCATCAATTTCTGAAATTGTATGTTACAGGAGAATGTCATTTCTATCTTGAATTCAGTACATTTTAGGCTTTCATTAGCGTTTAGTTAAAGAATATATTGTATATGAGTTAGATTATGTAAGGCGCTAAAGCTTTGTCACACTCTTAACGATGATGATCATTTGCTTCAAATTACAGCTTTCATCAATGTTGCCTTTTCCCTTGCAATACAATATTAATTGCTTTTCTAGCTAAGATAATAGAGAGATGAAAAAATTCAGAATATCTAGTTATGTTCATTCGTGCTGAAAAATAACTAAACCAACCTAACCTTTACTAATGTGTCGCGTAGCAAAAAGGGTTTGATCTATAAATGAGGAAATTGGAAAAATATCATTATTACCTTTCGATCGTGAAATTTCGGGAATTCTTTGACAAGGATCTCTTTTATCATATCTAGATCAGCAACCACCATGAATGGCTGACGAAAGATATAAACTCTGCAAAAAGATGATACGATATGAAAAATATGATTTAATGTTGGAACATTTCGCAAGCCAAAACCAAAGGTGTCTCAGAATTTTTCTTATTTATATTCTATTCTGAAAGAGGGTGAGTCTAAGAAACAAAAGAAAACAAAGAAGAAAATATATTTTGAAATAACTTATGGGGACTATACTTAATGCAGGGTGCATAGGGGAGCCCTACCGGCCGTTTTGGTTTAGGAACTATTGTAGTTTCTACGGCCAGCAACCAGATTGAACTTTCTTTCACCATCATCAGATCATCGTCATCAGCAGATGCCAATTGGTGATTCGTTTATTTTACTTTTTTCAACAATAATATTAAAATACATACCCAAATATCTTTCCATATTTATTGTACCATTCCATTTGACACTTGGGGATGACATTTGGCTGCAAAAAAAGTAAGTCAGTACACCGTTACGGGAGAATTTGAGGTCATAATTCAACCCCCTCATGGACTTGCGATGGCTTGATGATGGGCATAGTTAAGATAAAACAGCCTCAAGATACATGCTGGCTAAGTCAGCTTTGAGTTGAAATTTGTCAATGGTTATTAGGAGTGATGCCTCAACAGGCCAGCAGGGTTCTATGTCATTAATAAACGGTTCTACCAATCGCTAAAGATGCGCCCGCATCCAACAATTGCAAGAGAGGTTCCCCCCCATTCGTACAACACTCTCTTCTTGGTCAAGAAAGTGCAAGTTTCCGCTCCGTTGTTCGATTTCCTGTTCTTTCAACTTGAGTACATGCCACCGTGTTATTGTTTGGAGTTTGCAATCAGGCAAGCCATTTTGCGCCTTCCACAAGACTACTTTTGATTTTATTAATGATAAATTACTTCTTCACGTTAAGGTAAAGTTAACATTGCCCGTCCATCCGATCATTTTGGCCCCAGTTCTTCGAAGGGTGCATGGATAACGCTTTCCACTGGATAAAAGCTCAATCCTGTGGATAACGCAGTACGTTTTGTGAACACTTATCCGCTAGGTAGGGATTTTACCAGTTGGATAGCGTTACCTGCCCTTTGAACAACTAGGCCCTGATGAAAAAAAAAATTAAGCCAACCAACTTACATTAAAGGAGTTCTGTATGGCGTTGCCAAAAAACGGAAGAGGTGTTGGTCCTCTGATTCCGAGTTTCTTGAAAACAGTAAACGGTGCAACACAGTATCTTGGAAAGGTAAGATAACAGTAACTTAGATATCAAAATTGTAGCCATAAAAGTTTGGCCATTAAAAATGGCTTTTAATTTAACTCTGAATTCCTACGACTGATAACTAACTTAGTGGTCACCAAAACGAGATAAATTTTTGAAATGCTGATGTATCCTTTTAACCCAATGTTGCCAAGACTTGTAACATGAAAAACGCACATTTCCGTTTCAGTGTCATCCGGGAAGTTACTTTTGTAAAGAACTCGAAAGTTATTTTTCCAATGTTGCGTGACTTTTTATTGTCTAACAAGGGATTATTTACATACGTTCAATCTCTAAAAACAATGGCGTCATTCAACTTTCTGTCCATATCGTAGAAGCTCATACACCACCTTGATTTCATGTAAGGCTTCTATTCACCGCTTGATTGGAGCCGCGAAAAATGCTTCGAAAGTTTAAAATCAAATCAGTTATTAAGGTAAAAGTAAGTTACGCATATCTCGAGCGACAAACACTCTTAATACAGCCAAAACATTGATTCTCAACACCCTTAATTGACTCTTAACTACTTACCGATAAAACAGAAGGATTAAAAGTCCAACCAACAATGTAATCCAGTGATCGTATGCATACTGTACTGTTTCTTGGAGAAGGTTTGTCATCTCTACTCGTTTTGGAAACTGAATAAATCTAATTTGGTTGCAGAGTCCAAGAATCTCGTTCTTCTGGTAGAAAAAGCGACGGCAGTGCCAATATAACTTTTTACCAAAGATGTTTAGTGGTAGGCAACATCCCTCAGATGATTCTGGTATCAAGGGTCTCACTTTAACCTGCAACTAACTTGGCAAAATGCAACAATGACAACATAGTTTGCATATGATAAGTGTATATGCAAATTCCTCAATTGGTAGTAAAGCTGATGTAACACAAGGTAACAATGTCACGATCTTTCGTCACAACTGACGCACCTGACCCGGTTAACTGACTCGTTAACAATATTCCACTCACTGTTTTCTTTCTAGCTTTGTGGTAGATGTATGATGTAAGAAAAGATGTACTAAGTCCGTTCTCATATCAGAACGTAACTGCACCCCGCACCAATTGATAGCGTTAGCTTTGACAGCTTTATTCAGTTAGTAGTATTATTAAATTATTCATGATATCAAGCAAACTTTTTGTAACACGGTCTAAGACATTCCACCTGAAACATGAAGCAAGCTCATTTCATCGCGAATAAAATGTGATCAGTAGCTAGAGCCAATTTTCCAACCATTGATAAGAAAGAGACCCGACAGACTCAATGGTAGATGAGGATTCTAAGAGCTTTTATTTAAGTACAAGTTAATCGATGAAGAGAAGTGATCGCAATCAGAATACGCCACTCTATGACGGTATACACTTTATCTGATCATCTTTGGTCAACTGGATAGACATCCGAGCTATGGGTACTTTTAGTAGAGTGTTATTGAAAGGGGATCAACCATAACAATATATATATTTTTTCAAATAGCTGTCGTAGTATTTAAACACATTTAATGTGGAGTTCAACTAGATTTATTTGTGATCTTAGTACATTGTTTTAGTATACACCTTTTTTCCTTGGGGGCATAGGGTAGATTTAATATGTACTTGTCTCATTTGTAATAAATGTTTTTCATAAAGTTCACTAATAGTACACTACTAGCAACTTCTTATAATACTTTAGATTGGTTGTTACACAGGTAAATGACTCATATCTAAAAGCCAGACAACGTTTTCACCGTTTTACAAAGTTGAAGAAGACAATAATATAATTGTGTTTAATCCCTTGGTGAAACCTTCAACATGATTGTGTCAGGAGCGCAGATCAGAGTAAACATGACTTCAAACTTTATTGGAACCTGCAAAATCAAAGTCATTGGAAATTTCGTTGACAAGTACAAAGATGTACAACTCATAGGATATTGAAGAGCTGAATCGATTTTGATTCACGCATCTCTTTTTGCTAAAATATATCAGTGAACATTGTTCAGCTACAGTATCAGTTGATGCCCAGTTCACAATAGAAACCAATCAAGTAATTAATATTTCATAGACGTTGTGCTACGTTTCAGCTCTACTTCGTCGATCACTATCAGTTCACCCTGTTTCCAAAACATTTGATGCTTGTTTTTAGTCGAGCACATTTGCGCTGCTCCTAGACAAAACGCTCAAAAAGGTAGAGTTTAAGCTTTTTTCGTGCATATAAACACGTGGATACAGGTTAAATCCAAGCAAAACACAGTGGTGAAATGATGGATAAGAGTATATTGGTAGAAAGCTGATCATTCTGACAATACTCGAAGAAATGCATCAGAAGACCCTCAGATGAAGACAACTGAAAAAAGGAAAAGAAGATTTTCACTCACAGCTGTTTTCTCGGTACGCTCTAGCTTGTACTTCTTCAGTAATCTAACAAGGGTCAGTTTTATTTCCAGCAAAGCAAATCGCATTCCAACACAGTTATGAGGACCAAACCCAAAAGGTAGAAATGCATAGGGGTGACGCTTTGCTTTCTCCGCTTCTGTGAACCTGACAAGAATAAAGCATTATTATTATTATTACTATTAGCAAATTGGATTACGGTTTGAGAGTAGGTTTGGGCTTGCGCAAAGAGGGGTAACCGGTAGGGTACTTGTTCGGTACTTGTTGGCGAAACTGACCTGCCAGTGATAGGTCAGTGTCACCTACAAGTCATTTCACCAAAAGGTCGTCTCGCCCAGAAGTCAACTCGTTCACAGGCCAGTTTCATGTACAAGTCATCTAGCCTACCGGTCAGTTCATGCACGAATCATCTTACGAAAGGCTTACCTTTCTGGGTTGAATGTTTCGGGTTCCGGCCATATCTCCGGATCATGATGGATTGCATAACATGGAATCATAACTGGCAATCCTTTAGGAATGACTAATCCTTTTGTAGTGCAAGCCTCGTTGCAGTCTCTGTGAAGTCTAAGGCAATGTGAAGTAAAATGAAAAAGTAATTCTGTATTATTAAACATCCTAATCAAAGCCTTCTTTCAAGTATGCGGTGGCGGGGATGAGGCTAGATGCTAATTCTTTATTTAATGTCCCAACGCCAGATGTTCGAATCAGTTGGTTTTGAGTGCCATGTGGACGCATTATGAAAATGTCGAATTCTCGAACGCAGCCAGAGTAAGGCATATAGCTTACTACTACGGCTTTCTCATTATTATCTCGTGCACCTTTGAGTTCGTGATTTGTGATTTTCCTTCCTATCACCATCTCTCCATGCATGTTGTATATACATGACCCTCTGGGCTTGCTCACGCTGTTGTAAAGGTTTGACCACGTGCATGTGACAATCCTGCTGTATAATAGGCCCAAAAACCTAACCCTTTTGCAATACGATGTCCAGACTCATACTAGCATTTCTTACCATCTATTTTAATTACTTACGCAAATCCTGGAGGATGCATTCTAATTGTTTCGTTAATAACCATATCAAGATATTCCATCTTATGAATGGTGTCATATGATGGTGACTCCTGCATTTAGAAATTCAAAATTAGTGAACTCTTCTCGGATGGCGCGCTAACGTGCTTTTGGTTTACTGATTAAAATATCGTCAACCCCGATGACGATGTTCTGCGTGTCTGAAATTATTATGGGATATGGCACAAGTCTCCTTTGTGTATTTTGTGGTTGTATTCCATTCAAGCGAAAAACTACCTTATCCATGATGAAAAGGGAGAGGTTTTCGTCAAACGTTTAGGTCTAGCAGGTCTGAAATATCGTCATTCAAAGACAGCGATTTTTAAATCTTTTTGTAAATTCTTTTTTGAAATAGGCCAACTAAAACATTCAGCGTTGGGAAGACAAATGGGATGGCCAAATGTTAGGATTAAGTTTTGTTGCGTACAAGAACCTGGTCCACTGCAGATATTCGTGCTTGACGTGTCCAACGAGAAGTTACGTTAGGCATTCAGTGTGAATTTCGAAGTGTTTGAAGAGTTATTGAATAAGTCTGTCATATTGATGTTCCAATGATATTTACCAACCTCGTCTCTGGGCCACATACAGTCGATTTCGTCTCTCAGCTTGTCTTGCACATTTGTGTGAAGGGCGAGTTCATAGCAAACAAAACCCAGAGTAGTACTGGAAGTATCGGAACCAGCGAGAAGGAAAGTAAGACACTGTGCTTCAATATCAACGTAATCAATCTTTCCTCCTCCTGTTTCGCCTTTTGCATCTAACATCAATTGAAGAAGATCTTTTCGCTGAAAAGAATCAAATGAACTTTTCATCGGAATGACACTCTTGCACTATTGTGCAAAGGTAATATTTCTTATTTGTTTTGTCCCGAATTCACAGAAATACACAGATCTACTGAAACGTGGTACATAATTTCATTTCATGTTCACGATTTCTCATTAAAACAGAAATAAGAATGGATTTCTTATAAACATAGTACGCGCACTTGTTCTGCTTTTTTTGGAATGAAAAGGGAAAAGTTCTGTAGACGGTTTCCTTCAAATTCTTCCCGGTCTAATTCCACGATACAGACAAACAGATTGTGAATAAGTACCCGAGAAAACGATAGGCTGTTTCACATTCATGTAAAGGCTTGTTTGCCAGTTGTGATAGTTATCCAAGCTTTTTGACTGACTTGCTAATACTTTTATGCCACCAATTTAAAACTATCTGACTCCTTTACTTACAGCCGCGCTTTTCTCGCCCTTTTCATCTCTCCTTTGAGCGATAATATCAGCTGATAACGACAAAATCTTCTCACAATCAAAAGGGTCCGGTAAATTATTTATAATGTATTCTCCGAATGGCAGGAGGACTGAAAAGATAATATAGAAGTGTTAGAGTATTAGAGTGGTCAGAATAACCACGTACGTACAAATATGTCTCATGGTTGATTTATGTTTTTTGGTAAGTAACTATGTCAACCCTAACAAGCAAATTTCTTCCTTCAATATAATGCTATATTTTCTTAGAAGAACGTTGACATGTTCATAACTGAAACAAAAAGAGGCAACTGAAGTAAATAAAATCCTCACACACTAATCCGAGCAAAGGGTGTGGAGCCATGGCTTTCTTTGCAAGCTCGGTGACTGGATCATTTTCAACAGTTTGTGTCTCAACTTTGAGTCCAAATGCTGTCGAAAATATTATCTCCATGGTGAGACTCTGAAACCACCTTAAAAATTAGAACAAAGCATAGATTTTAAATTATTTACAGATAGCTATTTTGTACCTATACAGAGGATGATTAATTTGAAGATTTTTGATATTGGGAGCAAGTTGTGCTGACTCGACAGAAGACTCTTTGCTGTGCATTTTTTTAGCTAACGCCATTCTTATCAGACGTTTTACATAAACGTTACGTGATCTCTGCTCAAAGGCGTAAAGGTAGCTTAACAATTTAATTTAGGTAGCCTCTGAGTTCAGACTTCTGAAAATGTTGGAAATTTTTAACAGTGAATTATGTGTTCAATTCAAATTCTTTTTTGCCACCTATGTCATGTGACTCTGCAGTTCTGACCTATGGAAATCAACGATTTCTCCTGTCTTGGAAATTCTGTCCACTTTCTGCATAAAAGTGTTCACTGCTTCGTTCATAAAGGGCATCATCTGAAAGAAAGGTTTCAGAAATGAGGAACAAGTGAGTGTCACATGGTTACAGTTTCGTCCATATTACCTTACTTAAATGCATCTACATAGTTTTCTTAAAATTCAAAATTAACTTGCCTGCTTCATTTTAGCTGCACTGAAGGTCGGGGACAGCGTGGATCGTATATCCTTCCACTTCTGACCACTGGCAACTTGTAACATTCTGTCATAAGGTTTTCGAAAGTTTACCAATTTCTGAAATCATAATTTTAAAAACTGAATAAGACTGACTCATAAGGTTAGAATTAAAATCGGTCTGTTCGTATTGGTTTTGTGACATATATTGTGCATGTATATACATGTTGATGATTTTTCGTGTTGAGGTCATAATAATCTTGCACCTAAGTTGTACCGATGAGAAATTGTCGAGTAACGTTTCTGATAAATGGTGCATTGAAAAAAGTAACTGTGACAAAGTATCGTAAAAATTTCTGTGGTAGCGTTAGAAACGATCCCAACAGGTTTGTACGAGAAATTTGACTTTCTCACCCCTGATCATTTATCATTACTGTTGAGACAGGGCCGAGGCTAAGAGTTACTTACATATGGCCTTGTTTTATTATTTGGGTGAGGCCCCTCCTTTATTAGTCTAATAGCAGTATAGAATTGTTGATTAATGGTTCGTGAAGAACAAAGGCTTTTACAATTTTTTTTAGATTTACCTTCCGATCATGAAATTTGGGGAATTCTTTCACGAGGATGTCTTTTACCATATCTGGATCGGCCACCACCAGAAAAGGCTGACGAAATATATATATGCTAAAAAAGTTAAAAAAGGGAACTGTTAGTATGGGTAATCACATGATTTGAGTACAATCTGAAATAAATGAGCACGAGAAAAATCATGTTCTTACGTATTAATAATATACATGAAAAAATACGAGATAGCTTATTATAACTATGCAGAAGCAAAGCGCGCGCATCAAGTGCAGAAAAAATTTATTCAACCCCTGCAAGTGAGATTGTGCGTTCGGTCAAAACAACCGCGTACGATCAAAACAATTATATACGGTGATATTTTCACAGCTTTAATAAAGGCGCAAAAAAGTTCAAAGTCCGGTTAACAGTTCAAGGAATTGTTCAGTCTGGCTTGTTACTTCTTTGCACCGAATTAATCTTCTTCTGCATTAAATCCCCTGAAAACTGCATTTATCTTAACCAATCAGAACTGAGTAATTGTAAATTGTAAATGTGTAAATATTAGCTAACTCAATTGCGTGTTAATTCGGTAGTTTAAAAGTTTTCTCGATATGTTTTAAAATGATTGTACAATTTTTAGCATGCTGTTCTTTAAATAGAAAGCCACTCAAAAAGTCACGATAGCCTTTTCTCGACTTATATATGTCACGTTTTCTCGTGTAAATGACAGAAGCTATGGCCATGACGTTCTGTTTGATTATAATAACTGTGGTGTGATTTTGAATTGACGCTCAAGTATACATACCCAAACACCCTCCCATATCTTTTACACCATGATATCTGACATTGCGGGACAATGCTTGGCTGCAAAAAGAAAAGTTTACACTTTTAAAAATGAATGGGAATGTTATAAAATTCAAACCTCACCTATATCGGATTGGGTATCGGCCAAAGAAGGTATTACTTGGAACCAGGTACTTTCTAGTACTGATCAGTATACAGGAGGAAGAGAATTGTAATGCTTTATTTGATTGTGATTTTTGATCGCAATAATTTTTCACCCGCCCTCGTTGTGTTCAGGACATGAAACTGCAATTGCGCCATCCAGCTTTTTCTTTAAAGCAGGTACTTTCATTTCCTATTATCAATCATCATTTTGAGGAGAATGTCTAGTAATGCTTTGCTTGATTATGAATTAATTTTTTGCGCGATATCCCTTCGCCTCCCTCTTTTGGAATTTTCTCGACTGGCCTCTATGTCTTTCTTTGCTCGATTCATCACTACGGTAAACAAAAAAAATTGGGATTAAGTCAACCAACTTACATTAAATTGGTTCTGTATGGAGTTCCCAAAAAATGGAAGAGGTGTAGGTCCTTTGATTCCAAGTTTCTTGAACACAGTGAAAGGTACAACGCAGAACCTTAACAAAATAAGATATTCCCGAGTAATCACCTAGAACCATCAGCTGTCCCAATTGTGGCGAAGAGCTCAGTGGTTAAAAATTTGTAGTGTAATTTCATTTTAAATCGGAAACTACAAAGTAGAATATCGTCTTGTGAAAATGAACTCAGAGCGCTCTTTTCCTTTTAAAATTAAGTTGTCAGATTTCTGACGTTGTTGAACGGGGACCTATCTTATTTTGAAAATAGTGCGTGCGTGACTTCCGCTCTTGTCACGAACTCGGAGGCACCCTTTGCCCTCGGATAATTTGCATAGCCGCGTTAATCCAAACGTGGCCGCAAACACGAGGCGTACAAGATTTTATTCCACGCGCATTTTAGTGGCAAGGGTTTATACTCTGATATCCATAATGTCTCGCTCACAACACAGTGAATAAATTTTCAAAGGTCCTTTGCGTTCACGTCAGAACTCTAACTTGGAGACCGGTGTTCATTGGTCTTAATTCCACTGGTTTCAAAGTGAGAAATTACGTTGCGTGCATTTAAATAATTGGAGTCTGAACCTTCGATTTTGCCAAAATCTTATTTACGAGTCCCAATATCCAAAAGAAAAGTATTGGATCAGCGAATAATATGCAACTTGACTGAGTGTCTAATGGGTCTAACGTAATGAAGGCAATGAAGACGTGTTACATACCGATAAGACAGGAAAATCAGAAATCCAATCAATAGTGTAACCCAGTGGTCACTTGTAAACTGAATCATTGTTTGTAGAAGGTCGATCATCTCTTCTTGTTCTGGGATTAAAGGCGATCACGTTTCGCTAAAATTCGGAGGAAGATGACTAAATATTGAGAATCTTCTCTTTTCTTCTAGCTGTATTGCATAACATCAACGCAAGGCAGCGAGGTGTTGCATGCAAATATCTCGCATAGCCCTGAATGCCATGGCATGCCTGAACATGTGATCAAGTCAAAGGGTGGTGGATGGTCAATAGAGGGAAGAAAAAAAAAACCCCAGAAATTGAAAATTTGTAACTGATAAAAAAGAAACGCATGAGAAGCGAGAAGTAATCATTCTAAAATCAAAATTAGTTTTTTGGAATCTTAACCTCGCTAAATTTATCGCGGATCCTGATAAAAGAGACGGGTATCTTATTCAAAATTGTAGTTGCGAAGACTGTATCCTATTAAAAAGCGTTTATTCAAAGTACAGTTATCGTAAAGTATTGTGGTCATATACATAGCCGTCTACAGTAGTGAATAACATTTATTACCGGCCTCCGAGCTCAAATCAACTCAAAAGCAACTCGTCCTTGAATAGTGCCCTTAACGTTAAATTGAACATTTCTACAGTTCCTTTTGGTCTGCAAAGATTTTATGTACACAATTTCTCTGCACAAGCGTATTTTGACACTTTAAATACCGAGGAAATCCGCCGAAACATGATCGGTTTTCATCGTGAGTGATTTTGCCATAGTTCACCATTTTCTTTTCTCTATTAGTATACATATATTTATTATCATGTCTTGCCCTTCAAAGTACTGAGAGAATATAATACATGATGTATTAGTATTTACCACACAAGTAAATAGTGCTTTTCACGTGCGCTGATCGGCTAGTTCAGAAATGAATAGCAACGTTCAATTCTCCTCCGAACAAAACCACGCGTCAAGAGTTAAATTTCTGATCATTTTTCGGTATATTGGGAGAATCAAATCACTTTTTGGTATCTGTGTGGTGTATACTGAAACGATCATTCACCTCAATGTTGGTGAATGTGGTGTATATTTACCTCTACTTTGGTGAATAATTTGTTAAATATTGTAGCTGGCAGCAGTGAATTTCTCACCATAAGTTATACATGGAATATTACTACGAACGCCTCCACATCAATCTGCAGTGATGGAAAAAATTGGTTTTTCCTCCTTCTACAAACAATTTTCTTTTGAAACATTTAAGTTGCCTGACTGAGTGACTCAATTACATTGTACTTGCTAATATTGTGCAGGCAGCGATCAAAACCTTGCTTTACTCCCTCTTGGAAACTCGTAGCATGATTTTCCCCGGAGGACACGAAAGGGAGAGAGCTACTGCAAAATTCAGGGGAACCTGCAAAAGAGGAAACAAACAGAGATCCTACTTGCATAGAAATGATATGAATATTACAAAAGTAACGGCTTAAAATGGTAAGCGTATAAAATTACATATCTTTGCGTCTAACTTTTTATATGTATCATAATTCAATCGGTAGACTTAAACCATCCGCAGATTCGATCCGCAGATCTGCATCGACACGAATTTTAACTTTAAAAGTGTTTTCCAACGTGAGTAGTCAATGGGTTTTGGCCGAGATTGCTCTTTCTGTTGACAAGGTACAAAGCAAACGAGAGCTGTTGCTGTGAGGATTTAAATTCTAACTAAATTGTAGTCAAACTTACCGCTGTTTTCTCGGTGCTCTCTAGATTGTACTTCTTCAGTAATCGCACCAACGTCAGCTTAATTTCCAGCAAAGCAAATCGCATGCCAATGCAATTTCGGGGACCATAACCAAAAGGCAGGAACGCATAAGGAGAACGTTTTGCTTTCTCCGCCTCTGTAAACCTATCAACATTAATGAGTCAACAGGAATTAAGACGAGCTTTTTCCGAAAAGAGGGAATTATCTGAAAACCTTTGCGTCAACAGCGTAGGCAAAACTTACAAAAGCCGATTTCTTTAAAAAGATCAAAGAGATCAAAATGACCATCATGGCAATAGGTGAAAGACTCTCAATTGTTCATGAGGGCTGGGATAAGGCGGAAGAATATGATGAAATAATATTCGGGGATTTTTCATTCCGATAACTCTGAGCCCTGAAGAAAACACTAAACAAGAATATTTAGAAATGCCGACGTCATTTTCGCACCTCTCCGGATCAAACCTCTCTGGCTCCGGCCAAAACTCTGGGTCATGATGGATGGCATAAATTGGTATCATGACGGGCAGTCCTTTCGGAATTTTAATCCCTTTGATGGTGCAGGTTTCATTACAATCTCTCTGTGTCCTGGGACGGAAATCAAGTAAATTTAGACAAAACCTAGTAGATGTAAACACAAAATACAGCTATTTCGAGAAGGTTGTCGGAAAAAAGGACAAAAGTGCACGCGAGAGTAATGGGCTCTTGTATGGGTACGTAACGAGTCAACCGACTGGACATGAATAGTCTTAGCTGGGTACGAAACGACCAGTAACCCTATTCTCGTACCAGTTTTCTGTTACGCTCGAGGTATGAGGTTGACATCTGTTGTTACGTTATTTTATATTCTATTCTATTCTGAATACTATTTGTCCAATTTTCTCTGCACTTTCCTCTCACTTTTCTCGAACATTCGCTTTGAACGCACTTTAATCGCGCTTTAATCATACTCTTCTTGCACTTTTTGGGTACTATGTTAGCATATTTCCTGCACTTTCCCCGCACGTTTACCGCGCTTTTATCACACTTTGAACTCAATATTCTCCTACTTTTCTCACACTTTCCCGGCACTTTCCTCGCACTTTTCTTGCACCTCCGTTCGCTGGAAAACGGAAGAAACCAAAACCACAACACAGACAAAAGGGCGCCTTTTCAGCAGAAGGCGCGATAACCTTGAAAGGTTATTCGGGTGTCCGCTATCAATGAATTCAAATAAATTCGTCAAAAACATAATGTATCGTCCTTACAGTGACTTTTTCTAAGATTTCTCTGAAATCCTAAGCTCAAGAAACCGTGATAACCTGAAAACTACTCACGATACCTTTCGGGTCGTCGCGTGTTGTAATAGCTTTTTTCCGACAACCTTTCTCGAAACAACTGTAGAACTAGTGAACTGACCACGAGTCTGTAGATAGCTAATGGGAGTAAGGCTTGTGCCAGTAGTATCGGTGATAAGGGTCTTAATCCAACTTACGTTAAAGTTGACTAGGACTCAGAAATCCCTGGAATATTTAGACATCGCAATTTCTTTCAACAAAAAAAATTTTTTCAAGCAATCATTTTGTCTTGATCTACATACATCAACCTGACATTAATTTAATTTCGTGTCGCGTGACTTTCCTTCGTCTATAATAAATTAAATCTCATCATTACGAGACTGGATAATTTTTTAATTCGCGCAAAAGGTCGAACATTGAAAAGCTGTCTACTAAGCGGGGTAGTAGAGATTGTTTTTATACTTCCTATACGCACATAAAGCCCGGGGGATACATCCTGAGTGCTTCGTTAATAACCATGTCGAGATATTCCATCTCATGAAGGACATCATAAGACGGTGACGCCTGAAAAAAAAGAGAATGTTAAACGGGGATATCAAAATTGCAAATTGCATTTGAAGCCTTCTTATGTTAGGACACAAAGATCAAGAGGGGAGAATAGTAAACTAAAAAGCTCGACTATCTTTTAGCCAAGGGATCTGTTTGTTTCTATCGTAATGAAAACCGTTTTATGCCCTTGGCAGAGCTCTATTACGTTATGCGCTAAAACGGCTTCATACCTCGTCTACGGGCCATAGACGGTCAATTTCATTCCTCAGTTTGTCTTGCACATGCGTGTCAACAGCAAGATGATAACAAACAAAGCCCAGAGTGGTACTTGTTGTTTCATAACCAGCGATAAGGAAAACCAAAGTCTGGGCAATGATGTCTTCATAGTCAATCTTTTCTCCCCCTGTTTCGTCTTTCGCATCCAGCATAAGTTGCAACATGTCCCCTCGCTGAAAGAAAGCTATTTTGGTAAGCCGTAACTACAGCTTCTGCATCAAAAGAACTTGTTATTCGCGTGGGGCTGTATGCTCAAGTCTAACTCTTCATCTTAAATTAACCCTTTAAACCCAAATAGTGACGGCTTATAATTCCTCCCTACAGTGTCACCCTTGAATCAAATATAAAGGCCATGAGAATAAAGGAAACCATTACCAATTTAGAGGCTCTCACAATTCTCCCTGATAATACAATAGAAATTGCGAAGAGGACAGTATGGAGAATATGTAAACAGTATGGAGACAGTATAGACAGTATGGAGAATATGTAAACAGTATGGAGACAGTATAGACAGTATGGAGAATATGTAAACAGTATGGAGACAGTATGGAGACAGTATGACAGTATGGACAGTATGGAGAATATGTAAACAGTATGGAGACAGTATAGACAGTATGGACAGTATGGAGAATATGTAAACAGTATGGAGACAGTATGGAGAATATGTAAACAGTATGGAGACAGTATAGACAGTATGGACAGTATGGAGAAGATGTAAACAGTATGGAGACAGTATAGACAGTATGGACAGTATGGAGAATATGTAAACAATATGGAGACAGTATAGACAGTATGGACAGTATGGAGAATATGTAAACAGTATGGAGACAGTATAGACAGTATGGACAGTATGGAGAATATGTAAACAGTGTGGAGACGGTATAGACAGTATGGACAGTATGGAGAATATGTAAACAGTATGGAGACAGTATAGACAGTATGGACAGTATGGAGAATATGTAAACAGTATGGAGACAGTATAGACAGTATGGACAGTATGGAGAATATGTAAACAGTATGGAGACAGTATAGACAGTATGGACAGTATGGAGAATACGTAAACTAATGCTGAGGTGTAAAGGATTGCGCTTCATAGTTTGTTACTCACCTGTGGTTTGCTTGTTCCGTTTACTTTCGTCCTTTCAGCAAGAATGTTTTCAGCAAGAGACCACATCTTCTCAAAATTAAATGGGTCTGGAACGTACTTGGATAACCAGTCTCCAAAAGGCAGAAGAACTAAATAACAGAGCGAATGGTTTCAAAATACGCTTAATATCAGAATACATTAGCACGGGGAATGGTTTCAGGAACGCTTCAGTATATCAACCTTCTCTAAGTCAGAGATACAGTTTCCGGACCTTATGTTACGTTGCGTTTACGCTAGAGAGCATTTTTTTCAACGTATTAAATGCTTTCCTCAAGGCTAAGAGGTTGAAGGGAAGTCAGATCTTACACAGAACGCCAATGATGGGATGTGGTGTTGTTGCTTTTCTTGCCATTTGAGTGATTGGATCATTTTCATCAGTCTGTGTTTCTGCTTTGACTCCAAACGCTGTCGACAGAATTATTTCCATGGTAAGACTCTGGAGCCAACTATGGGATAAAATATATTCAGGTTTAATAACCCTTACTTTAGAGGTGACCTCAGCAGACGCTGTGCTCTATTTAGAACAGGAAAAAGGAAAAGAAGAATGACGAGGGCAGCTTCAACTGAACAGTTAATACTGAACGCTAATACATTATTGAGATAAAATTATATTCGCTTACATTGTATTTCAGAGCCCTAATACACGAGTAAATCAGGAAGGACATTCGCATAAAAACAAGATCACCTGTTGAAGTCAACAATCTCTTTTGTTCTTGAAATATAGTCCACTTTTTTCATAAGTGTTCCCACTGCTTCATTCATTAGCGCCATCATCTGAAAAAAAATGTGTAATATAAGCATTCTACAATCGATAGTAAACATCTCTCTAATGTTAAACTTGATGCATGGTTATTATTTTTTAGTGACAAATGTGATTTACAATATGGTCAAACTTTTAGTTCAACGATTTACTTGATTTCTTCAATAAGTTCAAAAGGGTTCTTTAAAATCAATTTACTACTATTGTAAGCTTTATAATTAAATCTGGCCATTTCGCCATAAAAACATAAATTTAAAAACATTTAACTATATGAACGGTTATGGTTATGCAAAATGCTTCGTTATTTCATTCAATTAGTTATATCCTAAAAATTACAGCCTCTACCACTGAGATGTGCTTCATACTGAATGTCGTTCAAACGTTTCCTTTTCATGATAAAAACCTTCGTTAATCATCATTCTAGTGCACAGAGGTTATTTAATTTTGAATACGAAATCTACGTACCTGTTTCATTTTAGAGGCACTGAATGCTGGTGACAGAGTACTTCGAATATCCTTCCATTTTTTACCAGTAACTATTGCCAACATTTTGTCATAGGGTTTTCGTAATTTTAAGGAGTTCTGATGATAAAACAGACGACATCCTTTCAAAGTGAATGTGACATCAAATTCTTGACACTTGATTGCTGTTGCTTGATCTAACTGCATTTAGAACGTCCAAGAGTCGTGAACACTAGTCTTTGCCTGGCAGCAAATGCACTTCAGTAAAATAGTGTAATTGCCATTACAAATCCCAATTCCTCTGTTCACTGTTGCTTAGCAATGCAAGAGCACACACGGTGTCACTTTGAATGGGAGAGGGGGAGAGGTAAGGAGGAAGGAATAGAAGGAAAGAACAGAGTATCGTGTTTGGAGCACAGTCTGCTGTGGGGAAGCCCTGATGATTTTGTGTTTGGTTCTTGGGACGTACCATGCACTGGTTATTAATCTACTCTACGATAACACTACCTTTCTATCGTGAAATTTGGGAAACTCCTTGACAAAGACATCTCTGATCATTTCCGGATCAGCCACCATCAGAAAAGGCTGACGAAAAAAGTACATCCTGACAAAACCAAGAATACATATGACTTCACATCACCCGAAACAATCCGTACGCAAATAATGTCTTTAAACACCCAAAGTTCTATGTTGCATGGATTTAGCGTATCACCATTCCAAAAGGTATGTCATCATGTTGGACTCGAACAATGAAATTGGCTCCTGATTAACTTACCCAAACACCCTGCCATACTTCCTACACCACTCTCGATGAAGCTTCGGAGCAATATTTTGCTGTGAATAGAAACCAACATGCTAGAGGTTTTATTTGATTTCAACAATATCTATGTCGTGAAATTAAAACTGTCCAGTTTGGTCGTAATCAATAAATATGCTCCGACTCGCCCCATCCTAAATAAACAAATGATAATTAATCAGCGACTTACATCCAAAAGGACTCTTCCTGAATTTCCCAAAAGTGGAAGCGGTGTGGGCCCTCTGATTCCAAGCCTCCTGAATAAGGTGAATGGTGCAACACAGTATCTATTGATAGAGAAGAGTTAATTAAGCGGTCGCAGATAAGTTCGTTGGTACATTTACCTATTTATTTGAAGAACAAGGTGTCACGGTTGCGTGACCCATGAAAATAATCCGTAGAAATTCATAGCAATTCCAAAATACCAAGTTCTGATACAATTGAATCCATGATGTGTTATCGGTGGACATTAAGCAGTTTAGCAATGCATCGTCTCTCACCTACCGGTAAAACAGAAGAATCAGGAAACCAGCCAAAAGTGTAACCCAGTAGTCGCTCGCAAACTGAATTAGTTCAGCCATCTTGGATGCACTTGTGTGCAGCTGCAGAACGTTGCCGTTGCGTTGCCTTGTTGGTAGAGGTGGCTATACTCGTCTGGAGTAGAAGAGATTCGTTAACCTTATTTTCAGTTGTTGCTCTTTGGAACTCCTTTTCTCCCAAACGCAAGATTACGTGCAATCGAAGCCCAGGGAGATCTGGAACACATCCTTACAGCTCCCAATTTAACAATAAATTAAAACACATTTGATACGTTTTATGGTTGGAAGACTTAACACTCAAAGTACATCAATTCTTACTTAATTGAATTGATGTTGTCTGCTACACAAACTGGCTGAAGTGCGTTTACAGGCTTGTGATCAACTCTAAGATAGTGAGTATTATACATGTCCGTGCATGGCGGGACCATAAATAGAAGCTTTCAACGGTATGTAAATTTTCTAATGATAGAGGTTTCAGATATCGATGTCACGGTAGACGAGCCAGAATCGCTATTTATTTTTAATATCTAGGAGAAATGCCCGGGTGGCTCTGCTCATATTTTAAGGGGTATACTTTTCAGTAGAGGCGTTGTGAACGAAAAGGAATAAGCGAGTTTATTCTTCCAAAGTAACTAGAGAGTAACGGGTTCTCAGTTTGCTCTGACGTCAAAACCGCAGTGCGTGAAATATAATGCAATGATTTCCACGCACCTGAATGATGCAATGTGCGCAAATGAAAGAGGATGTCCTTAAACCAGCGAGTCGAAATTTTATCAAGAGGTTCACAGCGGTTGATCGTTCCCCCTTTGTAAACTTGACTTTCCGTGACCTTCCAAAGTAACTTTCTGACATTAGACCTACGGCCTATAATGTCTCTCATACAAGAATACGGTTGGTGAACATTAATTCTGTCAAAGCAGAAACCGCTTAAGAAAGTTAACCTTTGTGATTCCTGGAGGTTTTCTAGAAAAACCGTAGATACGCTAAACAACTTTGATGGAAAAATGACTGAATGCTTTAAAGGAGATAATTTTTGTTGAAGGAAGTTACCCATTCGGTTCAAAATGATCCTAAAAACAAAAGCAACTATTTCATGGCTGTTATGCTTCTTTGTGTTCCTAATCAAACTGTAGACAGATTAGGTGGTTGGTCATTGCTTTATTTAATTTCATAGAATACAGTTACTAAATCATTGTAGGACCAATCTTAAATTTTTTTGCTCACACAGATGCTGAGCGATAATTTGGTACTCATACTCGGAGCTCGAGCAACGAAGCCGTTCAGGACCACTCTAACCACTGCGGTGACCGTAAGAGTATTGACCGCATTAGTAAGACAATTGCAATGATAGTTTCTGTTCGTAAATGCTGCAGGATGGAGACGATTATGAGCCTTCCTTACTGAAATATTCCGAGCCTGATGCTGTTTTTTACTTACACGGCTTTAATACCATATCGCTGTCTCGCTCGTAGACTCGGTTTTTCATGGATTCGGTTTTGGAAGAGTCGTGTATAAAAATATATCATGCTCTACACGGCTCAGTGAGCTGTGATCCATATCTATAACATGGGTACAAAATTTGAGAACGGTACCTGATATCTCGACAGAAATTAAAACAAACAGACAAAATAAGACAAATTCATAAGAACTTTTTCATTACATTTTTTCCATGAAAACGTTGACAAAAGAAGTACTGTAATTAAAAAGACAGATTAAAGCCAGTTCAGTCTAAACTATCCAAGCCTAACATAAACTTGTCAAGCAGTGTAAATGTAATTGAGGTTGATGTCCAGGCACCACTTAGTTTTCTAATCTCTGGGTGAAACTTTCAGCATTACTTGTCCTTGCGGGCAGGACATTGTAGAAGTAACAACGTAATCCAATGGAACCTACAAGATACACAACAGTGATCATGAACAATGATGGTGGAGAGTGCGGTCAAAACAAAGTTATAAGGTCCTGCAACGAGTTACATGGAAATTCCTCAAGAACGTTTTTGCGAGAAAGCACAGATTTGGCCTCAGAAAGCTGCAATCACATTTCATAATTCGCTCAGAGACACTAAACGTTTATGTTGAAACTTGGACGACACACAACTTGGTCGACAATGACTGACAAAAACGATTGGATTTAGCAAACAAATTTTCTATGAAATCGTTAGTAATCAATTATTGCAGCAATCAGCTGACCTACCGCTGTTTTCTCCGTCCGTTCCAGCTTATACTTCCTCAGTAATCTCACCAGGGTCAGCTTAATTTCCAGCAAAGCAAATCGCATGCCGACACATTGGCGGGGGCCGTGACCAAACGGCATGAATGCATACGGATGACGCTTTGCTTTTTCGTCTTCTGTGAACCTGTTGAAAACCAAAACACTATTCGAGGAGGGTCCTGAAGGAATGGGGTGTTAAAACCGTTTTCTAGTCTAGACTGCATTCAGATGTCAGTAATCAGATACGAATGAAATTCGGTAACAGTAACTCAATTCATCAGTGTCAGCAAACGAATAACCTATCTCACCTCTCTGGATCAAACTTTTCGGGATCTGGATAAATCTCTGGGTCGTGATGAACAGCATAACATGGAACCATGATCGGCATTCCTTGTGGAATTTTGACACCTTTGATAGTGCAGGTTTCGTTGCAGTCTCTCTGGAGTCTGAGGTGCAATCGTAAATTATACACAAGAAAAGTAATAGCTAACACATAACATCCTAATTTTGTATATTGTGCAGAATGCAATCAAAATATACTGTCTTTGTACTTTATGCCAATGATACTATGATTCCAAATGCTCTCTCCACACTCCTAGGGCCAAGCAAACGCCAAGAAATTTGCAAATCGAATCTCTACATTACTCGAGTATGTTGCTATGCTTAGCATATGCACAAATTAAAAGATATCAGGGAATCCTCGTACACTTACACAAATCCTGGGGGATACATTCTGAGTGCTTCATTAATGACCATCTCAAGGTATTCCATCCTATGAAGCAGATCGTATGACGGCGACGCCTGAAGAGATTAATGGGAGGTCATAAACATTTTAAGTTAGCTTATGAGAAAGGGAAATATTCGAAGTTTCCGATAATCTGAATTCGTTTATTTAATTGCACGCATCATTTATTTAATTTGTTAACTGCATAATTATCCAGGCTTTTTTAAATATCCAGTCCATGCTCACTGTTTATCATATCATATTCATATCATATTCTCTGTCGACAACATTATCACTACACAAGTTTGCCTTCTTTCATGATCAATTGAGAATAGTTGAAGTATGGTGACACATGACTAATTTATAGCCCTTTTATACCTCGTCCTCAGGCCACATACGGTCAATCTCATCTCTCAGTTTGTCTTGCACATGCGTATCAATAGCGAGGTGATAAAAAACAAACCCCAGGGTGGTACTGGAAGTTTCATATCCAGCGATAAGAAAAACGAGACTTTGGGCCTGAATATCTTCATTGTCAATTTTTTGTCCGCCGGTTTCTTCTTTTGCGTCCAGCATCATTTGGAGTAAGTCCCTTCGCTGTAAGAAATAATTCAAAATATATTATAACATGTCTTAAGGCTGTAAGGGAGGAGTGAAATCGACGCGTATCGAAATTCAATTGAAATAAGGTCATTTTTTTAGGGTCATCGTTTGAAGACTAAGATCGGTTATAAAATCAAACGTAAGGAACCGACAACTTTAATCAATAATCCTTGATTGATAAGGAGGGAATGAGGCGGCTCTGAGAAAACGAGTTTAGAAATGAACGAGTCCTCTTTGACCTGACCAATCAAGTGTTTTCCATCTGATCGACTGGAATATCTGTCGAAGGTTGTACAGAACGAAATACGGATACAGTTGAGATTTCACGATCAGCATGAACAGCGAGTTCAATACAGCTTCAGGTTTAAGATATGTACCGATTGTAGAATGTCTTGCATATCGTACTTACTTTGGCTTTCCTGTTACTATTTTCCGTTGTCCTCTCAGCTATGATATTAGCTGCTACGGACCCGATTGGGTCAAACTCAAAGGGATCATTAAGATAGTTTAGTAACCGGTCTCCAAACGGCAGTAGCACTGAAAAAGGAATGGTTTTGATAACCCCAAATAACTTAAACTTCAAAGATCTTGTGAGTGATCTACTCTATTACTACGGGGGGGGGGAGGGGGGGATAAGTTTCTAATAAATAATCTAAGTTTCTATAACCTCGCGGGGGCGAGGTTATAGTCTATTCTGTGGCCAATTATAGATCGCATTATACTCACTTTTGGGTTAATGTAACAATTTTTTTAACCCCGAATCTTCCCATTTCTTAATTTCTCTTTACCAGGATTATCTTGCCCCTACATTTTGAAAATGTGCGAACCCACGCTGGTCACACTACTGAAAATGTAAACCTATTTTATTCAATCCAGTTGTGAAAATGTGACGCCATCCAGCGGCACTTCTCTCTAACCTCTTTCTAGGAAGTACTCCTGAGGGTTGACGGGGAGAAAGCTTCGAGGTAGGAAATCGGGAATTTTCCAAATGATGAATAACATGAGGCAAGCATTGAACTGTGGGGTAAAATATACGAAACTAACATGTTAACCCAACGATAGGTTTAGGAGTCATGACTTTCTTTGCTCGTTCAGTGATTGGATCATTTTCAGTAGTTTGTGTTTCTGCTCTCACTCCAAATGCTGTTGACAAGATTACCTCCATGGTAAGACTCTGAAGCCACCTAGGAGACATGAAAAAAAACGCTAAATACATACTTAGGGGTGCATGAAAATGTAAACTGACACTCCTCTTGTCTTATCGCTAAAACAAAGGAAATAACAATTGCAATTTACTTGCATAAACTCACTTATGAAAATCTACTATCTCGCCTGTTTCTGAAATTTTGTCCACCTTATCAATAAACGTGTCCACGGATTCATTCATAAATGTCATCATCTGAAAAAAAAAAAAATGACGCAACTTCAACCTTCCAATAACCTGAAGTACTTCAGTCTTGTTGGGGATAAAGGTAAGAAGAGGTGATTTTATTTTGCCTGACTTTTAAGGGAGTTAACTAGACATTAATGGTAGTCATTTTGGGCACTTAGCCTCAGTTGGATTACACTCCAGGTAATAAGACTTAACTGGTTCATTTAATCGTCCTCTTATGCATCTCACTCTCTCGGCATACAGCTGCATATACGCTTAACAGGAAAACCTTTGTCAACCCAACCCAACTCCCACAAAAGTAAACGATTTAAAATTGTCTTCTCAAATGAGCTGCTATAGATATGAACCATGGTCACCTGCCCAGAGCAACCATCTTACTCAAAATATCTGGTAATACATCATAATATCCTGATGATACCCAAGTGATAACACCACTGCTGGAGTCAGGATAACTGAATATTTGCCCTGAACCACTCCTAGAGAGTATGCAATTATTTCAGTCAAATAAGACTTTAAGCACCTGCTTCATCTTAGAAGCACTGAAGGTTGGAGTCAGAGTAATACGGATATCTTTCCACTTCTGACCAGGTACTAAGGTCAACATCCTGTCATAAGGCTTTGGAAAATTTACGATGAGCTAAAATTGAAAGAAGACAAATTTAAGTCTTTCATAACGATACAAAGAGAAGAGATGATTAAGGAAAAGAAAAAACTATGTATCATTTTAACCTTTCGATCATGGAATTTTTGAAATTCTTTAACGAGGATCTCTTTGATCATTTCAGGATCAGCTACCATTAGAAAAGGCGTCCGGAACAAATACATTCTGAAAGAAAAAAACATTTACTCGTTATGTTGTTTACAGTAGAAGAATACTTTGCTTCTGTTCTAACAGTCAGCTGTGGCTCATATCTCATATTGAGTGAACTTAGTCTTACTGCTAACTAAATCTTAAAAGAAATTTCTTTTCTCAAAGTACTTCATTTGCCATCATCACACTTTTTTTTTCGTTACATTGTTGTACCTCATCTATGTTCCACTATACATCGATGATTATGTTTTAACATTTAACATTAACGTTGAATTGTTGCGCCTCATCTATGTTCCACTGTACATCAATGAGTATGTTTTAACGTAGTAAACGGTTACGATAATTTGAATTGCTACTTAGAGAGAAGTTTAATTAATATGAGGTTGTGCGAACAAAAAACTACTGGCCATACATATTATCTAGGTATCCAATGGAAATTGTTATCGACTGCAATACCAAAATTGATAACAAAATAAGTGTTCAGAAAATAAGCAAGTTGTACAAACCCAAACACCCTGCCATACTTTGCACACCACTCTACATGAAGTTTTGGAGCAAAATTTGGCTGCAAGAAGATAAACAAAATCGTTACTCGAGAAACTTAGAGAAGGCCGGGTCTTCATCTTTACACGATCAGAGGATTCCTTTCTTTATGCGAGCAGAATGCTATGGAAAGAATTACGAGTTCTAGAAGTCGCCATATGCAAAGCATCATTGAAATACACAAGAGAGAAATAGAAATGAAATAAAATCTGGTTTACATTAAGAAGCGTTTGTCTCGTATTTCCCAAAAGTGGAAGAGGTGTAGGCCCAGTGATTCCAAGTTTCGTGAACACAGTGTAGTACGAAACCCAATGCCTTGAAGAAATTAAAACGAGAAAACATCGATTACAGCTGTGGTTTTGATGTTGCCTCCAATCCATTAAAAACGTTTTGCTAAAAATTAAACCATGTTACATATCTTTTCACATAGGTTTGGGATGATGGGAGTGTGTTGGTACAGGACATATGGGAGGTTTTGCGGGAAACATTGCGTGACAATCAGATGTAATTGATACTAACTAAGTTCCATGAGGTTGAAACAATAGAGCGAAATTAAAAATAGACAATCAGAAAGACAAACTTCATTGGTGTTTTCAGAATCTAGGGTTTCATGAGATGTTTATTTCAGAGTTTCAGAGTCTCTAAAATTAGCTCAAAGAACTGATACTATCAAGGTTTTAATGGAATGGCAACCTGAATAATACTCCAACTATATAGACTCGATCTTCGCAGTTATGAAAACCACTGAACTAGCATTTGAAATAAGGCCTGAAAAAAAATTCAGGCTTGTACGGGATTTGAACCCATGAACTTTGCGTTACCGGTGCAGCGCTCTACCAACTGAGCTAACAAGCCAACTGGGAACCGGTCATTACTAGTTCAGTAGTGTTCCGGCATAACTGCGATGATCGATTCTATATTCGTTTCTTCAACCGCAGTACACACATATGATTTTCATATGTTTATAGCCATTATTCACCACTTTGAAGGTTTATTTGAATCCAATTTAATCCCAGTTGGCTTGTTAGCTCAGTTGGTAGAACGTTGCACCGATATCGCAGAGGTCATGGGTTCAAATCCCGTACGCGCCTGAATTTTTTTCAGGCCTTATTTCAACTACTAGTTCCGTAGTGTTCATAACTGCGAAGATCGATTCTATATTCGTTTCTTCAACCGCAGTGCACACACATGATTTTCATATGTTTACAGCCATTGTACTCCACCTATCAGTTTATCCACGAATTTCCAATCATGTTATAATAAAAACCCCACTGTCGTCTCTTAGGTTCATTAGTCGACCATTTGCGCTCATACCTATGTTTCACATACTTACCAATAATATAATATGATCGAGAATCCGACCAAAAGAGTAATCCAATGATCGCTGGCAAATTGAAACGCTGCTTGCAGAACATCCGCCATCTTTGTACTTCCTGTGAATCTGTAAAATTTTGCGTTATTCGATCATTTTTTTCGGTTGTAGAGGCTAAATTTGGCCTCTGCTTTTTTGTGCTATCCGTCTTTGCAATTTGTGTCACAAGAACGGTACCTTCGCGTGCAAGGAACAACAGGTTACTGGAAAGGCAATACAACACATAAATAGCACACATATTTGGATCTCAACTTTCGTGCTTAAATACAAAGAATGTTCTTACCAACAAAATTCTACGTCCACAAGCGAATAATTTCGTCTCTAAAACCAAAGGTCTCCCTGATCTGTAAACGTCAGCGCCGGTAGATTTCAACCCGCGATCTAACGCAAATTAGTCAGAAGATTACAAATTTTGACTTAATTAGCAACAGTTCAGGGTCAGGGTGTCACGACAGCAATACGTTATTGTTTTCTTTTTAGACTCACTATGAGGTAATTACTTCAGTCTTAAAAGTAAACACGAGATGCATCACGTTTTGAAACGGGTCCACATTGCGATTTTAGATTTGATATTTGTGTTATTTAAAAAAAACTGATCAACAAAATACAAGTCACGCAAAGCATAAATCAACAAATACGGAACATATCATTAATGCCTTGTAGATAACAGAGGGTTTTCTTCAGGCTAAGGATGTTTTTTAATTCAGTCCAGTGGCCATTTCTCCCTAAGAGTTTCAAGAGAATAGAGAGAATAATCCCCGTTGTCAAGATATCTGTGGATTTAGAACGCGTTTTCACTTAAAAAGACCGCCTGTAGCAAACTTCGGCAGTTGAGTACACGAAATAGGTTACTGATATAATCTGGTACGATTTCTTTCGTGTCCAGCATCAAAGATACCGTGTCGGTCGATACATTTTCTTGCCAACGATAAACGATCTCAGCTATACTTAATATTTCTAGATCGCTTTTTTTTCCTATGGCTGGAAATGTCTGGTCATCGGTCAATGTTTGGTGCTTCATCACTCAACTTGATTCATCAGATGACGGGCCAGGAGACCCATCCTGCCAGAGCTTATATCAGCTTTAATAGCATGAACCCGTCAGGATTTTTGTTTCCCGCTTTTTACCATATTCTGCTACTCCATAACATTATATTCCCCAGCTTTTTGTTATTTCGTCCTAACAGTTCGTGGGCGACCACAGTTACAGTCACTGTGGAATCCCAGGGTTCGAATGCAGACTTTTCGCCTCAGAATCTAACGCTCTGAGCATTTGGCCAACTCTTGTCCATGCACTGATCACTCAAACCGAGATAAAAATTAAATGATCGCGCTAAAAAGCATCGAACAGAGACATATTCTTCGTTACTTTGATAGGTAGTTTATTGATGTCAAAATGAGATCTAAATTTACAGTTAGATTAAGAGATCACCATACGTTATCATTCTATCACTAATAAAAACCTATCTTCACGGTACATGTTGCCTGTCTGTGTTTTACTAAATATCTTTACATACAAAGAAAAATGCTCTAGCCCTGAATTACGATAACTGGGCATTATAAAATTCAAGAGGTTACGCTATGTGGGCTATTCAAGAAAAAAACAGCAATGAACCCGTAAGCACTTAAAAAATCCTGACCTCCTGAACTTGATAGAAAATCTTGATAGAGGATTTTCACAACATAAGTAGAAACAGCTCGAGTCAATGGCTAGAGCATAATCAGCAACAATACTATTTCGTGAGAATTTTTTAATCTTGGAAGAACTACAAAGATCCCTATTTCCTTCATCATCGCTATATTCTACTTGCCAGCATATTTAGTTCAGTATATATGCAAATACGTAACATGCAAAGGTTTACGATAGTGAAATTGGATGTTAGATATCTATCCAAACACATATATTTGTGTACTTGAAAGGTAATGTAATATCCTCTTGTATTAGTCTCTTGGTGAAACTTTAAGCATGATCTTTCCTGAAGGGCAGGTAAGAACTGATCCAACAACATAGCCCAGCGGAACCTGATAATATATTACAAAAAAATAAGTTATCTTTTCAATTTTTAATTGTATAAAAATGCTTGTTATAAGGCTTTTGCGAAGATAAAAAAAGGCTCAATAACCAGTTTTACTAATTTATCTACTGGCCAACATACTTGTAGACAGAAGTCGAGGACGCTAAAATCGACCTGAAAAGTTACAGCGCCAATCACTCGTACCTCTACATCGCTCCTTCTTTTTCCTTTAAACAAGGTGTCTTGCCTTAAAATGGCCCATAAATTATGATAATCATATTGATACTATATGTGTAGCTTTGCAGCGCAGTCGGTAATAGAGCCTTACAGGTACCTGGGAGGCAATGGCAAGCTTGAATTTTTATCTCTAGGTTAAAATTTCTGCAATTTTTTCTGTGGTTTCCTAAGAGGATCAATTTATTCCCTATGGGGAAACTAGCCCAAAAGATCTTGTTTGAAGTCAGTTAGGAAGGCAAAGAGCAAGCATCATGGGCATTAACTTAGCATCAGCCAATGCCAAATAACAAAACTCACCGCTGTTTTCTCGGTACGTTCCAGCTTGAACTTCTTCAGCAACCTTACCAGAGTCAGCTTAATTTCCAGCAAAGCAAATCGCATACCGACACAGTTGTGTGGACCGTGGCCAAACGGCAAATATGTGTAGGGATGACGCTTTGCTTTCTCTGCGTCCGTGAATCTACCAAAATCAACGCACAAAAAATATCATAAATCAGAAGATGAAACAAATAACTACATGATACGTTGGGTGTGATAATTTAACCTAGCAAAGAGCGTTCACTGGGCAGTTCAATGCAAGTTCACACAGCACGCAGTTTACACAGCGATTTTCCGCACATTTCAATGATCTGAGAAGAGTTATCGCTATAGAAGAATTACAGGAAACCTGACGAGATTGGAATACTGTATTCAATTCTCTGCATATGACAGAAATGAAAGCAGTAAAAACGTAGCCTTAAATGAAGAGGGAGAAAAATAGGAATGCCTTTCACGGCTCACCTCTCTGGATCAAACTTTTCGGGATCCGGATAAATCTCTGGATCATGATGAATGGCATAAATCGGAGCCAAGATTGGCATTCCGTTTGGAATTGTAACTCCTTTGATAGTGCAAGTCTCGTTGCAGTCCCTCTGGATTCTAAGATGAAAACAAAGAAATACTGAAAATATTCCAATGTACAACATAATAATCATCGACTTAGACAGTAACCGTTTGCAAAACAGGCTTAGCTCAGTAAATTACCGATTTTGGGAGAGGGGCTGGCATAATGACCTAAAATTGTTCTCTGTAATTCACAGAGGCAGTCTTCCCACCGTCTCATCTCAACGTTTCCTCAACTTTAAGATACTTTAAAATGAGGCTCCCTTAATTTGCCTCGAAAGTTTGGGGTGCGAAATGATTGAACCGTTTGCAAATGAGGGTACATTTTACATAGAACAAGAAGGTATTCACCGGAGTTTCCCGTTAAACTGAAAGCTTTTTTGAAAACAAAGCAATGTCCATTTTAGGTAGAGTATACACTGCACATTTTGATCCTTTCGTTATGTTCCAGGAGAAAGAAGAGAAACACAAGTTATAGCTAGGTCTTAAAGGCTAACGTACGCAAATCCTGGCGGATACATTCTGAGTGCTTCGTTGATAACCATGTCGAGGTATTCCATCTTATGAATGACATCATACGACGGCGACGCCTGTAGATTTAATGATTAAAACAATTGAAGCAACGCCTGAATTAGAACTCGTTTGTTCAACTGTTGAGTGTGTTTATTTCACACGATTTCCCATTTGGTAATGAAGATCATTTAAAAGTGCTGTTTGTTGTTTATTTTACAATTGTTCTTGTTGTTCTAGTGTTCATTCAGTCACTTGGATGTTTATTTACGGAAATTACTCTCGTATTCGTACCATATTACGTACATCTGAAGCGTTTTGAGGTGAATGGATAATTGTTGAAGTTGTTCTACAACAGCTTTTGACTTCTCTCATCAAATGATATTAAAACGGGGCAACCTCTACTCTGGAAATCAGCAAATTAAGCCCCCTCATACCTCGTCTCCAGGCCACATATGGTCAATCTCGTCTCTCAGTTTGTCTTGCATGTGCGTATCAAGGGCGAGGTGATAACAAACAAACCCCAGGGTGGTACTAGAAGTTTCATATCCAGCGAGAAGGAATACGACACTTTGGGCTTGAATGTCTTCATTGTCAATTTTTTCTCCTCCTGTTTCTTCTTTTGCATCCAGCATCATTTGGAGCATGTCTTTTCGCTTTAAAGAATCATATTTATATATTGAAATTAGTTAAAATAGGAATTGCCCGGTCATGGCGGTTTTTTTTTCAAGAGTAATCCTATTATTGTACTGAGTCTATAAAGAATATAAACCAACTTACTTGATCCTTACGATTTCCATTTTCTTTAGTCCGTTCAGCAATAATGTCGGCTGCTACAGACCCAATCTTGTCAAAATCAAGAGGGTCTGGAAGATACTTGAATAAACGGTCTCCAAACGGTAATAACACTACAAAATGACAATGATAACCAATCAGGAAATGTGTTACTATAGCTGTCCATATAATAACGTTGTGGATAAATTCACCATAAAATAATTGTAGTGACAAAGACAGTTATGAGAGAAAATGCCTTACACACTAATGCAACAAGAGGGTGTGGAGCCATGGCCTTCTTTGCTAGTTCAGTGATTGGATCATTTTCAACAGTTTGCGTTTCTGCTTTGACTCCAAATGCTGTTGACAAAATGACCTCCATGGTAAGACTCTGAAGCCACCTACAGAGCAAAAAGTGGAAGTCAGTAAGTGGCATTTGAAATATATAAAAAGTCTCACTTTGGGAAGAGTAAGGAAACAAAAAGCAGCAAAACCTTTGGAGGGGAAATTTCAATTGGAAGTATGAAAATGGGAACTATATATATCTTTTAATTGTTATGATATAACTCTACCTGTGGAAATCTACAATCTCTCCAGTCTTGGAAGCATTCTCCGCTTTCAACAAAAATGTATCCAAAGCTTGATTCATAAAAGTCATCATCTGAAACATTTATTTCATGGACGAGATGTCATTTAGATAACACAGGTAATTATCTAATTTAGTCATAGCCACTGTGTAGCACATACTGTATGGATAGCAATTGATAAGAATTGAAGTGTCTCTATTGGACTGAAGGTAGTGATTTTTCATGCTGCTTTTATATTCTGGATTTTTTGAAACATTTCCCTACACCATTAGTTTGATAACTATGGAAAAAAAATTGACAGTTTAATTGTATATAGCATGTCACTCGTTTAATTTAGCACCTACATGACAACAGATGAACATACCAGTTTCATTTTAGATGCACTGAACGTTGGTGTCAGAGTGTTGCGAATATCCTTCCACTTCTGACCTTGTGCTATGGTTAACATTTTGTTATAAGGCTTTGGAATCTCTACAATGGGCTAAGAGAATAATTTTTACAGGTTTTAATATGTTATTCAAATGATGTACAAATTACACAAAAGCCTTGATGCTCAAAGCATTTTGATGGTGTGGTAGAGTTACTTTTTCAGCCTCAGGTAAATACTGAACATTTCATTGAACAAATAACAAGGGGGCCATAATTTGATAAGACTTTCCACAATCCATGTCAAACTGAAGAAGAAAGTATTCAGAAGAGTTTGTGTAAGAAGAAGTCATGGATTATTAAACAGCAATTAATGCAATTAAGACCATAAAAATTAAGTAACAGGGGCTCTAACTTACCTTTCTGTCATGAAATTTAGAGAAATCTTTAACAAGAATTTCTTTAAGCATGTCTGGATCAGCAACCATTAGCATATGCTGACGGAAAAAATATATCCTAAAAGAAAAACAAATTATTCTTGCATAATTTTTTTAAGTGTAGTAAATAGACTGATAATTGTCAATTATTTATTAAAAGTTTCAAGTGAGTTTATCAAACTCAGCTTTGTGACACAGAGCCAGAGGAGCATGGAGTGCTATACCATCTTATATTGCACTTTCTCTCTCTCTCAGCTGCATGATGATTATTTATACAATCATTGAGTATGAATAAGAAATCACATACCCAAACACCTTGCCGTACTTCTTGTACCATTCCACATGAAGTTTTGGAAGAATGTTTGGCTAAAATCAAACATAAAAACATTGACAGTTCTGTACAAGTAATTTTTAAGTTGATTGTTTCAACATTTAAACTAGTGCAAACTTTTGAACTATTCCAATCTCTGATATATATATATATATATTTTTTTTTTTTTCAGGTAAAAAGTTAACATTGGCACTAACATTTCTGTTCTATCATAAATCTTATACCAGAAAATTAAGTGCTAACTTACATCAAAAAGGTTCCTGATTGAGTTTCCAAAGAAAGGAAGTGGTCTTGGTCCCTTGATTCCAAGTTTCATGAACACAGTGAATGGGGCAACACAGTACCTTGTGTAGGAACAAAACAGTTTGGTATATGATATATCTAAACATCCCCATGTAAACAGCTGAATAAGTTACTTGAATTCTTTCTTTGTGTTTAGCTTCAGTATCTCCCCTATAGTGCACCTTAAATCTTCTCCTACAGGGCTTAGACTTAACGTGACTGCAAACTGTTACTTGTTCTTTCTTCCAAGATCTCCAAAAGAAAAGAACACTACCGTCTGTTCAAAAACTTTATCTACGGCACTGATCGCATGTGAGAGCGATTTGTGTAATTTGTGGTCTTTTGATCTCCGCTTATACTTTCGATTATACACTTGTACAATTACCGAGCACAAGTACACAGCCAAGTACAATATTTGGCTAGTCAATTGAACAGTTACATTCGATTGTTCAGTACGCACGGTTGAGTATTCAATGTCGCAGTGTTAGAAAATCCTGGCACGTATTGCTGAACCAACTACACTTTGCATTTCTGGCCCATTTTACTGTCAATACTTACCAGTAAAACAATACAACCAGGAACCCAACTAAGAGTGCCACCCAGTGATCCTTCTCGAACTGAATTATTGTTTGCAAAAAATCCGCCATCTTTGCTGTGGTTTGCTTGAACTTGCAATAAATACAGCTGAATCAGTATTTTCTCGAGGTCGAGTCGCTGTCTAAAGTAAAATTTGGAAATTTCCCTTCTCTATTCACGTTTTCTAGATCTTCTCTATCAAAAGAAAAAAAAATTAGCTGCGCGATCATAACCGACTGCCCTCCAGCGAGACCGATGCCCCAAAGGGGTGATGTAACGAACTCTAAGCATCGAGCAACAAGAAATGGCAAGGAAGAGGTTTCCTCAATTCTGATTCGAGGTATTTAGCAAAAGTTCAAAACTTACCAGTGCTACTTCGTGTGAAGTGCAGTAATTTGTAGCGAAAGATTATGCAGCTGCTGTAAGCTCGTCATGCACAGGTCTGTTGTTTATATAGCTGAGGTTGCATGCATAATTTGATTTGTGTTGGAAATGTAATATCTAAATTTAGTTGCATATGTAATGTTGAAGTGCATAACTATTTGTCACGTCTCATGGCGAATTAATAAATTTTCATATTCTGTAAGAAGTGAGTAATCCTTTCCTCATAAATCGACTAAATTTCAAAAAAGAGGATATATTTCAGCGAAAAGAGAGTGATTTTCTGTCGTTAACACTTTCGTTCTCGAGCGCGCATTTCAGCGCTAAAGATTTCGTTAAAGTAGGTTTTGTTATTACCGGAACTGCGTCACTAGTCATTATCACGCAATCTTTTACCATAACTGGCAAAATAAAATATGTTTATATTTTTAGATATTTTGTAAGCTAAGCCGAACTTAACCTATCCAGCAGGTGCTGTAACATCGGTTAATAAAGAGCGCTGGTCGATATCTTAATTTCCACAGATTTAAAATCGAAACTATACAGGCCAAAATACGAAATCGAGGATTCTTTTTGTCGCAGGGTAGCTTTTAGTTATTTCGTAATACACCTTTATTTAGTACACCTTAATATATCTTTATAGCTAAATGCAATCACACTGGAAATCTCCTTTGTTTTAATATTTTCACAAATACTTCAATTTGATATTTAATGTCTGCTTCGCAGGGAACTGAAATATTGATTCTTGTAGCCGACTGAGTGTCAATTAAGCGTAAAACCTCCTAATGAATAGTCATAATATTGCTGAGCTCAGCAATACCAAAATTTCAGCCCTGAATTTGAAACCATCAATAAGACTTATTTAGAGACAAGCTGATCTTGTAGTACTTAAATGATGACGGCATCAAATCTTTAAGGCAAAGTGATCCACTGAACAAAGGGCGATAACTTTATTCAGAGTACAGTCGTGTTATCAGGTAAAGCGATAACTCTCCAGCCGTTGAGCAGCAAATCACACCGGATAAATTTGTAGATACACTTCATTTCCTTCTCAGTTTCACGTTTAGGAAGCGAGGACATTGCAAGAGGGGGGGGGGGGGGGTCTCGTAATACTCTCACGTATTTAAATGCCCTCATATCGAGTTAAGTTTGGGTATGATCAAACTGTTGTGAATATACCGTAGATTGTTTATCGCGAGGGTGTGCCACCAAACACATCAGTTCCGCTAACTTAAGGCTACCGCTTGCGCAGTTCAGTAGCCGAAGAAATGACCCCCATATTGACCTTGCCACGTGGACGTTTCCAAGTTGTCGGTTTTACTTTGTCACTAAATGATTTCAAATAGAGGTTTGGTGAGTTCTTCCTGAGCAAGCTTATTTGAGAACGTATGAGACAAGAAGGTCAAGATCGAAGGTCATGCATCTGAGCAAGAAACTGTTCTCTTTCCATATGCGCGGGGAACAATTCTGTTCAATTTTATGTTGAAAGTAAAATGACTGTAAAAAAAATTTTCTCAAAAAACATGAGTTAGCAAAATTTGACATGCAAAGCGTCTTCGAGGGCACCGTTCCCTTTTCTTGCTAGAGCAGCGGAGAGCCTCAAAGTTGAAGTCACAAACTTTGCATGGAGCAGCAAGTTTATTGCATCAAAGAAATGTTTATAATTAACAAAGAACCTGTTTATCAAAGAGAGAGAGAGAGAGAGAGAGAGAGAGAGAGAGAGAGAGAGAGAGAGAGAGAGAGAGAGAGAGAGAGAGAGAGAGAGAGAGAGAGAGAGAGAGAGAGTATACGAGTAAGCACGTACACAAGTCAATAACATTGGCTCCGTGGCCAATAGCTTGCTTAATCTTGATTAATCAAATCAATCTGCTCAAAGCACACTAATGTTAAGGGACCATCTATGCACCTGTTTTACTTTTAAGTTCTGGGTAAGACTTTCAGCATAATTTGTCCTTGTGGGCAGGTAAGGAGAGTACCAACAACAAAGCCTAATGGAACCTAGAAAGTAAAAAAATAATAATTAAGTTAGCCTCACCAAAGATACAAATGGATTAATGATCACTGCAGTCTGACCACTGACCACCGCCGGCCTCTCAGGCGAGAGCTGAGCGAATCTAGCAAGTCATGTGAACGAAAGGAAGACATGAACAGCTAGAACATATATACCTGAAGGTTCTTCAGGTAACTAAGTGACCGCCGTTGCAAAATTGCTTAGAGGCTACAATTGTTCTTAAACATGTTATGATGTCTTCAAATTAGTCTATGACCCGGGAGCGACACGATTTGTGATTACAGCGCGATCTGTTAGGGAGGGAGGAGGGGTATGGATTGCTGTACCATCCAACCATTGACATGCTGCGTAACTCGCCGCTGTTTCCTTGGTGCGTTCCAGCTTGTACTTCCTCGGTAATCTCACCAGGGTCACCATAATTTCCAGCAAACTAAATCGCATACCGACACAGTTCTGTGGAGAGTGACGAAATGGCATATATGTGTAGGGTGCTTCATGTGTAGGGTGCTTCAGTGAACCTGCCAAAATCATGCGTGGAACATTGACAAAATGAATACTTAGCTTGAGGGGACCAAGTTGTCTTTTGACAGACTCGAACTCACGACTACTTCATAGATGGTTCCTTAAACCTTTACGCTCAGACATCAGTATGCAAATTCTCTACGCCATTCTCTATACATTTCCTGAGATGCTGAGAAGGAGAATTTGTTAACTAATCAAAAGCTTCTTTAGTTGATCATCATTTCCTTTATTCTGGTGACCTACATGTGTGATACGGGGCTGATATTGTAACGAGAAATAAGATGTTAGTCACTCTCTCGTCTCTCAGTTTTTCTCTGCATATGTGTCTCAATGGCGAGGTGATGACAAACAAACCCCAGGGTTGTATTGGAAGTTTCATATTCAGCGAGAAGGAACATGACACTTTGGGCCTGGATATCTTCTTTGTCAATTTTTCCCTTCTGTTTCATCTTTTGCATCCGGCATCAGTTGGAAGAGGTCTCTGCGCTGTAGAAGATAAAATAGCCCTTCCGTCTCTCAAAGTTTTGAGATTTAAAAAAAATGAAGAACAGTTAAAAGCACTGCCTAATGCAATTTTAGTTTTATGGTTCACGTTTATATAATTACTGAAGAATCCTAGACACTTAAGAACCACTCTGATCTAATCTCATAACTTCATCGGCGACAAAAAACATGCTCACCGCGACAAAATGACTTCCATGGTAAGACTCTGCAGCCATCTATGAGGTGATATGATAGGAACATGAGAATTTACTCGAAACCTTTCGCTTTTACAAATGGTGGAAATAAGAGGGTCAACAGATGATTTGTGAAATTTGAGCTGAGAATGAACTTGCAAAAAGGAGTAAAAGAAAGAAGAAAAAAATGAAGTTGGTATTTTAGGTGAGAACGAGGTTTGGTCTCCAAGAGAGGCTGTTTTCCAAAGGAGGCGTCACCACTGCTGTTTTGATAAAATCACTGGCAATGCGTCAGAGCTATGTATCCCATTTTAGCAACTGAGAATTACTTCGTGCGTTCATTATAGAAAGGACGTAATATGATGAAATTCTTTCCTTTGAATGAATCCCATATCGTTGAGGTCGGCAACTTATAAAAGCATCACCCTTATCAACCACTTAATTTACGGAGCAACTCGACGTAAAAGACCTTGAAGAGATCTTAAGAGGGTTTTATTAGGGTGATGGTTTTTTACGGCTATCTGTTGATTTCTATACGTTACAGTTAACAAAACTGCTGAAGATAAAATTTAAACATCTTGAAGAGTTAACGATTAATTTTCATAGTTTGAAAGTCGTTAGAGTCATGTATCAAGGGTAGATTTACGTGGGATAATTTTCCGTTTTCCTGCATCAGCCACACGACAAGACATGTAACAGTCTAAGATTGTGAAACTTTCAAAAGAACGCGTCGTCGATAGGAAACGTTTTTTCAGTTAGCTTGTTTAAGACAATTTTCATGCATACCGGCTAAATTATTTTTTACCTTTTGCGGCTAACAGTTAACCCCATTGAGAACTTCCTGTAATACCTGTGTCTGCTACGAAGTAATTCTTTCCTGAAAAAAAAAATCTGAGTTCAGTATGATACATATTTTTCGTCAGATTTTGCTCGAAACTATCCACGTGCTCCACTGAAAACATCCCCATAATTCTCCTCAATCTTTTCCACATCCTCCCTTAACGTCTGCGTTTAGGATCATTTAGTATAGGTCTTGACGTTGTAAGGAAGAGCTACCTTATTCGATGAGATTTATAACATGTCTTTCGCAATCGCCTTATAACGCACATTGAGAAGCTTTAATGACACTAAATACATATGCAAATATGGACAGGCATTTCATATAAACTTTAAGATTATTTTAAAAAATGATCCTTGCTGCGGCGTTCTTTCCGTGTCTAATCAGAATAACTAACTATAGACAGAGAAGAAAAGAAACATTTTGCTGGGTAGGTTGTGGCCATCGCGTAGATGTAACGAGGACATCAATGCTGCTTTGGAATTGTGGGATTTTTATCTATACTTTGAAAACACCGCCGACCAATGACCCTGGAGCGGGCATGAGTGATAAAATAACAGTAGCACTGGAAAAAGACCGCTTTTGACCTTGACGCTTGGTGCGGTCTTTGCAGTAGAGCTACATTTTCAAAATTAGATCCTTCCCAACGAAAAGAACAACGAACGGCTAAAAAAGCAGGTACGCTAATACTGGTTAAAAAAAAGAAGGAGTATGCATTTTAGATTTCGATCGACGATACAAAGGAAAAAAAGGCCAGTAATAGAAACTTTAAACTACTCATACTGAGTGATTTAATTTTCAGTCCGGTACAGATTGAAACAGCGTGAATGAGACTGACAAAGATTTAATTGTGTTTTACCAGTAGATATGGAATAACAATCATAGTTACCTTCAAGGAGGAGTAACTTTATTACAATCTACACGGCCAGGTTCTTGAAATTTGTGAACGAAAATTTTGAAATAAGATATCCAAGTTTACTTACGAATATAAATCCAACAGAAAAGATCGCCGACATATAACATGGCAATGGAGCCGTACCCTAGGCGGGAAAAAATTTTATCATGCATCATTTTAAATGACGACGTTAGTCAAAAATTATATTTACAATGACAAGACTCTGTAAAATTTGCATCCAAATTGTTTCTTTATTCGCCTTAAACACCTTTTTTGAAGAGGAGGTGACTTTTAGAATACAATGGATGTACCTGATTACAAAAGCATCCGTTAAACAAAGAAACAGGTATGGTTGTGTATGTTTCTCATTCATGGTGCTTTTCAACGACAAAATGAAACCATTAACGTACCCTTTAAAGTATACAGAATTTAATATCTTAACTACTTTAGATAACGAAAAAGTATCTCACGATCAAGAGAATTTTCAAGAACAAAATATTACGATGAAATGGATAACACTTCCTTATTCCTTCCCTAAAGATGACTAGAATCAACACAACGATCTGCGTCCTAAAAAATCAGTGTTGTATCATTCAAAGCTGAAAAAATATTTATGATGGCAAGGAATGATAAGCAAGCAAAAATTTCCCGTTTGAATAAAAACGAATTTCGGTGCGATCTGGATTAGCCCATGTTGGTTGTGCTAATACCCACTGATCTTCAGGGCAGTAGGATGAATAATGAAGTTCGCGTCATTTCATTTTGCAGATTATCAAGAACGCAGGCGGTAATTATAGTGTGAATAATCGATTAGGGAATACACTAGCTTCGATATTTTTTCAAATTCTCAGTCCTCACCATCGAAAAAATGTTTGGTTATCTGTTGGAGGAATTATTTTTGGGGTATGTTGAGCCAGTAAAAATGTTATGAAGGGAAAGTGTAAGAAAGGTCGCAAAGGATCCTTGCTGTCAAAACTGCCTTGTTTGTGTTCAGTGTAAGTTAAGAAAACAAATTTCACAACCATTTCCGTCCGACGTATTTCAAAATTCTTACAAAATATTACCAAGATAATTGCGCTTACGGTTCATCTTCAGAGCACGATTATCAAACTCTCTCAAAGACTGCCGAGGTATTTTCCTCTTTCATCTTGCTCATTCAATACATAGGCTGAACAGAGCCCACAAAGCTCTCAGATGATGAAAAGAGTGCCGGAAATTAGAGTTATGAAGTGAAAATGCCAGCACAATCTCTTGCACAATCTAAATTGATGCTTCTTAGCACAGCTTTATTATTTTCAAGAACAGAATTGCAAGCTAGTACCATACGTGCGCAGGATCAACCCAATCATCACCCCACCATTGAGTTGATTAATATCTTATGCAGGTATGGCCTCGTGTGACTCCATGGTGAAGCTTTCACTGAGGAAGGAGATAGCACAGTTGCGACAGGAAAAGGATATCAAACGATCAAGGATGTCCGAGGTGTGTGCTGATCTGGTGTACCACTGCAAGCGACATGCCAACGAAGACTTTCTGCTGTCGTGCGCAAAAGGCTCTCCTCATAAACCAGCTGGAAACGACCCTTATAAAGAACATTCATCTTGTTCAGTTATGTAACTCGCAGAGATGTAAATGCGTCAGTAGAGCCGAGCCTGGGACACAGACATGGTATTATTTTGAACAAAGATAGTTGATCAATAAAGTATTAATATGTAACCACCTTCAAACATTTGTCTTTCTAAATGAAAAAAACATAGTTTGAAGATTTTTCCAAAACCAACCAGTAATATGTCATTTTCTATTGATGAACAGCGCCGTCTTTCAGAGGCAGAAAAACAGACCCCTTTCTGTTTCGCTCTCCGGTAATCACGATATTTATTTTTTTTGGCATAACCAAGATCGTTTCTCTGCCCTCACAGTACTGTTGCAGTCTGGGCAGGTTACATTGAAAAGATAAGGGCATCATCAACTCTTTAAGATCCTGTAGAGACTTCGTCGGTCCTCTATGTGACATGCAGCTTTGGAAGTCTCTTCCCTTGAATGCTCCCTCGTGAATTGCATCTACTCTCTTGAAATTTGATGCTTGAAACGACTAAATACTACTTACCTGTTCGGTAAAACCTCTTTCCGGGAATTTGGCGGAATATATCATTTCAGTGCTGTCAGACACTAAATCCTTTCATATCATCCAATGTCTAATGCGACAGAAATGGATACTGTCTAACTAAGGCATGCATTCTATTTATTTGCGCTTTGGTCCAGACCACGAAATTTCTTGTTTTGGAGGATTGGAGATACTCGGTTGAACATTTAACTTCAAGGAAGTCATGTGAGATCTTGGACATAGTTTTCCAGGTTTTGCACGCCGGAGTTTGAGTTGGGGTTTTCAGGTTGTTTGCTCTTCCAACGATTAATTTGGCACGCGCTAAAGAGAACATTTACAAACATCCCTAAAAATTCGTAGGTTTGATAACCCACCATCATTTATAGTATCATGACCTCTCACCGGATGGACGGCATAAATTTCAAAGATTTATGTACTAGCTACAATTTTAATTTACCAAGACAGCTGGTGGTGATGGCTTTTACAGCTAACAGTTAAAATTTTTGCCATTTTACGGCTAACAGTTAGATCATTGTCACCATAATTTTTTTACGGTTAACTTTTATTGCGACTATCGGTTAAAATTTGTCACTTTTTACTGACCTTGCTTTGGACCCACACGACAGTTTTTGTTTTGGCTCACACAGCCAGTGGTTGATTCAGTTTATCGGAAGCATTATGATTAAGTGCTTTGTTGTTCATTTCGAAAGTCGCGTGAAATTGTTTGGTTTAATGCTCTAACAACAAATGTTTGATCCCCTAAGGTCAGCCAGTTGCCATGCCTTCCCATATCTGTCATAAGTAAATATATAGGCATGTTCTTTAGAGCTTACTTAATGAAGAGAGAGTAGGGAAGAATGTCGACAGAAGTATAGAGACAGAATTCCGTTGTTGACTTAGCAGCACAAGTCAGTGAGAAGTATCCAGTGAGAATCAAAGTGTTACTGGAGCCTAAGAGATTAACTAGAGTTACACGGATGAAGTAAACTTGGATGTGAGTAAAATTGTATATTGGAGAACCGGTTAATTAAAGAAAAACAAGAAAGAGACAGTTTGAGAGTCTTGGTGACTTTCGCCGAGCATGGTGTACTCGAAAGCTAGTTTCCCCGTGACATTTAATAGTGTAACGCTAATACGTGATAAAGTTGTACATAAAATATATCTAATAGCAGCATACCAAGAGATCCTCAGGGTCCCCTTATGATTTATTGTAGTACACGTATTCAAATCGACACAGATAATGCCGAGTCAAGCAATAATAAAAGGTGCGATGAAACAAACAGCGATAAGAAAACAATGTTACGAGTGTAAAATACACCAAAAAAATTAACTTCACATATTTTCAATGTATCAGTTACTGCCATCATATAAACTAAGGCAGCAGCAACACTGGTATATGATACAATCGTGCTCAAAACATAGCATAATATTTAAGTATACGTTAAACAAATGTGTTCCATTTTGCCATAAGTCTGTTCAGTAGTGAAACATCAAAGATGATGTCAAAATACAAAAGTGGCACACAAGGCGCTTATGCGAAGGGGGCGCTTACTTGGCGTTTTGGCCTTGGAGGTAAGCGCTTATGAGGGGAAGGGCGCTTATTTGAGTAAAGACGCTTATTCGAGAAAATACGTTTATAAGAAACGTATGTGTTGTTAAAGGTGACGTCATTTATATATCCTCCCAAAGATTACAAATACGAACCAATCAATCATGCATGAGTAATTTAGCCAATCAAAACACGTGAGTAATTTAGCCAATCAAAATGTGAAAGTAATTTAGCTCATTATCTGAGCACATATGCATTAACAAAGGTAATTAAAGACACTCTATTTTAGACACCCCCCAGAAAACCAAACCGCAACAGCTCTAAGTTGAAATTACAAACGATAAGCTGTTGCTACTAAATAATTTTAGTATAATTGCTCAAGTGATTATAGAAATTCTCGCTCAAGGATTGTGTCACATCTCGCTATGATCACCTTGTGCGAAGTGATTATAGCAAGGCAGGGGCGCTAAATTTCTAATTGGCTGCCTCGCGTTATGTCAAAAGCTACCAGGGAGGTGATTAACGCGAATATTTAGCAATAACAGGAGTACTTTACAGTTACTCACTGAAGACGATGTGAATATTGTTGAATAATCCTCGAGACGAAGTCTACTCGTCTAAGCCTTAAGTAGAAAATTTTCCTCCAAAAAAAAAAAAAAAAAAAAAAAAACGAAAGAAAGAAACTAGAAAAACTTGGAGGCCAAAAAAGAGAACTAAAAGTTTACTGATCGAATCTTCATTTCAGTTCTCTTTAGTGAGTAGTCATTTCCTTTCCAGTGGTGCCAGGCAACGCCGTTGTTGCAAGAGCCTGGTTTTTTGTAGTATCCTTTGTAATAATGACCATTTAGATTACTGGTCCAACAACTTCTGTACCACCAGCCTCCTGTACAAACCTTACCGCAGTTAATTCCTTTCCCATGTGAGTCATTGTCTCGGTCTTTTGTTGTGAATGGATAACCATCGTGATAAGAAAACGAGTCTCCCGCAGTTCCTGATCAAATCAAAATCCATATCATCGAAAGATCGCGATTATGCTGTTAGCACTTCCTAAGGAAGTTTGTCAAACAGTCCTTCTATTTAAAGGAATTCAAGAGGATGCGCCAGGGCGCTGGTCTTATAGGGATCTTGGGTCCAAGCCCTGCACCCAGCTACTCTCTGGATTTGCTCTCGATTGCCCCCAGTTCAAATCCTTGACAGCGCTTTGTATAGATCCAGTTAGTCTGCCTGCTTTCAATTAGGGTTTTTAAATGCTATATTTATGGTTATGTATCATGTTCATTTTACCTTAAAGAGGGCCACAATTTCATTAGTTTGTAACTATGAAGTGTTACACTCCGTAAATAAATACCCCCTCTCAAGGCGACAAAGAATGACTGGTTCCTCGTTAACCCTGGCTTTGTTTTACTAGCAGTGAAATGAGATAAGAAGTATTGAGAGCAAAGTTACCTGAGTAGCTTCCAAGGTTTAACTTGTAATTAGATCCCTCACTCCCAACTTCAAACAAAGTGTATTCAGCATAAACAGTAGTCCCAGTAAAATCCTCCATATCAATACGAAGCTCGTAGTCCTCGCTGCTGGTCAAACGGCGTATATTTTCCAGTCCGAGCCAAAACTCGCTACTTGTGTAACCAAAGCCATATTTGTAACTGCTCCAGTCACGATAGAAGCTGACAGAGCCATCCAGTCTCTTCTGGAACACAGTCCAACCCCCGCCAGAGGTTGTGTGGTCACAGTAAACATGAAAGTCACCTGAGCCATCAGGGTTGATTATATAAACGCCATTGCTTCTCTTTCCAGCGTTATAAAGCTCCCCACAGTCTTTAGCTCCTGTAAGAAGAAACATATGGCGACCGTCAAATATATTTTTTCCTATTCACGATAAAGTATGTCTGTCATGGTATTGGATGAATGAGTTTCTTCAAGGGACTACTATCTTTGCTTCTGGTATGGCTTGTGGTATTGTTTTTTCAAATAAATCGACTGACATAAGATAACTGAGGGGAAGCTGAAACGATGGGTGACTGGATTATTAAACATATATCTCACGTTTGCAAGATTTTCCATTGCCAATGAATCCAGATTTGCAGGAACAGCTATACGAGCCGGGATTATTATGGCAATGGGCATTGACATCACATCCATTTGAAGAATTACACTCGTCAATATCTGAATAAAAAAAGCACAATCAACGGTATAGGCGTCATTAAAGATTGAACAATTTCGTGCATTGCAATCTAGTATTGCAATGATAGGTTCTGGTAAGGTGCACATTCCCGCCCTACAACTCCTTTAAAAACTAGTCTCAGTCAACATTGCCATTCATTTGACATTAAATGGAAAAATTAAGTTAGCGGAGAGCTTTTATCGGCGAGATTCAGAGTATGCAGAGATATTGGATGGGAAAGGAAGCTGAAAAAATAGCCGTGGAGAGAGCGGGTGGATGACTGAATGAGAAAGCGACTGGTGCTCAGTGTTTTTCACCCAATGTCCTATACAAGGCTATCCCGCATCCCTAAATTTGCAAATGATTGGCCTGAGAGCTTCCAGTCAACTTCTAATGAGGGAAAATCATAAATAAACATCTAACAAAGCCTTCAGGGATCAGGTAAATTTTTATCGTGATACGATCAAATCTTCCGACCGCGGCTCGGTAAATATCTATCACTATTCACCTCCACATCGGTGAATAGTTGTTAACTATTAGGTTGGTTTAGTATAGTTTTACCTGTGCACTTTTTCCCATTTCCGATATATCCAGTTAAACAGGAACAACTGTAGGAGCCATAAGTGTTATAGCAGTTGGCTTTGACATCACAAACTCGAAAGGAGGCACCGCACTCGTTAACATCTGATGAAAAAATACTCGATCAATTCACCACTTTTAATTTGGAGATTAGCAGTATAAAATGGAGTGGATCCAGAATTTGTGAGATAGAATAATAGAGCGGTCCATCTGAGCGAAAGGATCTAACTAAACCATTTTAATGATGGTAAACAATTCTTTAAGGTGATTCCTCAGTATTGCACCGCCATCCTTTTCTGCGCATAAAAATCACGTAATCAGGCCAATAGGCGTGCGCGCATTCCGAGAACACGGTATTGTACGTTCCCTTTTGCTTTTAACGCTCGAGACTTTTTACTTATCAGGTATTCTTTCAACTTTTACTTAAAACCTTTGCTTTCAGGTACCGAAAACTGTACCGTAAACCGATGAAATGACGCGCGTTATAAGTACCAGTACAGGCATAAATGGCGCATAACTGGTCAATCATATCTCTTAAGTGAGCACGGTGATCTATCTCTTTTATTGCAGTTTTATATAGAAACAGACATCGGTAAGGGAAATTTAAGGAAAGTTTTAAAAAGTTGTTTGATAACTTTTTTTGTGAGGAATCACCTTAAGGTGGGAGAAAGGCTATTGGATGCTCTTCAGATTGTCTAGTCGTAGATATATTCAATAAACTTAGTTTGAGTTAGTAATTTGACCCAAGTTTACCAGCACATGTTTTCCCATCCCCATCAAATCCAATTTTGCAGGAACAGCTATACGAGCCGGGATTATTATGGCAATGGGCATTGACATCACATCCATTTGAAGAATTACACTCGTCAATATCTGAATAAAAAAAAAGCACAATCAACGGTATAGGCGTCATTAAAGATTGAACAATTTCGTGCATTGCAATCTAGTATTGCAACGATAGGTTCTGGTAAGGTGCACATTCCCACCCTACAACTCCGCTAAAAACTAGTCTCAGTCAACATTGCCATTCATTTGACATTAAATGGAAAAATTAAGCTAGCGAATAGCTTTTATTGGCGAGTTTCAGAGTATGCAGAGGTATTGGATGGGAAAGGAAGCTGAAAAAATAGCCGTGGAGAGAGCGGGTGGATGACTGAATGAGAAAGCGACTGGTGCTCAGTGTTTTTCACCCAATGTCCTATACAAGGCTATCCCGCATCCCTAAATTTGCAAATGATTGGCCTGAGAGCTTCCAGTTAACTTCTAATGAGGAAAAATCATAAATGAACATCTAACAAAGCCTTCAGGGATCAGGTAAATTTTTATCGTGATACGATCAAATCTTCCGACCGCGGCTCGGTAAATATCTATCACTATTCACCTCCACATCGGTGAATAGTTGTTAACTATTAGGTTGGTTTAGTATAGTTTTACCTGTGCACTTTTTCCCATTTCCGATATATCCAGTTAAACAGGAACAACTGTAGGAGCCATAAGTGTTATAGCAGTTGGCTTTGACATCACAAACTCGAAAGGAGGCACCGCACTCGTTAACATCTGATGAAAAAATACTCGATCAATTCACCACTTTTAATTTGGAGATTAGCAGTATAAAATAGAGTGGATCCAGAATTTGTGAGATAGAATAATAGAGCGGTCCATCTGAGCGAAAGGATCTAACTAAACCATTTTAATGATGGTAAACAATTCTTTAAGGTGATTCCTCAGTATTGCACCGCCATCCTTTTCTGCGCATAAAAATCACGTAATCAGGCCAATAGGCGTGCGCGCATTCCGAGAACACGGTATTGTACGTTACCTTTTGCTTTTAACGCTCGAGACTTTTTACTTATCAGGTATTCTTTCAACTTTTACTTAAAACCTTTGCTTTCAGGTACCGAAAACTGTACCGTAAACCGATGAAATGACGCGCGTTATAAGTACCAGTACAGGCATAAATGGCGCATAACTGGTCAATCATATCTCTTAAGTGAGCACGGTGATCTATCTCTTTTATTGCAGTTTTAGAAACAGACATCGGTAAGGGAAATTTAAGGAAAGTTTTAAAAAGTTGTTTGATAACTTTTTTTGTGAGGGATCACCTTAAGGTGGGAGAAAGGCTATTGGATGCTCTTCAGATTGTCTAGTCGTAGATATATTCAATAATTTTAGTTTGAGTCAGTAATTTGACCCAAGTTTACCAGTACATGTTTTCCCATCCCCATCAAATCCAGTTTTGCAGGAACAGCTATACGAGCCGGGATTATTATGGCAATGGGCATTGACATCACATCCATTTGAAGAATTACACTCGTCAATATCTGAATAAAAAAAAGCACAATCAACGGTATAGGCGTCATTAAAGATTGAACAATTTCGTGCATTGCAATCTAGTATTGCAACGATAGGTTCTGGTAAGGTGCACATTCCCACCCTACAACTCCTCTAAAAACTAGTCTCAGTCAACATTGCCATTCATTTGACATTAAATGGAAAAATTAAGCTAGCGAATAGCTTTTATTGGCGAGTTTCAGAGTATGCAGAGGTATTGGATGGGAAAGGAAGCTGAAAAAATAGCCGTGGAGAGAGCGGGTGGATGACTGAATGAGAAAGCGACTGGTGCTCAGTGTTTTTCACCCAATGTCCTATACAAGGCTATCCCGCATCCCTAAATTTGCAAATGATTGGCCTGAGAGCTTCCAGTTAACTTCTAATGAGGAAAAATCATAAATGAACATCTAACAAAGCCTTCAGGGATCAGGTAAATTTTTATCGTGATACGATCAAATCTTCCGACCGCGGCTCGGTAAATATCTATCACTATTCACCTCCACATCGGTGAATAGTTGTTAACTATTAGGTTGGTTTAGTATAGTTTTACCTGTGCACTTTTTCCCATTTCCGATATATCCAGTTAAACAGGAACAACTGTAGGAGCCATAAGTGTTATAGCAGTTGGCTTTGACATCACAAACTCGAAAGGAGGCACCGCACTCGTTAACATCTGATGAAAAAATACTCGATCAATTCACCACTTTTAATTTGGAGATTAGCAGTATAAAATGGAGTGGATCCAGAATTTGTGAGATAGAATAATAGAGCGGTCCATCTGAGCGAAAGGATCTAACTAAACCATTTTAATGATGGTAAACAATTCTTTAAGGTGATTCCTCAGTATTGCACCGCCATCCTTTTCTGCGCATAAAAATCACGTAATCAGGCCAATAGGCGTGCGCGCATTCCGAGAACACGGTATTGTACGTTCCCTTTTGCTTTTAACGCTCGAGACTTTTTACTTATCAGGTATTCTTTCAACTTTTACTTAAAACCTTTGCTTTCAGGTACCGAAAACTGTACCGTAAACCGATGAAATGACGCGCGTTATAAGTACCAGTACAGGCATAAATGGCGCATAACTGGTCAATTATATCTCTTAAGTGAGCACGGTGATCTATCTCTTTTATTGCAGTTTTAGAAACAGACATCGGTAAGGGAAATTTAAGGAAATTTTATAAGTTGTTTGATGACTTTTTTTTGTGAGGAATCACCTTAAGGTGGGAGAAAGGCTATTGGATGCTCTTCAGATTGTCTAGTCGTAGATATATTCAATAAACTTAGTTTGAGTTAGTAATTTGACCCAAGTTTACCTGCACATGTTTTCCCATCCCCATCAAATCCAGTTTTGCAAGAACAGCCGTAGGAGCCAAAAGTATTGTGGCAATTCGCGTTTACGTCACAAACCCGATAAGAGGAACTACATTCATTGACATCTGGCAAATAAGTATTCCATTAATTAAATTATATTCTTCTAGTTTTGATATTGGACTTAAGTAAGCACGGTGATCTATCTCTTTTGTTGCAGTTTTAGAAACAGACATCGGTAAGAGAAATTTAAGGAAAGTTTTAAAAAGTTGTTTGATAACTTTTCTTGTGAGGAATCACCTTAAGGTGGGAGAAAGGCTATTGGATGCTCTTCAGATTGTCTAATCATAGATATATTCAATAAATTTAGTTTGAGCTAGTAATTTGACCCAAGTTTACCTGCACATGTTTTCCCATCCCCATCAAATCCAGTTTTGCAAGAACAGCCGTAGGAGCCAAAAGTATTGTGGCAATTCGCGTTTACGTCACAAACCCGATAAGAGGAACTACATTCATTGACATCTGGCAAATAAGTATTCCATGTATTAAATTACATTCTTTTAGTTTTGATATTGGACGTTTAACCTGGGCCTGTGAATATGAGTTAGTCAAATAAAGGCAAATTTAAGGGCGATTTCCGACTCTATGACGTGAAGACAGCCTGTTTCAATACCTCACTTCTTTACTTCAAAATTGCATTCTGGTATCAAAATGATTCAAGGCTACGACTAGTCAATCATGTCTTCTTGCACTGCCAAGATATCAGCTCTTTTTACGAATATACTGCTTCTTGCCGTATTTATTAAATATTCTCTTTCTTTTTTTTACGTCAGCCATCTTAGTTTAGGGGATTCGACCCTTCGAGACATTGTTCATACCCCAAGCGTGATATAATAGTTGGATGTGGAGGTTATTTTCATGCATATCATGCATTTTACCATTAGTTTGAATTCACTTTGCAGAAGGAGAATGGTGAACATGGCCTCGAATGAACAAAATGGGCACTTGATTTTCGAAGGAGCAGAAACACATTTCAAGTACCAAGACCACCTATTTAATACAATTGAGTGACAGGAAACTATCAGGGCTAAACTAATAAACTGGTTTATCAACGCTCAAATAAATCGATTCAGCGCTTAGACCCAAGTTTACCTGCGGATGTTTTTTCATAAATCCACGCATTTCATCCGTGTGAGAAAAGTTACTTCGTTAGTAAAGCGCGAAGCACTCTAACTTATAAGCTAATGCAATACTGAATATGAATTATGAAAGCGATCTTCGCAATCATGAACACTACTTAAGCAGTAGTAAAAAAAGCTCTGAAAAAAAAATTCAGGGCTGTACGAGTTTTGAACCCATGACCATTATGTTAATTTGTAATAAACCCGTGAAGTGATGAATAATGACTGTGGACATATAAAAATCATTTGTGTGAACTGCATAATGCTATAGTTTATACTTCCTTACCCAATTCACAGTGTTTCCCTGTGTATCCTTTTGCGCAAACGCATACGTAACTATTCTCTTGGTATTGTGCAGCGCATGTCCCTTTGTTCTGACAAGGCCAACTGATGCAAGGTGACTAAACAGAAAGAGAGAAAACAAAAACAAATTCCCTCTAAAGTTGTCTATGTTGCCTAATCCAACCACCGATTGCAATTGGAAATATTATTCTTTACGAATTCCCACTCACCGCGATACTGTAGTGATGATGACTTTGACTGAGGACAAACTTCTCTGAGTTGTTGTATATGTCCGACGGAAGCAATTCACAGATCACTTTACCAATTACATTGCGAAATGCACCCAAGTTAAAAGAGAAACATGATGGTATGTTGACACAGACGAGCCCACACTCACTGCCTTGCAGAACGTAATCTGAACCAATGCTGGCGATGTTGAGATAGGAAAACTGATGAGCCTTAAACTTGGCATAAGCCATTCCTCTGTCAGTGCCTCGGCTTAGAGTTTTATTGCGTGCATCGATGAATCTTGTTCCTGCATGGGGTGATGAAGGGGTTAAAACTATAAGTGGCTATTTTAAAACTATTGTGATTGCCAGCAGTGAGTACCGTGAGCGTAGATGTTTATCCAACTTGTTACGAGCTTGGAACAAAGTAAAGAATCATGCTCAGGCCTTCGCATTCCGCGCTGGGACGCTCAACCACTTAGCTACAGAGACTCTGCGAGGTGTTAGGTCATTTCTGAGTTCAAACGGGACACACTTCCTGCATATCTTTAGGATCAGCAGCGTTGAAAGCATCATTTGAGAGAAAAAAAGAAGATAGAAGTAGCGCGGAATTCCAAAAGTTTAAGATTCGATTCCCTGTAAAACCTCATCATTTTTTCCATCTTCCTCTCTCGTGACAAGAATTTTTTTCATCGAACCTAAAATTTACCATACTACTGATATTAATACATTTAACGTACCTTCAGATGCATTTGCCAAGTAAACGATTATCATCAGTATACTAAAATAGCTCCTGGAAAGTTTTGAGAGTCTAAACTCCATTTTCAGTGGCAGCTACTGACCTCACCTTGGAATGAAAGTGATCTGTACTCTTCACGTTGAATTATGCAACTTTTGGCAAACTGAGAGTAAAACAATAAATAAAACATCCTGATGAAATTTTGTTAGGTGAAACAGGTCACGTACACAATACATCAATTGAGAACCTGCAATGAAAAATGGCAATGAAGTTTATTCAGTAATTTAGCTCCCTTGACATATTGAATTCGTTTGAATCCTGAAATAAAAATCCACTTAATTCTTCAACCCCTATAATTTCCAAGTTTAAACTCTTGATTTGTCATCCTTATTATTTTATTCCTCTTAAGCTGGAAAACAACACTGTATATTGAACTTTCTTCAATGTCATCAGACAGCAAGGCCCAGTTGTTCGAAGGCCGATTAGCGCTAACCCGAGGTAAAGTTTTAGCCTGGGTTTCTTTATTCCCTTTTTCACAGGCCTATTTCACATAATTTCTTCAATTCCTTTTAGAACATTCAGACATCAAATTTTAGGCAAAAATAAATATGCTGAATATTCTTTTAAAGCTTTCAGATCTGAGGTCAGATTTCACGCTAACCCTGGGTTATCTTAATCTAGCTTTGAACAACTACTTATAGTAATGGAACTATAATTTTCAGACTTTTTATAAGTGGTTGAAAATTAATATTACCCCCAAAAAGCAGTCTAAAAAGGAATAACTATACATTTGGGAAAAGGGGTGAAATTAATCCGCCTCATGAACACCTCAATAATATATGTGTGGTTACAATCTGTCATTGAGTTAATTACACTCGTCACGTTTTAAGGCGGCAGGTGTTTTTTAAGACGTAAGATGGACATATACCAATTCACACCGAAGCAAGAAGTTTCTTGTATTCATAAAACTAGCTCGAGTAGTATTCTAAGCAGTTTCTACAATAAACAAAAAGATTTGGTCAAAATTAAACATCCAACGTTTCAATTGAGTAAGTTAAATTGAAAAGATATATATTATTTGAATTAACTATGAATATTGAGAGTAATATCAATGGTTTTTGGAATAAAGAAATAAATTTTATATTTGAGGAAAGACTGAATTCTTTTTCGTATAGTAGTTAGCTTGAAATGCGAATGTCTCTGAATGAAATAAATAAATTAAAAGTCGTTTAGAGTGAGCACGTAGACATTTAACAGGTGAAACGGAAGTTTTATCGTTGTTTTGATAACATTTGCTGAGTCACAAGAATTCATTAATAATTCGAGTGTTTCGTTCAGCATGATTTTAAAATGCAAGGCAGGAGGGATCGTTTACAGAATATTCAGAACGCCACAGCTTGGGTGATTTTCCAGTTTACGAAATCTGACCACATCACATTGGCTCTCTTCGACCTATACTGGCTTTCTGTATTTAAGTTGCTTCTTTTTGTTTAAAAGTCATTAAACAATCTAAGCCGCCGCCCTACATTAAAGATCTTTTATCTTTTAAACCTGCCTCTAACTACACGCTTCGCTCGTCCACACAATCTCATCTATTCGTTCCACTGGTCAACTGCTCCACAATTGGGGATCGTGCTTTTGCTCGTGCTGTTCCTGCTGTATGGAACTTGTTGCGGTTATCAATCAGATCCTGTAGCAGCCTAGCTACTTTTAAGAAACAACTCAAAACATGTCTTTTTAGGAAAGCGTTCAGTATTAGTTTATAGTTTTCAATTTAATGAAAGCGCTTTTCAATATGTGCATAGTTTTGGCGTTATATAAATGTTTTATTTTTATTATATAAAGGGGGGATTGTGATCCCGTTCTATGCATGAATTTTAGAAAACTTACGATTCACTCGTACTTTAAACAGTATTTCACTGGTCAAAAATTTAGAAGAGAAACCTTCAAATCTCACCTTACCTTCCCTCTCCGTAAAATTAAACCTTTTCCATCCTTACATAACTCTCCAAGTGTAAGGATGTTCGCTGTCTGGGTCTTTTTCTTTTTCCTTAATTTTCTATTTTTGCAAATCGGTAATGTTAGCTTAACCGGTTGAACATTTACAGTAGCCCTTTGTTTACACCTAGTTGTATTCAATAGTAATTTGGTCAAAAATGTTCGATATCTCTTAAAGAGATGCTTTCCAAAACGTCAAAATGTTTTAGACCCAAGATATATTATAAGTGGATTTATATACACAAAAATTAAAGGGAATAGTTTTATATATTCATCTATTCATTTATTTTTGCATAAATTTTAAATCTACGTTATCTAATTTACTTTTGTTTCCTTTTGTTCAGGAAGAGAAAACATCGTCAGTGTGTAAGAAAAATCTTAACAGTGAAAATTCACATTGATAATATTTTTTTTATTATTAATATTTATTTCTATTATTATCTTATCATTGTCGACCCTGTTCAGAGCTAATGTGAGGGCAAACATCCTCACGCAAGTCTCATTTAGTTGAACCATGTATTCTGTTGAAAACCTTTGAGATCCCTTTTGCTATCATATATTTTACAACATTACACTGGATCTTTATAAGTCGTTGCAGGCCTAAGCAACGATTTTGTGTCCCCATTTAAAAGTTTTAGCACTTCCGAATTCAAGGCGCTGGTTTTTCAATAGCGCTGCCATCTACAGTACCAATAACAACAACAACTTATACTTCGCGTCACGATTCGTATTTAATTTAACAAATGAGGAAAAACCTCTGGAACTAGTGGAAATAATGCCGCACTCGACAGTGGGTCTCGGAGGGTGGGGGGGGGGGGGGGGGTTGCGGGAGGAAGAGGCAAAGTAATACGAATAATGCTCGATCGCTCAACAAATACAAAAAACTTTACTTTTTGAATGTTTTCTTTTGCAAACTGAGTTGATAATTTATTGGCTACTGAAAAGAGTTTCTACAGCTGACAATTAGAGCGTTAACCCTTTGATTGTAGGAGTGAATGGCGAAGAACTAACCCTCGAAACGTCGGCTTTAGAAACTCTTCATGGTGGTCAACTGCATTATCAACTCAGTTGACTGAACCAAATTGTCTTATAGTAGCCCACACTGATGCAGCAGCACAGCTTCTTAAGAAATTTACCCCTTTCTTTTTGACTACTGCCGTTTTACGGTTAGCCAATCAGATTTAGTCACATGCACATTTCCGCTTTTGGCGCACAATAGCTGTAAGCATTCATTTGATTTCAAAGCAAAGTTACATGTTTATTATCAAATTGAGCGTTTCTTGGCATATCTTAATAGAAAAGTTTTCTCATGCTTTACAATGACATTTACAATGCCTCGAATAATCTTCGTCATGTATAAATAATATTGTAAGCTGATGATCACGATTTCACGTTGAAAGCAAAAGCTAGAAAGAGTTCTAACATCTTCGCAGAGCTCTTTTAACAAGTCCCATCTGTCATAACACATGCAAAATTCTATGAAAAAAAAATAACTTCCCAGTGATTTCTAAATAAATTAGCAACGTTGATAAACTTATATTTGCATTTAGCCTCATTAAATAATTGATTATATCCATGACCTTAATATAAAGAGTCTTTATAAAACATGCGAACTCCGAGGTTCAGATTTCGTGTTGCATTGCCATATATCACAGATAATTAACGTAACAGCTCCTTTAGAGCAGACCCATGAAAAATGGATCTGAAAATATCCCTATCACAACTCGGGAACTTGACCCGTAGGAGCAACTGCTTTTTAGGTGGGCCTTAGGCGGCTGGAGGGGGTTAAACGCATTTTTAGTGATACGATCACAACCTCATAGTTTGCATGTTATTGAAAAGTGCAGTAAATTATCTAATTGTATGTTTGCATTGGACCCAATTCTAGTTATAGTCTGGGTTCTCATGAAACCCGTTTCCCTTAAAAAAAAACAAACAAAAAAAACAGGTAGGTTCAAGGAAGGCTTTGTGAAGATTATTTTATAAAATAATATTTGTGGTGTAAACCGAGTCATTGCTTCCTTGGTAATAAAGGCACTTGTGAAAGTGGTATCCTCGTAGCTAAAAACAGGTAAACTTCCTCACTTGCTTTACGCTTCATCAAAAATTTTCTGTATCGGAATGTCTCACCCGAAATGACTCCCGCTTATGCTAACCCTCTAACAAACTTAAAATGGCGCACGCGATCTTTACAGCGTAGAAAGAAATCCGTTTTGATATATATTTAAGATAATAAGGTAGTAGAGTTCTGTTGGTTTGGTCTGAAACAGTTCTGCACTGATTTCATCTGAGTGATTTCCTGTTCGGATTGTTCTCTTGTTCTTTTCAAAATGCCTCATCAAAACTTTTGTCTTGGCTTTCTGTGGGCATGTGATGGTTATCACCAGCACCACCATTAACATGGCCATTTGAGCCAAAGCCATTTGTTTTAGAATCAGATATCTTTGGTTTTGTGACGTCATCGTCTTCGGTCATCCTGTTGATATGAACCTCGGAGAGCATGATGTCTTGGCTGACTCCTCCACTCAGGTTTGTGCTTTCTTTGTCAAAGTGTTCAACGTCGTCCATGTGACGCTCCATCTGGTATGCCGCAAAGAAGTAGGTCAGCGTTACTGCAAAGAAGTCTTCAGTCATGTTACCATAGATGGCGTACTTTTCTCGAATGGAGTAACGGATAGCTGTGGCATAAGCGAAGAATCCAATCAAGATTGTCCATCCAATGTAAGAAATTCCCTCTACCGCTGGCTCAAGAGCCATGCAAATAACCCAGAGATAAAAGGGAACAGCCAGGGCCAGCATATAAACATATTTTCGGTCTTCTCTACTAGCGATCTTAGAGGCAGCTTTCCCCATGGAATACCATGGTGCCACGATTGCAATTAAAACCTTTTGGACGCTTGACATGGTGGGTTCAATCAGAACGTCCAGGAGACCAGTTGAAAAGTGTGGGCCGTGGGGATCTAAGTCTCCAGCTTCTATTTTAACTGCTCTCCATAAAGCCACGCACATGAAACATAGCATAATAGTGTAAGGGACGCCAGATGCTATGGACACTGCTTGTAGAGCTTTCAGCCCGTTAGTCCCACCAGAGTAAAGCAGGGCTGTAGCACAGGCACCTTCTGTTAAAGCCCAGAAAACGCGCTGAATGACGGGTGGTTCTTCTTCGCCATTTGCTGAGAGACAGTCGATCACCAGGGAACCGCTATCGGAGCTTGTTACGAAGTAAAGGACAATGCTTACAAGTGAAACTATTGATAGGAACATTCCCAGGTCACCGTGTTGGTCCATAACATCAAACCACATTTCTTCTGTTTTTCGAGACGAAAGCCGAACGAACTTCCCAGTGGCGTTAGTAATGTTGCGAGATTCAGCATCTCGTTCCATTTTCAAACCCGCGCTGCCAAAAATGCAAAACCAGAGGAACGAATAAATTATTGGAGCCGTCATTGTGGCGTTGATAAACTGCCTAATGGTTCTTCCTCTTGAAATCTTGGCGATGAACATTCCCACAAAAGGGGACCAGGCGATCCACCATCCCCAGTAGAAAATGGTCCAAGTTCCCATCCAGTCTGGGTTGGACTTGCCATCCGGCGCATTATTTAGTTGTGCGAACGCATCTGTATGAAAGCCGAGCTGAATGATCCACTGCATGTAGTAGCCAACACTTTGAACGTAAACGTTGAGTATATGCCAGGTGTCCTGAAAGAAGAATGTAACAAGCATAAGGAACATTCCCAGGATGAAGCAGATCTCGCTAAGGCGGCGAATTCCAACTTTCAGACCGCTAACCACTGAGGCTGTAGCACATGCAGTGACACACCAGATAATGATGATTTGATTACTGGTTGTGATTTCAATCCGGTTCCAAAGACGGTTAAAGCCAGTATTCATCTGTATAACACCCAGTCCAAGGCTGGTGCAAACGCCGAACATGGTGCAGACCACGGAAAGTATGTCTACTGCGTCACCCATCCAGCCAAAGATCTTTCTGCCGATGAGGGGATAGAAACAAGAACGCACGGTCATGGGAAGACCCTGCCTGAACCCAACAAATGCAAGTAGCAGGCCGACAATGACGTACACGATCCAGCCGTGAATACCCCAGTGAAACAAAGTAACATTCATGGCATCCTGAGCTCGCTGATTGTCATTGTACCTAAAAATAAATTATCGGTGATATTAATAGTTACTATCAACAAATAAGTGAATGATCATTGAAAACCAACAGCATAAAACATGAGACGCTTTTTGAGCTCGTTGCTGGCCTTACTTACAGAGTAGAGACCACATTTGATGTATTATTTCAAAGTCTTTTATACAGGCCCAAGTGGCCCATGGGGCCGGCGCTTAACTCCAGTTTCATTAGCATGAAGCGGCTGGGAGTATTGCTACTCCCAACTAGATGGGATGCTAGTCCATCGCAGGGTTACCCCCAGCATATTTGCTGGTACCCAGAAGAGAAGCACTGTAAGAGTAAACTGTCTTGCCTAAGATCACAACACAATGACCACGGTCAGGGCTCGAACCCGGACCACTCGATTCGGAGTCGAGCGCACTAACCATGAGGCCACCACGCCTCCACCTGTATTGTTTCAGGATGTGATTAAATCCCTTTTTCAAATTACTAATCGTGTATATTTTGTTGTTATGAAGTATTACCTGCGATAGTAACGGTTTTTAGTGTCGGAATAATGCCACACAGGTTCGGCTGAGAAGAGAAAAAAACATGGGTTAAGAATATTGTGAGCCCTTCCCTTCCACCTCACCTCAGGTCTTTCCCTTCCCTTACTAGAGGTAACAGTCAAGCTACTTGTCGATACTTACGTCAAGAGACTATAATCTAGCTTGTATATAGCCGTTCCTCCACATCCAACCATCACAATTAATCATTTTACTAAAAAGTGTCGGAGACTTTATGTTTCGTGCGTGACACATATCAGATAACAAGTATAAACATTACATCAAGAGAGACAATTTTTTAGTGAAAGAGACTGTCATTTGATATCAAGAGCTAGAAGCAACGCCTTTCGTGATTTTGGGACATTGATTGGTGTGCATGATCGACGCAACCTTGAATAACCTTTTATATCAGTACTTAGCAACAACCAATCACAATGTGGAGAATGTAGTATAAGAGAGTGATTTCGTTACGAGTTATTCAGAGTAGCTCTTTACACACCCGTTGTAACTGAGTAAATACGAGAGTAGAATTAAGCAGTTTAGCTTAATCGAGTCTATGGATTAAGTCTAGTTCGCTAGGATTCTATCCCTGGTAAACGGGGCAAAGTTTACGAAAAAAGAGGTATCTCCCTTGGTTATGAAGAATGTTCTGAGTATATCAAATCTCTCACCCCATTCCCCCCCCCCTCTTTTTCTCCCTCCTTCCCTCTCTTAAGTATCTGCGCTCCTCTTAAATTATAAGGGCGCGCCATCGATTGATAAAGGAATTTTGATTCTATGATTCAGTTTTACTGTGGTATGGTAGATCATTCGAAACATTTAAGATGCAGCAAATGCACCTTTCTTGTGAAATATTCTGCCTTAAATTTCTTGCCATTTGCTTATCATTTAGAAAAAGCATAGACACCGCAAATATAAACAGCGTTTACGCGAATATATTTTTTTCAAATATGAGCATTTGTTTATAAAAGGCGTTTGGGTGGAGGTAGCGGTATGAAACTACAACGAAGCGTGATCCGAGTTGATTAGGGGCTAGTCATTATTTAACAAATGGTGGGTTAATGATTTTTGGGGAAAGCATATGGTTTTCAATGGATCGGAGTGGGGATTAGTCGTTGCAAGGATAAAGGGAGAACTACAGAAAATTGACCGCCAACTAACTACCAAAGAGCGAGGATCATAAAAACATCACAGAGCCTTGGGGAAGGGAAGAGGAATTAGGTACATTCCGGACAAGCAAGAAAGGGAAGCGTAAATACTTCTTCCATCCAATTCGTAATAAATGCTACTGTAAAACTTGATTTATTTGCTAATCTAAGGGCCCAAACTCAACCTTCTCGTTCGTAAGGCCGGTCAAAAGAAACGTTAAACCCTTCCAAATTGGCCAAGGTCAGTTTGGTTCAAAATGTTCGCTTTATGTTACCGACTCTGAGTTGTTTATCAAAGCTCATAATTTGCGTGACTTGAATCTTGTTTGCGTGATTAGCGCGATCAACGGAAGAATTTCCGTCTGAAGAGGACCTCAAAATAGTAATCGTATTTAACTATAACACAGATTTGCTTCAAATCTTTCAAAGATGTCTGGGTGTTCGTGAACAGGTCTGTACAGGTTCTGTCAATTATGTGCTTTTGAGACAAATGCCAAATGGTTTAAAACAAAACAAAAAAAGGTTCGTTCAAAGCCTCGCTCCTTGGCTTGATAGAACCGAACATTAGTTTTTGATGGATATGTTACAAATTCAGTCACAAATAAGTGTCCAAGTTCCAATGTCTGGAGCAAAGAAATTACATATTATTCACGTTTTCGGTATCTGATGACACAGATGTTCATGAGAAACATCGCGTGCGTAGTTTTACGGCGATGACGTGTCGATAAGTGAAAAGTAGGGGCATTTTCGATTTCTTTCATTTTCGATCCAGTTAAATGGAAAAAATACAATAGAACATATCTCTTTTCAGTTATGGAATGCTTTTATCGTCAAGTAAACTCTCTCGGCGTAGCAATATGCTTTGACGCAATCTCCAACACGAGCGCAACCCTACAGGAAAAACAGGAATTTGAAATCTGTGAATATGTTGGTATCTAATTGCACAGACCCCTCGCTGATCACGGGTTTGATTGAAGTAAAAAAACACAGGTATGGCAGGTTTTAAGTTATAGACCAATTATAAACGCGCCGAAACATTACCAGCTAACGAAAGCGGATCAACTCACGAAACTGCCGGGAAATCACTGGAATGATTGACATCTATTTTCTCCATAGCAAATTATAACCCTTTTAGGTCTGTCTAACTACGAAAATATGGAGAATCATCAGGTAAAGGAAACATTTTCCATACTGAAAAATACGCCTGAAAATTTTCTTTCTTTTATAAACGTCTATAACACAATTTTGTGATTGGTGAGAAAAAAACAGTGACAAGTCGGGCTATCATAATCTACTAATCGAGCAACCACCAATTTTAAATAACAAAATTACTACGGAAAAACGGGTATGTTCTTACATAAGGAAAAAAAAGCATGTGTTGCCTTACAGACAAGGCAAATATAGATTTTGACGAGCGCGGTAGTGCGTTTGTCCCATTAGACTGGTTTTATACAAGCTAAAAACCGGTACATACCAACTCCGAAGAAAAACAAACCGACGCCTATTCCAGCGGCGAACAGCATCGTGAAGTAGGATGCGTCGCTGAAATCCGGTTTGTCATCAGGTTTTCCCAGCTTCATTTTCCCGTATTTCGAGAAATACAGGACTATAATAAACACAGCCCATACATCTTGGGTACCAATGTACATCCAGGTGCAGGTGTCGGTGATCCATATCATAGACTTCGTCAATTCTTTGTAAGCGAGATCTGCTTTGACCGCGCAAAATATCACGAAGCCCCAAATAATTGCGGCTGAGATGAAAGTGACGATGGGGTTAATTCGAATATTTACTCCAAATCTTCCAATTTTCTTTCTGACTCGAAGCCAAGTGAACTTCTCCGAAACGTTATTATCAACTTCCATTTTGGCAGTGCGACACGTTCGGTTTTAATAGTACTACTACCAGTTACGCTTCTTGTGGCAGAGAGCACGAATCGGTTTATTGTCCGCTGATACACGAGGCTCCTTAAATATTGATTTTTTTTCGATGGAATGTGATTGTTTAACAACCCCCCCCCCCCCTCACACGCCCACTGGACTTGTCACTTTTGTTTTCCTTCTGAATGACAGGATTTAGGTTTGGCTCCAACTTTAGCACGTACCAGGGTTATTACTGAAGCGCGTAATTTTACTGGATAGATCATCGGGCTAATTCAGATAATTCACTCGCTAATGGGCCTCTAACTTTGATTTGATTTATTTTTTCTCGGTTTTATCGCATCTGAGATACACTCAAGGTCAACCTGAAGGTTGGTACAGTATTAAGTGCGTCACGTATGAGCGCCATTTGATGCACGTGCGAGGCATATCACAATCTGTCTCTGCAGGTAAAAAAGCTGAGCTTCTCTAACATTTTCTGCGCAAAACGCGGTCGAATGGACTCAAAGTGTAGAACAGATCACTGCTGTAATGACGTTCTAATTTTCAGATTTATGAAGGAAATGCTCGTGCTTTATACAGATTATCGACAAAAAGTGACCTTCGAACCGACAAGCCACCATAACAACGTAAACGACCAAAGAACCGGAATTGCTTCCTTAACCTTTCATCTTGTTTAGATAGATGACTCAAAACTGTTATTTCGCAGTTAAAAATTCTCATCGAAAAAAATTACACAAGACACTTGACTGAGAATCGCTGAGCGTCTTGCGAATGACACGCAAAAAGCAAACAGGAAGTGACTGATAGATGCTTTCTGTGAAATAAGAGTTTCGAAATTAAATGTTCAAGGGAATTTCGTTCGCAAAATTGGAAACTCAAGCCTTTTATTTGACTTCAGTAAATTCTTCTACCAAAGATAGACACATCACTAAGGAGAGCTGAAGTAGAAATATTTCCTTATTGTTTTCATAACCATTTATGTAATAAGAACTAGACGTTATTGTGTGTAATCAAATCTATGATAATTAAAAAATTCTTTGCTGATCTGTCAGATGTAATCTTTAACCTTTTCCTTGTGGCAAGAGACCAATCACGTGAATGGAATTTGACGATCTAATTTATGCGATTACGGTTTTAGAGCACCATTACTTCCATTCCATTTGGATTTTCTTGGTTACTCAATGAAAGTGCTGACTGATATTCGAGAAGCAAGCGCCACACAAGTGGAAACAGTCACGCAAACCACAGTAAAGACTCACGTCATCTATAACAGTGAGCGAATAAGCAGCGATTTTAAGCGACCAAATTTCTCTGAACTTCTTCAGATCATGCTGCTATTCTGCCATTTGTGACCGGAACTATCCAAGAATTAATGAAAACTTTGACTTAATCTTATTAGCCATTATCCTTACGCGTTTGTTGCGTTGCGTTTAGTTTCTGAATGGATCTTGTGGTGGTCCCCTCAGTCGTCGTGACTCTCTTTCTAATCTTTTATATATTTACTTTACTTTCAATTATTTGCCATCACTGCTTTAAAAAAAAAAGCAACGTGTAGTTAGACTTAACGTCTAAACCACTTGGTATGTTTCAACTCTAATCGATGAGTTTCTTCAGATACTTACTCATCTCTTGTCAAAAGAAATCAAGTCAACGATACGTCTTCTGACGTTTAACAGATTAAGATTTCTAAAACAAGTGTTATCCTTCTCTGTAGTCGAAAAAAAGGCTGGTAAAGATGGGCGAGCATAAAATGTGGATTATTGAACGTGATACACCAGAAAGGGCTTCTTAATCTCGAGATGTATGTCACAGAAAAACGTTTCGCAGTTTACACAATCTGACAAGAGGAAATATTTGCCAAGGACTATCATGACGACATCCTCATGTGACTCTCTCATACGTCTTAGAATCTGTCCTATTCTGAGCCATTCCTTCAGAGAACATTCCATCTCGAAAACTGATTGCTCTCATTCTTGTTAAGTTTCAATACCATGAGTTTCTTTTCTTGAAAATATTTCTCATTTGGCAAGTACTCCGAAACGTGATTTACTTCGGGTCCTTGAAAAAATATTTGTTTTGCTCAATCGGCAAAAAACGCTTAAAATAATATCGCGTTTCGCAGTCAGGGCAATGTTTTCTTTCTAACTTCCGCTGTTATTTGGGTTACAAGGAAATTGGCTCTGGTTAGTCTTTGCTAAAACGAAAAACCAGTCATGACCGTTGGATCTTTTAGTAGAAAATGCTTTTTTGATATGTTGTTGATTTTCATCAACATATCAAACAAGCAACATCAACGTTGCACTGTCAATTCGTTGGTCTGCTTTGTGCGTTCAATACAGCCGGTGACTGGCCCCTATAAAAAGGGGGAGAGGGTGAGGGTGCTAAGGATCACTTGGGAGGATCCCAAGGTAGTCTTCTCTCAGTCTTGACCTAGTTGAAGACAAGATCTCTGTATTTTGCTTCCAATTTTACCGCAAGAAACTTGTGCTTAAGTACTTTTAATTGGATTATGCACAACTTTCAACTGTTCCGGCGGTTGAGTTTTTCCCTGCGCAGCGAAACGTACCCATTTTGCCATGAAAAGGAGTAGTTTCGCCCCCAGAATGAGGGGTCTTCGGTCATGACTGCATTCAGAAAATTCGGCTGCGATGTAAGGTAGCCTCACCTTGGGAGAAGTTTGGGAGAATGTGAGTTTGAACAGGACTATAAGTAAAGGTTGAGAAAAATAACGTACCAAAGATCGAGAACTCTTTCGATCGTAAACCGCAACTTCACCTATTTATTTATATTTGCAAATGTAAATTCAAGTGGTTGAAAACGATTAACTTCCTTTTTCTGTCAGTTAGTTCATAGTTTACGCCTGCTGTGCAAACGAAATTGACGTCAGAGTTTCGTTTGTATTTGTCAAACACATTCTGTGAGCGTTGTAGTTCTCTGTGGTTCCAATTAATTCTATAGAATGGATCCACTGATTAAGAATATTTTGAAAGAACTCGTGACGGACATCCGTGCAAGACTACACCAACAATCGCCAAAGGCTAGGAGGCGATGTAACCTTTAGGAAAAACACCGGCCTATGAGTGGGCGTTGGACTTTAGCACGTTTTATAGGCAACTCAATAATAAATCAGCTGGTTTCGAGTGTTGCTTACCCTCACTTATAGAGTAGTTGAATGCGCTCACGTATCAAGACCACAGCGTTGTGTCATAAATTGACGGGTACAGTTTATATATCTCAAGGCGAACACTAATATTTGGGCGAATATTTTTTTTGTTTCTATCATTAATTAAAGAACTCGACATTTCTGGCTTCCCTATTTTTGTCATCACTTATCGATATCACCAACTCACTGCCGTGAGGCGCTTTGTGTTCACAGTTGCAAGCATTTTTTTCGGGGAAGCACTCAGTTGATCGAACACTCTTTCTGCCAAGAAGTCTTGCACTACATCCATAGCGCCTACATCCTGACTATTTTGGTGATTTTATGTATATGTGCGTAGTTTCGGGAAGACCAGTAAGTTGTCGGCTGGCTATCAACATCGTCTGAGTCCATTAAACTTTCAAACGGGAACAAGGAGCATAGACTATTTCAAGTTTTTTCAAACTTCCTTGTCTTTTTCTTCTTTCCTTTTCTTTTCTTTCTTGTTTGATAGGAAAAAAGAAAGGTTTGCCTTTTACCGTCGCAGCTCCCTGATGCGAGTGACGACTATAGGATGAGAGAAGAACTTCAGAAATCAATTAACTTGTATTTTCGACTCGGGTGATGGATACTTATTGGCAACGGGTGACTTACCCTGTGGTTTTATTTTTGCAGTTCGTTACTTTTAGCCTCACAGTTGCCCTGCTGTGCGATCCTTTTAAAAAAATGTGTGACATTTCAGGAAAACCTCTTCACCGCTAGGTGATTTTCCGCAGGAGAAGCAATTTTCAAAGACTTAATTTGTAATATACTTGTGGTTCGCTTGGAAAACAGAAAAGTGGAAGCGGAGAATGTTTATATGGAGAGGTCTGCGAGTTCTTACCCGTGCACCGTTTAATAAAGCTGGCGCTGTGTGTCATATTAGCACCTGCTACTGGTGTTTTTCCCAAAAAATTATCTCCATTTTTGAAAAACAGATTTTCTCAGATGATTTGATTTAAATAAAGATTTATGCTTTAGCTATCATACATACTGCGTAATCTCGACATTACTTCCCGCCTTGCTTGCGGACTGAAATCACAGTGAGGTGTTATTCTTCTTTTATATGAAGCGCGAGCTTTCCGCCGCAATACGGTGCCGGAATGACATATCAGCTACTAACCTGTAAGCAAGCTCTGTTGTCGCCTTTTTTTCACGTAGAGCAAGGAAGCAAGGAAAAGAGAGACCTCGGCAAGCATGCGCTGGCCATTGTTTTACTTCAAATCAGAAAGAGCAAATAACAGCGACTTTCAGTATAGACCGGGAGAAGGTTATCCTATACGCTATTCCCTTTTTTAATTTTGAAGAGAGAAAAAGTACTGAAAATTAATAAAATAATAATTATTACAAAAAGCAACAACGGACTATCATTTTTTTCCTCCTGGAACGATGTGCTTTTCCGTTTTATTCGCTCGATTGCATATTGTTTATATCTCATGTTACGTGACAATCGAACTTTTCGAAAATCCATTCTTTTGTTTAGACTTGTCGTCGGTGTGATACTGAAAAGGCAATAAATCATCCCTTCGGGCCGAGCAGCTAAGCCTATTGTTTTTAAATTTGATTTCTTTTCCATTTGGTGAATTTGAATAGGCAGTAGCAGGAGGCTTTCAAAAGCAATTATCTTGCGAGACCTCGCGACCCCAAAACGGAAAAGCGTGTGTTAGTATTCTTGCTTACTGGAGTGAGAAGTTCTCGTGACTTGCAAATAAGCTGCGTTTTGTTGTAAACACGACATGAACAACTCAACCAACGGCACTGGACTGATTTCAGAAGGTGACAAAGATGAAACCGTATGTTCCTGGATTATTTCCAGAGTACAGGGTAACACAGAAACAATTTTCACTTGGCATTTTTTCATTGCCGTCTTGAACATCGTGCTTGCAATTACTGCTTCTTGTGGAAATATTCTGGTACTACTTGCCTTGAGTAAGGAATATACATTGTCAGCGCCTTCAAGAGTCCTATTCCGTTCTTTGGCTACCAGTGACCTCTGTGTGGGCATCATCTCGCAACCCCTTTACGCTATCAGTATACTGCTCATTGGAAACGGCCACTTGAAATTGTGCCGCCTCATGAGATATCTAACATTTGTCTCAAGCACAACTTTGTGTGGTGTTTCATTGTTGACACTAACTGCCATAAGCCTCGACAGACTACTGGTCTTGACACTGAAATCTAGTTATTACCGTATTGTAACCCGTTCTTTGGTGATAAGAGTTGTGGTCTTATTTTGGACTTGCAGCCTCGTTACTGGCATAGCTTACTTGCTAAGCAGAAGAATCTTTTTCATAGTAACATGTCTGGTGATACTGCTAAGCATCGTAATTTCTGCCTACAGTTACTCTAACATCTTCTTTCTTCTTCGAAGACGGCAGCGAGTTACAATTCGCGATAGCCACACCCGGCTAAACGGTTTTCAATTGAGGAGAGCGCTAAGATTCAAGTCAACAGTATACAGTGCATTGTGGGTTCATCTCACGTTGGTTATATGCTATCTTCCATTTTCTGTACTGGGGGCCGTCGCTTTTCGGATTGGAACACCTCTACCCATATTTATCGCTGGAACATGTACGGCCACGTTAATTTACTTGAACTCAACGATTAATCCCTTTCTATACTGCTGGAAAATTAAGGAAGTGAGGCAAGCTGTGAAGCAGATATTAAGAAAGTGCCTCTAACGATGGAAAAAATATCGAAAAACGATAGCCTCCATCTAGCGCGAAAATATGCCCTTGTTATGTAACTGTTTCGTGCTATTTCAGGCACAGGTCATTATTTACCGCCAGGGAGGGGGGGGGGGAGAGTCGTAGGATTTTGGTTGTGTCACAATAAAAGTTACCTGATCCCATCTTGAGGCTCTTTAGTGTTCTAATAATCCCTCCCCATTCAGTCAATTTTTCATACTCCCCTTTTATACTCCAAGAGCGACGACTGACCCCCCCCCTCCGTTCCCTAAAAACCATGTGATCCCATCAAAAAAATCCTTCGACTTACCCCCTACCCCCCCTCCTTTTCCACACCCTTTTGCAGGCGATAAGTTTTGGTTCATCTTGAGAATATAATAACGACTATATTGTACATAAGCTTGACACAAAAATCATACCTTATATTCCCAGTTTGCGCTTCATTTCGCCGGTAAAAGAAAGAAAAGAAGAGAATTCAGTTTTAGGCACAGAAGTGATCCTTTCAGTATCATATCAAGGCCATGGGCCGGAATCAAAGAAAAGATCACCAACTTGATTTTATTGACAGATTCTCCTCGTCAGTACCATAGGAAATGTACAGAGAACAGTATGGAGAATGTGCATACTGATGTTAGGGTGTAAAGGTCAAGTTGGAAAACATTCGAGCGAAAAAAAAAAAAAAGACTTTCCTTGCAATCTATCAGGTGACGGGCCCTGAATTCCAATTTACTGTTGTTTACTGTTATTCCAGTTTACAGTTGTTTAATGTTCTCAAGAGGATTATGAACCGGGGAAGGTAGTGCAATCATGAATTATGAATCAGGGCAGTTATAGTTACTTTCACTCCCACCACCGTAATGTACTTCAACAGAACACACACACACACACACACACACACACACACACACACACACACACACACACACACACACACACACACACTACTCACTTTGTTACAATTACGAGTCATCAAGATGCAAATATCTCATCGCATCTAATAACAAGAATTCTCGTTAACAAATATCTCGACTTTCGTCAGCCTCACAAAACTGTTAATTGGCGAACACCAGTTAGCTCTCGTAAGATCTGCGGTCAAGTAACAATGGCAAGTCAATTTTAGACTGTCAGTAATGATGTATATCAACGAAAAATTGTCAAACAAAGATAGAGTGCTTAAGTGGGGGAAAAGAGTTCGGGGGAAGGTTGTCATTCCTCGCTCGTCACGCGCATGATGGAGTTCCCGTGAGCGGTCAGCGGCTGACGTTACTACACGATTAGTTGCCAGTGTTTACTCTTTTATTGCTTAGTTGCTGGTCAGTTTGTGAGGCAGAGTGCTCGGAATGTGGACGTGGAAAAGTCTTGGTAAGTTAGAGAATTCATTATATATTTTGTTGCAAAATATACTATTTAAGACTCCTGGAGCTCATGCAGTTGGGCTCAAACTGGAAGAGCTACTTCGTGCAACTGTATAGTGGAACTGTTGAGCGCGCAACAACTTAAGATTCTGTGCGCGCGCTCGTGATGGATTTCCTGGGCTAGTTTATTTAGAGTTCCTTCTTTTCCTACAAAATTTTTGAGTTAATCAAGATATTTATTTTTTTTGCTAAAGCACGGTGCATAAACACGGCTACATCACTTGGCGAAGAACCACTCATCTAATTCCTTGAGATGAGACATGTTTAAATGGATGTGAGGACTTCAGACAGGTGGGGTAAACTTTCCCCCGACCCTGACCCCTCCTAAGAGAACCTGCCTAGCCATAGTTGAAAACAACTGGGGTGTCCAATCAATGAAACAAATTACTGGTGACAATCGCAATCAATCAACACCAATGAATAGTACTAAATTGATTGATATTGATATTCAAGAACCAATCAATGTCTAGCAATTGTATGGGTGAGCCCATTGATGTCATCATTAAGCATTGAAAGTTGTTGTCAATTGATACCAATCAACTGGAATTAATCAACTTACTGTATATTGTTATTAACTATTAAACTGATGGCAGAACCAGGAGAATAACAATGTGTATCACTGCATTATATTATATACCTAGAGACAGTTTTATCGACAACTATTATAGTTAAATTAATGGCCAAACCATGAGAACAACAAGGTGTGTGATTGCATTACATATCTTTTATATAAAATATTGTGGTCAGCTTTGACCCTTTGACTATGGTGATCAGAGTGTAAAATACTCTTAGAAATTCACTACTATCCCAAAATTAATTGAAGCAGGAAGTTTGTATAAATTATGTAGATTATTGCGATTAATAAGGATTAACCTTGATATGAAATCATTCTGACTACACTCACCCAAGACATTCATTGTGAAAAGTTTATTTAGGATGAGTCAGTCAGTCTTCTGGTATTCATATCCTGATACAATGTTATAATATATAGGCTAAAACTAGGGGTTCTACATGAAGAACCTGTGCTGCACCAGATATGAAAAAAACCACTAAAAACCACTCATTAGATGTGGCCAAAAAATGAGTGGAAATGTATTCCTCATCAAATGCTGCAGCACAATACCCCAAGGACCAGGTAAACTAACCTGGTTGTAGTATTAATTACTACCAAAATTACTAGGAATACAAAAAAGAAAGTGGTCAAATGTAAGACTTAACGACCAAGAATGACTTAATTTTCCTGGGAAATGCTTAAATAATCCAAATTTCCACTATGCCACACAAACCGCTTCAAAATGCCATCAGAATAAAAATTTCTGACATATTGGTTCCCATGTCACTCAAACATCAGAAATTACATAAATTCTCAGATGTCAAAGAAACTACAGTAATGTATAGTTTTGAAAATTATATATGATCTGACAAGTTGGGAATGAAAAGTTAATATATTTAGAACCTGGCTCCTTGCTAAAACTTTGTTAGGGTTGGGTTCCTTCAAAATCCTTGCATAGAATAAAAAGGTCATAGGTCTAACATTACCATGATATTGAAGTTCATATCAGAATCCAATGAAATAGAAAAACAGAGTAACAAATTACATATACATTTAATTTCTTCAGCCCGACAATTTCAATGCCTGAAATTGATTAGAAATGGTCTTCATGCTATGTGTTCACGTTTTCTTCAACACCAATAGGCTTGGATCATTTACTCTCCCTGTAGGGAATGTTCCCTCTTGTATACAGTTTACCCTCAGCATGAAACCAGGTTTCCCTGTAATCTTGTCAGATAATAATTTTAGTACACAGCACTCTGACCTCATCCAGAGCTTAAAATGTAGTGCTAAAAATTATGAGAAGTGAAGATTTTCAAAAGAATTTACTGAAGTCATGTTTTCAGCATGAAGAAAGCCTAACATTTTTAATGTTACTTGCCTCGATTGGAAAGTCAACAATACTCAGACCATAACAGGACTTTTTGGTCAGCAAAAAGCCTGGTTGACCGTAACATTTGAATCAGACCAAGAAGGCTCCCCTCTTTTCACTCTGCAGTTTCTTATAGGCCTCTTCTGTCATATATCCAGCAAACCAGCTGAGGAAGATGAAACAGTTTGTGTGATTTTCATCAAATAAGATTTTACAATTTCTAGTTCACATGATGTGCTTGCTGACTTTGACACCTTTGTTGGACTAATGGCCAAAATTTCTTTTTTTTGGGGGGGGGGGAGGGGGGGGTTGGGAGGGGTCATAATCATGCAAAAGTTTGGTGATCCAAACCTAAACTAATTTAAGGTACCAGTAAAATTAACTCTTAACTATATTTACCTTGTTCTTTTACCATCAGCATCAACAGAAACTGAGTTCTTCATCAGATGGAGCATCTAAAGGTTAAAGTTCTAGTTAAGTGTCAGATCTTTTGGTTGTGCTGTTGGCATACTCCTCTTTGAGCTTTTTTTAAAAAGAGGCATCACATGTACTTTGTGAAGTTAAACAGCATTCTGGCAGGGCAAAGTTCAAATTTTTGTAGAGAGCAATTGTAACAATTACACTGTACTGTGGAACTTTTAAAAGTTTGGTATTTTCCTTGAAAAGTAAATAAAATGTGTTTTTATTCCTCTATTGATCCATAAATCTTTTCCGTTTTTTTTAAGCATATAATCAACATTAATTACATGCACACACCATCATAACAATTTTTCCTTCTGCAATGCTGCTCATGATAGTGGTTATAGGATTATTGTACCTGTAAATGAAATGTTTTAATTGTCATCATGGTCATCATTTCTGTAGTTGATATACTATCAAGAATAAGTTAATTAATATGCAATGGTAACATGCGATTAGAGTGTAGTTATCTGTAGCTAAAAAAATGTAGTCATAACATAACAGTCACAAGTCAAGCTCTCGGGTCCTCACAAAGTAATTATACTGCAGTGTAAAACTGAAAAATTACAATCAGTGGAGATGTACTGGTTGTATGTAGGTAAATTCTGTAGTCATTATATTGTGTTGAAGGAACAGTATTTAATATGTATTTTTGTGTTACTCTTATTAATATTATTGGCATTTGTAACTCCTCTCTTTTACCTTCTTTAGGCAGCCTTGCATTCCTTCATTGGGAGATCCAAACCACACTGAGAGTCTTATGAAGTTATGGCGGTAGACAGATGCAGATTCCTTTTCTTCTAAATATTTTTTAAGGACGACAACATAAATTTACCATCAGGTTAAAGCAGTATTGGGAGATTTGGTGACCTAACTTGGTTAACAAGCTCTTTGTACTGTACCATTTATAAGTCCCAATTTAACCCTTGGGGCATTGTGATGTGGTCCTAGGTGCACTGACTGCAGTAGAGTGTATGGATGCTGGGAAACAATCATTTTTTGAAGGGCATGCACATTTGCACCTTTTCAAAACTAAATGTTTATCAGCATCATTTTTTGACCTTCCCAACTGAATAAGAAATGTCCTCAACATACTGGGCATTTTTACTGGGAAATGTCTGCACTTTCACCTTGTCATAGCACACATGTATGTTGTCAGCACACAAATTTTACAAAGGTAGGCCCAGTAAATCAATCTTTCTAAGTGTTTTGGTGCAGTTAAAGTGACAGTTACAGTATTTGAACTGTCACAGTGTTAATTATTGACTACTTATGTAGAATTTCTTTGTACATGTATAAGATAGC